TAAAAGACCGCAATCGAGATGTCACATGGGCTCAATAATTTTACACTGTTTTTCGGCGTTAATTGTCCAATAACAATTATCCTTAACTCGATGAGCATATTTTTCCCCCCTGTTAAAGTGCAATTATAATTTTTATTTTGCAACTCTCGATTTCCAAACATTAAAAAAAAGAAGTTGAATATTAAATATATTAACATATAGAATAATTACAAGAAGTTTTTAAGACGTGAGAGATGTGTATATATATATATCCAGTTTAAAAAGTCAGACATTTATATACAAGATCTTTATGCTACAGATATACGCGTATAAAAATATATATACATACATCAGGTGTTCAACTTTCGCAACCATGCAATTGGAAACTGCAGGTCATTTTGCAAAAAGATCCAGGAGCATATTCATTACGAAATATACGCAAGAGTTCTCAAGTTTTTCTTTATTCTTTTTCTTTATTTTTATAAGAGTGAAGAAAAGAATGTAATTTTAGATTGAATAATTATCTAGGTATTTTCTCTTTTTTTTTTGGTTCTTTTTTTCATAAGTTCAATTTCAGCTTTCGCTTATCTGTATTTTTTTTTATTTTTATTATTAATTTTCTTATTTTATTTTATTTTTAAAAAAATTAATAAAGTAAAATTGTTACTAACAAATTTTACGTTCGATGTTTTATTTATTAATAATATCAGGACTCGAACTTCAAATTTCAATTATTTTCAAAAATTGCAATTATAACTCATTCAAAATTCAATTTTTTTTTTAAATTCTTCGAGATTTCAATTTATTTAAATACAAAAATTCAATTTTCTTTTAATAGCTGTTACTGTGCATTTTTTTATTTACAAATTTTTTCCGAAATTCAATTATTTTTTAAAAAGTTTTCACAAAATTCTTGACTAAATTTCAATTATTTTCCAAAATTGCAATTATAATTCTTTCAAAATTCAATTTTTTGAAAAATCGTCGAGATTTCAATTTATTTAAATACAAAAATTTATTTTTTTAAAATAATTGTTACTGTGAATTTTTCTTTATTTACAAATTTTCTCCGAAATTCAATTATTTTTCAAAAATTTTAATAAAATTCTTGGCAAAATTTCAATTATTTTCAAAAATATTCCCCAATTTATAAAAAAATAAATATTTTACCAGGAATTCAATTATTTAGAAATGTTTTATAAATTTCTTCGCAATCATTCAATTATTTTCATAAATAATAAAATTTTTATGGGGAATCAAATATTATCGTAAATAATAAAATTCTTTTTAGGAATTCAATTATTTTCAGAAATAATTAAACTCATATCGCAGAATTTCAATTAATTTTTTTTTGAAAAAGTTTAATTGAATTTGTTTTTGAAATTATTTGAAGTTTTTATTTTCTAATATTCAATTGAAGAATTGACGAATAATTGAAATTTTGTAAAATTGAATTGTAAATTTGTAAATAAATAAATTTGAAAGAAGAACTTTTTAAAAATTTATTAATAATAATGCATTTATAGAAGAATTTTAGTTAAAAACGCGAAAAAAAATTTAATTTTGAAAAAGTTACAAAAATTATTGCAGAAATTCTCAAAAACTGTAATTTTTCTTCAAAATTTTATTAAAATTCGTCCAAAGTCTGGAAAATGCAAATTAAAAAATTTCATTTTCAAATATTATTTAATTTTAGAAAACGAATGGAAAAAATTTATTTAAGAGGCCCAAAAATTGGAATAGATTTATAGAATATATTAATTTGGTGAATCATGAGTGCCGATGATGACCAAATACAAGAAAACAATAATGTACAATCTAGAAAGTTGTGGAATTTTTTTTCAATCTATAATCTTGATGATTTTTATTTTTACATTAGTCACTGGAACTAATTTGATGATTCGGACCACTTAGCAATTGTTACAAGGCTCGGCCATTTAAATTCATGCGAAATTGATAGTCAACAGTGAAGGACATTCAATTTGAATATTTCTTTCACTCTCCTATTATTTTAAATCTTTCATGTTTATCTAATTTATCGGTTGATTCGAGCAGAAATTTTTCCCTGTCACATTTTATTTCAGAAAATAAGAGACGTGTTAGAATTCATTATACTGATGATTTTTTTTTCTCTTAGCGCTTTTTTTAGATTCTCGTCACTAATAATTTTAATATTTGGATTTTTGGTTCAGTATTTATATTTTCAGTATAGTTTTAGTATTTTTGGTTAAGTACTAGTATTTTCAGTATAGTTTTAGTATTTTTGGTTCAGTATCAGTATTTTCAGTCTAGTTTTAATCTTTTTGGTTCAGTATCAGTATTTTTGGTACAGTTTTAGTATTTTTAGTATCTGTAGTAAATATACTGTTGCTTAGAGGAAAGATTTTTTTTAATACTCGATTGTTCCAAAAGGTATAAAGGTTAATTACGCGAAAATTTTTGAGAGGAAAAACTTTTTTTTTATGGAATTGGAAATAATTTATTGTTAAGCATAAAACTTGCGGGGTAATATTATTCACATGCACGAAGAAGATATAGTGATTTAAATATACGACAGCTTAAGGCAAAGGTCTCGTGTACTTTCTCTTGCAAAACTGGACCCAAATAATGATTATTACGCGTGACTCGCCAAAATTGAATGTTCATCGATTGACAACCACTTTTGCCAAAGCGAAAAAGAAGAGAAGCTCTTTTTTTCAATTTGCAATATACAACTTTATCATCCACTCAGCATTGCCGATTGTAACTGACATTAATTGAAGATATCTCTGACTGTGAAACTGCGCAATTCAATTCAAAACCCATTGTTACATACTTGACAAAAGCTTTTCCCTATTATGGAATCAATTATAAATTCTACTTTCTGGTATATATTTACAATGAGAGAAAAAAATTCTATCGACCGGGATTCGAACCCAAATAGTGAACATTGAAATCGGTGCCTTAGACCTCACGACCAATTCACTAGTATTTGTAAATTTTAATTATTACAGTATTTTATATTATATACTATACAGTATTTTATGTATACTATACAGTATTTATTTATTATATTCACTATAACAAGAAGTGAAAAAAATGGAAAATATGCAAAAAGAAGAAGAAGAGGAAGAAGAGGAAAAAAGCTGTGCATTTAACGTTTAATGAATGTAATGAAAGATAAATTGTTGGGAGTTAGTTGGAAAGGATTAAATTTCATTAAGTTGATTGAAGTTGTTACATACTTGAATGAAGAAAGAGTAAAGAGTTGAAATGAGGAGTAGAGAAAAGTTATCAAAGGTGGTTGTTGGGTAGACCTGATCTTGTGTGCGCGAGAGAGGTTTAATCGTGTACTTGCACAGTATTTTATCGCTAGCCAGGAGAACTTTAACGAAGCTTTACGACTTGGATCGAAGCGTCTGCGGGAATAGAAGTTCTATCATTTAAAAGATCTCTTTTTTTTTTTTCATTCCACGAAACGAACTCTGCTCCCTTGCCCAACTCTCATTATCCTCCATTCCATTAGGGTGGCCCAACCAAATGATTAGATCAAAACTGCGCCTCCCTATTTGCAATATTTTATGCATTTTACTACCACGTCTCTTTTTTTTATTCTTTACTCTTTAGAGGCAAATTTAAAAATAAATTCAAGAAATCGTAAATTTAAAACTGAATTTAATAAATTTAATAGATTTAAAAATACTTTCTCTATGAGGAAGTAATAGATTTAAAAATGAATTTAAAAATGGATTTAAAAAGAGATTTAAAAATAGATTTAATAAATAAAGGTTTGAGTAAAGATTAAAAAAAGAAAAAGAATTGTGATTGCAAAGAAAAGATTGATTGTGGAAAAAGGGTTAAAATTATGAATTAACAACGAAACTTGTTTGTTTATATACTTATCTGAGATGAGATAAGTCCCTCGGATAAAAGTGAAAAAAAATCCGCAGTCGTATATAAAGAAAAGAAAAAGTTAGCTTCTTCTCACGTTCAGGAAAAAGATAGAAACTAACTAAGGAAGATGAGAACATTGACCCAAGTTACGGTAACATCAAGTACAGCTGCACCTGCTTGATATGGACTTATCCCACTTGATCTTGATAAACGACGAATTATTATTCATTAGGGGGGTCTATTATTCTTTCTTTAAATTAGAATCGAAAAAACTTGTTGCTTCACGCCGTCACTCATTTTAACGCTCCTACCGAAAAAGAAAGTGAAAAAGTCTAAATTTACTGTTGACGTCAAAAAAAACTGTTCTATTTTCCGTTTGTTTTTTCTCACTTTCTTCTAAACGTGAAAAAGGAAAGAGAATCAGAAAAAAGAGTAAAATTAAAAGCTCATCATAAAATTGAAAAAAAAACGAAGAAGCAAAAAAAAAAAATGGAGTCAAAACAAAAAATTAGTCGAGAAATATTTAAAATTAAAGGAAAAGATTATCTGCAAGTGCAGATTAGTGTATTTTTGAACCAAAAACAAAAAAAATTTGAAAAATTGCTCACGAAGAAAAAATGTCTCTAGAGAATATATCTCGGTTGACAAGATTATTTCTCTATGACCATGTAATGAATTATTAATGGGAGAATCTACTAATCTGGATGAACGTTCTGAGGCGAGGAAAGGTCAAACCATTATTGACCTCAACTTTCTAAGATCGGTTTATCTATCGATGCGCGCCACCTTCACCGCTTGTCTTGTCATTATTATTATTACAATCACGTTCCATCTCCAAACTGATTCGTTATCATCAATATAAATTAGAAATTGAATAAATTCAACTTCCATGTGTCTCCACTAATTTTGCCGATATGTTAATTAAATCTTCATTACTGTCCAAATTTAAGTTTATATTCAGTTTTATTATCAAAAGACTTTCTTTATCACTTATTGATGTTAATTTTACAATTAACGAAATTCGTCAATAAACATTTTTTTTGAGTATGTAATAATTTTTAGAGTGAATCATAATTATTATTATTTTTTTTTTTTGAGAGAGAGAGAGGAGAAATAATAATGAGATAATGTGAATTTTTTGCTTGCAGATTTGGCGAAAATTCGAGCACTGGTCGAATCAACGACAGTATTGAGCGGACCAATGTGCCCATCATGTGAAATGCCATTCGACAAAGGTAAAAAAAGACGGCTGATAGATTCTTGCGGTCACGAGAGATGCTATTCCTGTCTATTTCGGAGTGAGGCCTGCCCTCTTTGCTTACGGAGAAATGAGGATCTTTTTAACGAGGAAGACGGCCTCGAGGGCCCTTTTCGCGACGGAAGATTTTGCCCCTCGGGGCCCTTGTCTATGCAGCATCCATCCGAGGACTGGATCGACGACTCTTCTGCCGTGAATTCCTTATGCAGCAGTCCGAGACCACGTACGAGAGGGCCACTCATCCTACCACGTTCTGTAAGCTATATCCTCTTCTTTTTTCTCTCTTTTTTCTTTTTTTCCTCTCATTTTCACCGTTTATTTACTATTATTTTTGTATTATTTCTATTATTCTTGTTATTTTTGTTATTTTTGTATTATTTCTATTATTTTTGTTATTTTTCTTAATTTTGCATTATTTCTATTACAGAGTTGCCACGCAACCTGGAAAACCTGGAAATGTCCGGGAATTTTATAAACCTTGAAAAAAACCTGGAAAAGTCAGGAAATTTTTATCAGAATCCTGGAAAATTATTGGTTTCTAAAGTTATTGTACTTATTCTTGAAATCAAGTTTTTCTTAAATATTTCAAAATTAATTCAATTTTAAAAGAATTGCGTTTAAAATTTTCATAAGTAGATGAACTTTAAAACATTTTGATTAAAAATTTTGTAAAATTTCAATTTTAAATGAATTTAATTATAGAAATATAAAAAAAACTTAGATTTTAAAGAAAATTTTAAAAACTAAAATTTTTCTGAAATTAGTTACATTTTTTAATATATTTTTAACTAGTTTTATTAAAAATAATAGATTTATAGAAGAATTTTTTATTTTGTAAAATTTCAATTTTGAATGAATTAATTAAATAATAAAAATTTTATTATTTACAAATTCTTTATAAATTTATTCGCAATAATTCAATTATTTTCATAAATAATCAATGTTTTTAAAGAGATTCAATTATTTTCATAAATAATTAAAAAAACTTTATAAGTTTTCAATTATTTTCATATATAACAAAATTTTTCACAGAAATTCAATTCTTTTTCAATATTTTAATACAATTTTTGGGAATAATTCAATTATTTCCATAAATAATAAAATTCTTCTCAAGAATTCAATTATTTCGATAAATAATAAAATTCTTCTCAAGAATACAATTATTTTTGAAAATTATAATAAAATGCTAAGTAACTATTCAATTACTTTCATAAATATTAAAATTCATTGCGGGATTTCAATTATTTTTAACACAATTTTAAAAGAATTTCTCGAAAAATGTAATTATTCTTAAAAATTTTATTAAAATTTATCAAAGAAATTCAATTAAAAAAAGCCTTCCTATAATTTATTCATTAGAATTTAATTATTCAATAAATTATTTATTTTTGTATCTATTTAAATAATTGAATTCTCGTTGAATTTAAGAATAAAAATAATTTTTAATTATTTATAAAACATGAAGATATTGATTGCTTCGAGTCGAAGACTCGGAGTGATCGATTTCTCCATGTTTTATAACAATTTTTTTAAAATTGTTTAATTTCAAAAAGGTTTGAATTTGAATCTTTTGAAGAATTTTAATTCTTATGGAAAAATTATAATGACTAATTATTTAATTTTGTGAAATATAAATGTAGTTTTAAAAACCTGGAAAAATTCCGTTTTTTAACCGGGAAAAGTCAGGGAATTTGAAATGAGCAAAAGCGTGGCAACCCTGTTATTATTTTTATTGTTTTTGTATTATTTCTATTATTTTTCTACTATTTCTATTATTTTTCTTATTTTTGTATTATTTGTATTACTTTTCTTAATTTTGTATTATTTCTATTATTTTTCTTCTTTTTTAGATTATTTTTATTATTTTTTCACTTTTTTTTATTCTTTTTTACTTTTTTATTCTTTTTCTTGTTTCTATTCTTTTATTATTTTTATTCTTCTTAAATTCCCATTTTTACTACTATTATTTTTTTTTACATTTTTCGCTAAATTCTTACTTTTTTCTATTTTTAGATTCTCATTCGCAGTGATTAATTTTTTTCCTGAAAAATAATAACGAAATTTTGTATACAGAAACAACGTGGTCATGTTTTCTAATAATGTTATTTGCAAAGCGAATTTACGTTTTATTGGGGAATAAATCAAAGTTGGACTAAAGGAGCTTTCGTCAGTATTTGCATTTGAAGTTAACTCTTAAAAATTCGTATATGAGACTGTTTAAGCCTTTCAACGAGATTGACACTTAAAATTACGTTTTTTTTCCACACCGCCACTATATGACGTGAAAGTATCATTAAAACCACTTTTATGAGGGTTCATGAATAGTTTATAAATTTCGACATTCTCTATGAAGTCAGGTGTCATATTCTACGAACGAATGGCCAATAAAATAATAATCATTCCCCCAGTATAATTAGTCAAAAAAGAAACGAAACGAGAAGGAAAGATATCGAAAGTGAAAATTTAATACTTTTTGAATTTCTTTTTACTTACCTTTTACTTTTAGTTCTATTTTCAAATTAAAATTAAATCAAATTAATAAATTTATTTATGTAACTTTTTTTAATATTCGATTTTTTCTTTTTCTTTGAACAAATTGTTTTTTCTTTTTTTCCATTGGCGCAAAAAACAAATGTAAAGAGGTCCTTTAGTTAGGTAAGTTAAATTTTACATGCCATTGAAAGATGGTGACACATAACACCCACACTTGTAAAATACCACTCCCACGTGTTCTGAATCGTGAAACTTGACGTTTTGCAACCCACTCTTCGATTTTGCTTCCTTTACAAAGGTTAAACCAGATCAGGGATATCAGTTGCCCCATAGAAATTCAATTCTATTTTCTTTTTTTTTCTTTTTTCCGTCTAGACGATTTTAAAATGATTTCAATTCATAAAGCTACACGCGCTCGTCTCAAAAACGTAAATTCGCTTTTTTTTTCCTTTGAAATAAACTCTCCTTCATCTGCAAATTGAAAAATGTTTTTCTTTTTCATTAAAATGTTACTAGAGAAATTTATTTATTGAATTATATTCCAGATAATTTATATTTATATTTTTGATGAATTATTATTTTCCAGTGATAATTCATCAAATTAACGAGATGTTTAATGAGTCGTTTAATTTTTAATTAAAATGCATTTTATGCTTACAGCAACGCGATGGGAACGAAATTAACTCCTCCTCGGCGATGGGAAGGCTCAAACCTCCAGTTTTGCCGGAGTGTTCGTCCTTAAAACACAAAGTCAATCCAATGGCTCAAAGTAAGAACCAAACAACAATTTTTTTTCAAGCATTTTTCAAAATTAATTCTCATTCAATTTTTTATTTAATTTATTCTTAAATTCAAAGAAACGATTATTAACGAATTATTAATTTGAATTCAATTTATTAAATTACTTTTCCTCTTAATTGGAATTCAATTTGAATACGAAAAAAAATAATTTAGTTTGAATACTAAAAAAATTGTTTAATTTAAATACGAGAAATAAATTATTTAATTAAAAATTAACAAGAGTTTGAAATTAATAAGAATTAAATATTTACAGGTTGTCCGACGCCTCCAGCTCAACGGAAACGATTTTTCCTCAATTCCAAGGCGTTAAAAAGTCCCTTCAGTTCACAAAGATCCGGAAAACGAGATCCAGTATCTCCGGAGCAAAGTGCAAACGACAACCCGTCAGCGTTATCAGGTAAAAGAACATTCTGACGATAGGAAATATTATGAAATTCTATATTCGAACTCTCCATGTGGGCATTTTTAAAATCCATTAAAAATCATCTGGTAACACACGCGAGCTAAGTGAAAAGTAAACACAAAAAATATTACTTGATAATGAAGCCAAATTGAAATTCATTCAAACAAAAAAAAGAAGAAAACGAAACGTTAAATAGGAAAAATTTTGAAAATATTTTCTTCTTTTCAAAAAAAAAAATGCGTCTAATTACAAAATTCAACAAAGTTAAAAATTTCCCAAATTCGTTTTGTTAAAATTTACGAACACAAAATCATTTGTTTCGAGTAAATATTTTTAATTGAAAAAATACAATTTGGTCTAAAATTATATTTTTAGTCCTAATTTGGAATTTAATTAAAAACGAAAAGTTTAATTTTGAATTGAAAATGAAAAGTTTAGTTAAATTTAATTAAAAGTATAAAAATTTATATTTTCAATTAAAACTGTTTGATTTTCAAATTAAGGCTAAATTCAAAACTTTTTTGAAAACTTTACAAAATAGAATTTAAAGAATAAAAAGAAAAAGGTTGTAAAATACTGAGAAAATTTGCCAAGAATTATTTGCGAAATGAACGAAATCTGTCTGGAAAGCATTGATGTTTAACGATTGAATAAACAAATTAAAATTTAGCATGGATGACGACTTCCCTGGAGGGAAAGTCAAGATGGACAGGAATTGTTCTTGGAAAGATCAAAAATCTCTGGAGCAGTAGCCAGGGAACTGCCAGTAACGGATTAAATCAACTCGTTGATACGTGCAACAAAATCCAAGGCAGGAAATTAATTTCGAGTCGTGTGCAATTGTAGATTTTTAATTGTTTGTCTGCTTTTGGCAAAAATCAAATCACAAATATTATTAAACCTCACGCCTCTGCATCTGCTTCATTTATACGATTTTATTGTTTTTTTATCACTTTCTGTATTTTTGGTTTTCTCTTTAACAAATTTTTTTTTACAAGATTTAAAAAAAATAATTTTTCAAGATTTTGTTGTTAAATAATAATAATATGTTATTTTGAAACAATTTTTTTTTACTCTATAAATCTGAATCAGTAATTTTATTTTAATTGATTTGAATTAGTGACTCTTTTTGGTTTCAAATCAGTTAAGCAAAAAATTAGCTTTCGTATAAAAATTGATTTATTTATTTATTTATTTATTAATAAAATTGATTTATTTGTCAAAAAACTGAATAATTAGTAAATTGCCAGCGATTAAAAAAAAAGTTAAAAATTTCTGATTCGGATTTAGAGAGTAAAAACTATTTCTAGTTATTACGTTTTAATAAAACAAATTTTTTCTCAAAAATCTCTCGACTATAAACTTATTTTCTAATTTCAAAAAAAATTTCTCGTTCCAGATGACGAGGGCGGTTGCGTGAAGCCAATAGCTTCTTCGAAAACAAAGAAATCGTCGCAATCGGATCTTTATATGCGACTGGGACTTCTTTTGGGCAATGGAAGACACGCGGGAGTCTCGAGCGTGGACGTAACTGATCTTCCGGGTCAAACTCGAGTACCATCGGCAAATCCGAAATTAAAATTGCCCCACCTGAACAATCTGCAGGGTCACGATAGCTCCGCAGCGTCGTTCAGCAGTCTGACGAGTTTTGAGACTCAAACTCATCCCTCGAATAATACGAGTCCAGTGTCAACTCTAACGGGCACTTCGAGCGAGGCAGAAGCAGTGGCGGCTCTTCGCAGTCCCTTGAAACTCAAGGGCAAAGTCAAGGGCAAGAGCAAATCTCGCGACTGCGACAGTGCCGGAAGTTTGGCCTCAATCTCAACGTCGGCCTCTGCTTCCACTTCTATGTCAATGTCCATGTCCGTTTCCGTTTCGGGATTGTCCAATGGAAGTGCCAGTCCACTCACAACTCGAAGACATTCCGTGACGACTTCACAGCCTGGACAAGTGGACGAGCTCGGGCAGACTTTGTTCAAAAATCGAAAAACCTGCGTGAGAAGATCTGCGAGAGCTGGAACTGTATCGAAAAGTAAGCTTTTTCTTCTATTAAGAAAATAACTATAACTATTGAGAAAATATAATCTATAAAATTATGGAAAATAAAAACTATAATCTGTACAATTATAGAAAATAAAATCTACAATCTATAAAATTATAGAAATTATAGAGAATAAAATGAATAAGAATCTAATAACTGAATTTAATTTTTTTTTTTATTATTTCCAGCGAGATTTCTTCACACGGCGGCACAGTTGACGTTGAAACCTCTTTTCTTCGAGGTCCCACTATTGGAGACTGATCCTGTCTTCACCGGACGTCTCTGGTTACTTCAAGAATTTGAGGCTGTAGTCCAGGGATCAAGTTCCGGAATTCTTATTTCTGGATCTCCGGGCACAGGAAAGACTGCCTTGATTCTTCAACTTGTCGAGTACAGTTGCTTCGGTCGTCGGAGGGATCAGAAAGAAAATCAAAAACTCGACGATGAGGATCAGAATGAGATTACCATTGCACCACATCCGATTGTCAAGGCTACAAACGATAGGGTAAGTTTCTTTTTCTCTAAAAAAATTATTTCAAGCAGCAGTAGAATTTTTCTCACGAAATTCATAAATAAAAAATTTAAAGTTGATAATTATAAAAAATAGCAAATGATACAAAATTCTTTAAAAAATAACAATTGATAAGTAAAAATCAGTAAAAATTAATTAAAAAATAAAAAATGTTTGAATTTGAATTAAATTGATTTATATTGAGAAAAGTAAAAAAAATTGAGTCATTCATTTAAATTTATTTATTATCAACGAAAAACGTTTTGTAATAATTTTTCTCGACAAGTTTTTTTTGACGATTATTTCTTTTTTTCTTTTCATTTTGTTGTAATCAGTGTATGACGTAATTTTTGCTGATATCTTTATCGATGTTGCAATAGTTTTTGAAGCACTTTTACTTTTCAAGTTTCGTATTCTCTCATTGCGTGATTAATCGGTTACGTTTGCAGATTCGTGACCTGGCTTCCCACGTCGTGGCTTACCACTTTTGTCAGGCTGATAACAACTGCACCTGTCTTGTACCTGACTTGATCCATTCTTTAGCAGCACAACTCTGTCAAGCTCCACAACTTGCAGCTTACAGAGAATACCTTCTATCAGAGCCACATCTCCAAAGATCCCTTTCACTCAGGGAGTGTACAGTCGATCCAGATCTCGCTTTATCAAGAGGAATTATCGAACCTCTTTTGAGTCTCAGACGAGCTGGGAGGTTGCCGGAAATAAATATGGTCAGTTGCTGCCTCTGCGATCTCTTTTCAATTCTGCTAAATGATTTTCTTCTTTTTGTTTTTAATTCGACTTTAGAGTTTAAAATTAATTTATTGAGATTGCAATTTCTTTCATTCTTTCATTCTCCGAGAATTATTATTTCAATGTTTCAAAATTAAAAGTTGAATTTTGAATTGAATTATTTCGAAACTGAAAATTAAAAATTGAATTATTTCGAAACTAAAAATTAAAAATTGAATTGAAAGATCTAAAATCATACGTGATATTTCAGATGATATTGATCGATGCGGTTTGCGAGGCAGAATACCACAGACCCGATAGAGGGGACACAATTGCCTCGTTTTTGACAAGACATACGCCGAATTTTCCAAGTTGGCTGAAAATTGTGTGCACGGTGCGAACACAATTGCAGGAATGCACGAAACAATTTCCGTACACGAGGATTTGTCTCGATAAAAATGTAAACGACCCCACTGGTATCAGCATCACGAAGGATCTCACCGATTACATCAACTATCGTCTATCTCAAAGTCCGGCTATTCAGACAAATGTTACGGCTTCCGTGAATGGCAAGGCAGAATCCTCCAATAGCGCAACTCAGACTCGCTTTATTTCTCATTTACTGAATCTCGCCAAGGGCTGTTTCTTATTCGTCAAATTGACTTTAGATCTCATCGAGAGCGGACATTTGGTCGCTAAATCTGCTAGTTATAAGGTTCGTATTACTTCCTTATCTGATTCGAGAAAATCACTGGATTTTTTACAATTAAGACTATACAGTGTGTCCGGAAATGAAATTAAGTAAAATTTGACAAATTCTAATAAAAAGACAAAATAAATAAAATTTAATACATTTTTAAAAAGGGAATTATTGTCATAAAATTATTTTAAAGAATTGAAAGAAATTCTTTATAAAATTCAATTTATGAATTAAAATTCAATAATTTTCAATTATCAATCCTAAAAATTATTAAAGAGTCTCCATTATTTCAAAAAAAATTCAAAAGAAATTCTTCAAAAGAATATTTAATTATAGTTAATACAATTTTAATAACATTTTATGAAAGAATTACCTAAATTCTAAATAATAAAATTCTTCGAAGGAATTCTATTATTATCAAATTTTTTGATAAAATACTTTGCAATAATTCGATGAGTTTCAATACATTCATTTTAAAATTGAAAATATTTAAAAAGAAAAATTATGAAAAATAAGATTATTAATATAGAGATTATTAATTTTTTTTGACAATTTCAGGTTTTACCAGTTTCTCTCGCTCAGATTTATCTTCTTCATTTCAATCTGAGATTCCCAACCGCAGCCTCGTTTGACAAAGTTCAGCCGCTTTTGGGAGTTTGCCTAGCTGCTTTGTATCCATTAACTCTTCCGGAAATTTATTACTCAGTGAATGCCCTGAATATGGATTCTTTCGTTTCCTGGGAGGACTTTATGCAGAGATTCAAGGTAAGCTAGAAAAATGATTTCAATTCCACTGTTGAACTTCTAATCCTTCTAATAATCAATTTTTAAAATATTTTTTGCTTCTTTCGTGAAAAGGATGAGTAAGTAAATATAATGAATTAAATGTGAATGTAAATTAAAAATGTAATTAAATTAATGACTGATGTAAAATAATTAGATTTATTCGACTATTGAATAAAATTTAAATAACATTTTTATTGTTTTCACAAATTATTAAAATTGAAAAATAAAAAATTGAATACAAATTTGAGTGGAGAATTATTCTATTGTTACAAATTATTAAAATTGAAAAATAAAAAATGGAATGGCAAATTATTTTATTGGTACAGAATTATTAGAATTCAAAATCTTTGCAGATGCTCTCCGGTTTTCTCGTGAAACGTTTAGACAATACCTACATGTTCTTCCATCCATCGTTCAGGGAGTGGTTAATGAGAAGGGACGAAGGCGAATCGACAAAATTCCTGTGCGATTTACGACTGGGACACACTGCAATTGCTTTTCGATTATCGAGACTCCAAGCTCCACTTGATGGAGAAAAAGCTTTAGAACTCGGTCATCATATTTTGAAAGCTCATGTCTACAGAGGAGTTACACCTTGCTGGCCTTCTAGAGATCTTCAGGTGGGAATCGTTTTCGTTTCTATCACATACCTTTTATTGAAATTACTAATTTTACTATTTTAATTACTATTAAATTACTATTGTCACGTTGTTTTTCTCGTTCGTAACAAACAAAAAATCGGAAAATTTTATCTTAACGTTCTTTATTTTTCCAGGCTTCCTGGTTGGCTTCCTCTTCCGAGTGCGTTTCATCGGCCCTTTGTACTTTGAGAAATATTTACAGTCCAAATGTAAAAGTATCAAGACTGCTTCTGCTGGCAGGAGCTTCACCAAACTTCATTACTGAGTATCTCGGAAATGCGCCGGCTCTCTGCATGTACGCTCACGAAGGTTCTGTGGAAATGGTTTCACTCTTATTGGAATTCGGCGCCGATGTTGAGTTGACCAACAGTCAGGGTTGCACGGCTCTTTCCCTCGCCTCTGCTCGGGGTCACTGTGATGTTGTCAGAAGGTATTTTTCCCATTCTGTCAAGAATAGAAATATTTCGATTGAACGTGATTAATATTTGTAATATTCCTAATTTGTATTTTTTTAGACTTGCCGCCGCGGGAGCTTCTCTTGGCCACGTCGACATGGCGGGCCAGTGTTCCTTGGTTCACGCTGCTAGACATGGACGCCTCTCCGTCGTCGGCTACCTCCTGGCCTGTGATTGGCACATTCCTAAAACGCAGAAGACTGAAACGAGAGTGCAGGAAGTTAGCAGGGAGGAGGCTGCTCAGCAGGCAGTTGTCGCTGCCGCGGCTCAGGGCCACGAGTCAATTGTCGAATATTTACTGGACATGGCGGAAGTGACAGTCGATGAGCCGGACACTCTGGTCGGCGAAACTTCCTTGACAGTGGCGGCTGCAAATGGATCGACGGCGACCGTTTCGGCTCTTCTCGCTCGGGGAGCCAGTCCGAAAGCCACCAATGCCAAAGGACTCAGTCCTCTCATGTTGGCGGCCAAAGAGGGTCACTGGGGAACCGCCGAAAGAATTCTTCAAGGTGAGACTATTTTTTACATTCTCATCACCGAATTGTCGTTTTTTGTCGATAAATTGTTATCGACAAAAAAATTGTCTTTTTCGAAAACGACAATTCGGTGTCTTTGGAGTAGGCAGAGGATTAATTATCTATTATCTAATTAATGTTTGAACTAAATTTGTCTTGTTTTTCTATTAAACTTGAATTTTTTTCAACAGCGACTCTGACGGCGAGCTGTGATCAAGTGGTGGACGAGTGTGTTCCGCTTTTGGCGCAGAAGGACGCTGCGGGTCGGAATTGCTTGATGATAGCTGCCGGCGAAGGTCATACGAATTTGATCGAACTGTTTTTGGACAAAGGATCGGTGATAGAAGCGACAGACAGGGAAGGACTCACGGCTCTCGCCTGGGCTTGTGTTCGAGGAAGATTGGCAGCTGTCCAGCATCTCATTGAACGTGGAGCCGAAGTAAATACGAGCGACAACACCGGAAGAACTCCTTTGGATTTGGCCGCATTTCAGGTAATTTACTTTTTCTTCCTATCGATTTCCATTCTTTTTCTCATCATTTTTGATTTTGTTAGTAATTTTAATTTTTATGAAAATTATAAGTTGTTATAGCTTCGAAGCGTCATCTCGAAGCTAGTTATTATAAGTTAATATAAAATTAAAGATTATAGTAAAATCAGTGAAATAAAAATTATATTTAAAAATTCCAGGGTAATCCAAAGCTGGTGCAGTTTTTGCTCGAGAAGGGCGCGGCGGTTGAGCATGTCGATATTCATGGGATGAGACCGCTTGATAGAGCGATAGGTTGCCGAAACGTGTTAGTGGTCCAGTGCTTCCTGCGAAGAGGGGCGAAATTAGGTCCGGCAACTTGGGCAATGGCTGCTGGGAAACCTGACGTTCTTCTTATTTTATTAAATAAACTTCTTGAAGATGGAAATGTTCTCTACAGAAAGGGAAGACTGAAGGAAGCTTCTCATCGGTACGCCTACGCTCTAAGAAAGTTTCCAGAACCTCCTGAACAGATTCACGATCATAAACTACAGGAGCACAGTCAACTGTTGCTTCATCTTCAAACCTTTGCCCAACTCAGGCTCAATTTTCTCCTCAATCTCAGTCGATGCAAACGTAAAATGAATGTAAGTTCTTCGTCTTCTTTTATTTTTCTCTTGCTCATAGAAATTAAACTTTAAAGGAAATTATCAAATTTAATCTGTGGGTTGTTTAAAAAAAAGTAATAAGTAAATTTATATTTTAAAAAATCTTTCGGTTAATTTTATTTTCTAAGAAAATCGTTTTTGAATTTACAGGAATTTGAAGAAGCTATAGAGTTGGCTGACGAAGCGTTGAAGATCAAACCATCGTCGTACGAAGCCTATTACGCGAGGGCCAAAGCCCGAATCGACGTTGACTTTCTGGACGAAGCTCTCTCCGATGCTCAAGAAGCTTTAAGCATAATTCCTCTACACAATCGAGAGGATAGAAGAGTATTGACGGCAATCAGAGACGATATAATCTCAAGACTCGAGGGATCTGGAATGGGGACCAGTAACGGATCCAGGTGTCGACTTCGTGCTTCCATCGACACTCTAACAGAACTGTAAATTTATTTTCTCTATAGATACCTATTTCGCAATTTATCCCTTAAGATCTAGATTTTAAGAAAATTAAATATCACTCTCGCTGACCAACTCACTGGTTTGAGGAATCAGCTTTTTGAAACGAAACGATTAAATCGCTTCTTCATCGAATATTTGTTCCTCCTCGGCGATTATTGAAAGCTTTTTTTTCCGATTTTAAATCGTTTTACACATTATTATTTATTGTGACTAAATTCGTGTATTATGTAGTAAATTTAGCTCACGCGTGCTTGAAGAAAAATTATTTAATTTTCATTTTCAGTATTTTTCGAAATTTTCGAAACTTTTTTAGAAATCTTATTTATTCTAAATTTAAGCGAAATTTATTTTTAAGACGAGAGAAACTCTTGCCATGATCGAATCGTCACGATTTTATAGATAAAAATATCTTCAATTGAAGACTATTCTTTAATTTGAGATTAAAATTTAATTAAGACGAAAATCATTGCTAATTATTAATTATTCAATTATTGATAATTGTTGTAATTAATTGCATATAATTTTTACATATTATTAATATGTAATTATTGTTAATAATATGTAATTATTGTTAATAAGTTAATAATTATTGAAATTATCAGTGTAAATAATTACTAAAGTAATTACAATAATTATTATAATTATAATTAATAATATTAGTGTTTAAAATGGTGATTATTATAATCACTAAATCGATTATTTTAATCGATTAAAACGATGTTATTTATATATGAAATGTTATTGACCGTTGGGCGTCAAATAAACGAATCATTTTTTATTCTGAAACTGGAATTTCTTTTAGGCTCTAATACACATTTATTTATTTATTTATAACAAATTCTATTTATACAAAGGAAACGTGAAATATTTTTTCTTCCTGTTTTAACGCCAGGAATAACGATGGATAAGTACACTTTATCGCTTTTTGGATTTTCTCACTAAAAATCTAATTAATTTGATTTTAGAAAAAAAATCGAGGTAGAGAAAATCCAGTGCTTGTGAGATTGTAAATTAGCAATCGCGATAATGTGACTGTGAGAAGGAAAATTCATCAAATCACTTTCAGTATTCCTTTTCTTGTTTCTTCTTGCTTCAAAATTTTTTCTTGCCGCTTCGAGATTTGTATAGATATAAAAAAAGGCTTATATAAAAGCTACTAGTTTTTTAAAATGGAATTTTTGAATTTAATTTTTTTTGTCTTTAGAATTATTATAGTAAAATTGGTAACTTGGTTATTGTTAATTACGTAATTATTTATGAATCTGATTGATTGTTAAGTGCAAAAAATGAAGTTTCTCGGGAAGCATTTTTTAAGAGCTCGAAGGTGAAACTTTCGATGGATGGAGGTCTCGTCTCTTCTCGGCCGAAGAAATTCTTTTTTTAAAAGCACTGATGGACAGTGCAACTTTGGTGCCAGCATTTTTTATTTTTTTTTTTTTTCAATGATTTCAAGAGGATTACTGGGCTTTGTGTGTGTCCTTGTTCTGATATCCCTGGACGTATCCAGAATTATCGGGAATATCCTTTCGGCCAGCAATTCCTTTTCCTTTGCCAGTTTCATCGAATCTCTGTTTATGTGATCCTGTATATTTACTTACGTCTGTTAATCTGTCAACTGTTGACGCAGCTTTGCCGGCCTAAAATTTTTATCTTGATTGAAAAAACGATTTTAAAAAATACTAGAAATAATCCAAAAAATAATTAATTAAAAAAATAAATTTTATTTTTGAATAAAATGGAAAATTCAAACACTAATCGCAGTGTAAGTAATTAAAATTAGATTGTAGATTAAAAATCTTGGAACTTACCCCACATACGTTAGATATACCAGGAGGTCCGCAATTTGCCATTTTATTTTTAATTTCAGCTAATTCGATTTTTTTAGCCTTGGCCAATTCGTCCAGGAAGGATTTATATTGTTCAACGTTTAATTTCATCGACCTTTTTTGGAAGGAATTTAAATTTGAAAATTTTGTTAGTATTCAATTGAATTAATTAGATATTAGAAAATAGAAAAAAGTTAACAAATTAATTAGAAATTAAATAAAATAGAATAGAAATTATTTAAAATTATTTATTAAAATACCTATTGAGTTTAAAATTGATTAAAATATTGAGTTTAAAATTGATTAAAATATTGAATTTAAAATTGATTAAAATGTTAAATGTAAAATTGATTGAAATATTGAAAAACTAATGATTTACTAACTTTTGTTTCTTGAAATAAATTCCAGTGTCTGTGGTGGTGATTTTTTTGCCATCGATTACTTTCGCTTGCTTCATCCATTTATCACTTTGACTGAGGGTGATATTTTTGCCATCACTTTTTGTGTCTCCGAATTTCGAAAAGGCCTTAAAACTCGAGAGAAACGTTCCACTTCCCGTGGCTGGACTTCCAGGTGTATTTTCCTCAATTTTCAAATTCGCCACATCATTCGTAACAGTAGTTGTACTATTCTCCTTCACCCCGTTATTATCCACTTTCTCACCTTCCATTTTTTATTCTGCAACAATTTTCTTCCTTCAGTTTGAAAAATAAAATTTGTTTAATTATTTTCTCGTGAGAGACTAACTTCTCTATTAAGTATTGACTTGTTTTACAAAAATTGACCTTTAGCATAAAAATTCGAATAGATAAATTTACACTCGATTTTTCCTTCAATTTTTCTAATATATTTTTTCTCCAATTTTTCCTAATATATTTTTTTTGGTAATTTCTTTTAAAATTTCTAGTTTTAATTTAATTAATTTATTATCTAATATTAATTTATACTTATAAATTATAAAATTTGTTCTAATTTAAAAAAGACAATTCTTGAAATTGGCGTTAATTTTAAATTAAAACATTTTTAATTACTTTTTTCTACTAGTACAAATTTTCTTCTTTTTTTTCTTTCGAACTTTAATGTTTCAAAGTTTTGTTGCTACTGAGGCGAAATATTATCATACAAATTCTGGTAGATAAGAACTTTTCAAGACAAGATAAGATTACAAATGCAACTTAGATTTAGTGTTTTAATTTCTTTTTATGAAAATTTAAATCGTCGCTAACTGATTAGAAGAAAATTGATTAATTAAGGGATAAGAATAGAAAATTCGATAACAAATTCCAAAGGAAAATTATTTTCTATTTTTTTATTTTTACAGAATATTCTGTAAAATTACTATTACCAAATTTTATTGCAATAAAAATACGAGTGGAAAATAACTAAAATAAGCGGTTTTTTTTAGAAAATTGGAATTTTTTTACGGCACAATTTTTGAGGATAGTGTAAAAGCACCTGCACAATTGCTACTAAAACATCGTAGAAAAATATTGCCTGTAGAGGGAAAAAATAAATGAGGTAATGTTATTTCATTTCTATAAATAGAGATCATTGTAAATGCATGTGTTAACAATCATTAACACTTCTCTTCGTGAGCAGAATTCAGAGATGGGTCAAAAGTCACAAATTTTTCAAGAAAAACGGCAAATAGGAAAATTTCCAGAATTTTTTCTTTTTCGATGATAAAATTTCTTTTTTCTCTACAAGACTATATTTTATATGCTTTTTTCGATTTTCTATATTTTTCATTGTTAGTATTTTTTTTCCTCTCTTGGAAACCAGTTTATAAAATATACAAAATTATCAGAAAATTAAGAGTCAATAACAATAGTTAGAGAAAACATTAAAAAGCGATTAAATACAATGCAAATAGAGGAAATAATGAAACGAATTTAATAAATAAAAAATTCTACGAAAGTCTACGAAATTATAAATGATTCATGCTCAATTTGTCTATTTAAAATACATTAACGAAGAAATTGGGTTAGTGTATCAGAAAATATTAGTCACCTGCGAAAATCGATCGCTTTGTTTTCGAGGTGCGGAGAGAAATTAACTTTTTCACTGTAATTAAAATTCCGCTTATAATTAAAATTCAAACGAATTTAATTATCTGACAATTTTCGCGCGGGGACTTGAATGACTTTTTACTTAAATTCAAAATTCACTTCCGTCAAAAATCAACCAAAATAGAATCGCTTATATTGAAACGAGAGGAAAAGCTGTCGAGGGAAATTCTGAATGTAGGACGACAACATACCAGTTGGGGGGTCAGAAACTGTGCGGATGCGTTGATTCAGGATGAATCTCCAAGCCTCAAAGCGCAAGTCTTCTATCGATTTTCACTCCAAAAGTTCACTCCCCATCCAACACCCCTTATTTTTTTTTTTTTTTTTTTGAAAACAGAAACCAGACTCCCTTTTGTGCTCTCGATTTCGAACGATTTTATTTATTCACAAACCCATTTCTCGAGACAAGAGAGAAAAAAAAATCCCCTTCTGACATTCAATGCGGAATTTATAATTAAGGACAAGTGCAGCACAAGGCGGGTATTTAATATGTAGATCAATAATTTCAATGTTTTTAAAGTATTTCTGAACGATTTATGAATTGCAACAGGTTGCGTGCGTGTGACAGAAATTGTCTCACTGTTTGCCTGACACGATGATATAAAAGATTAACAAGACGAGAAAATTACATACTTATTGAAAATACTTTTATTTTTTATGCTTCGACTTTTATTTTATCTCCTGATTTTGTTCTTTTCTTTAAAATCTCTTTTGAAAATTTCTTCTTTAGAATTTTTTTTAGATTTTTCTCATTTTGATTTAGTACTAGAGGGTACGAGAGTGAACAACATTAGACAAAAAAATTAAATTACAAAAGTTATTAATTTTTAAATTCTTTCTTTTGCAGTTAATTAAAATTTAATCGAGTTGACGTTCATAACTCAATTTGTTGTTCGTCAAATATTATACTTTGTCCTTAAGTTTGTACAAAGTCGTGTAAAATTGAAGAATTCTTAATTTTTGGGTCAAAGTCGGTTGGTGTTTAATGTTTGTTATTAAATGAAACCCTGAGTTTATTTTAATATTTTACAGCGATTTAACTAACGAGCAGCTGTAGGGTTTGAACGTTCATGATTGATTCAACTTTTATATACATACGTCAACAGTCTATAACATCGTATTTCTTTTTATATTTTATTTATGATTTAAAATAGTCAATTTCATTCAATATTTTCCCATCGTGTCTCAATCTACGTTTCATTCAATTCTCGATTCAATTTCAAAACAGAAAAAGTGTTTTTTGTATGAAATATTAAATTAAATTAAATATTTAATTGAAATTTTTCCCTCATTTAATTAATTCGTTTTTAAATTCAGAATTGAATTAAATTCACGAATTTATTAAAAATGGAGTGAAATATTTTCAAAAGAGTTTCTAGATTGTGATTTTTTTCTTGAAAGTAAGTCACAATAATTAATTTAATTGCGTGTGTATAAAAAAGTCTTTCGATCAATATAACAGTGTTTTCGCTACCTGTTGGTGTTTGAACTCGAAAGCTCGTCACCCTCTGATGTGCTTTCGGTAAAATATCCTCTCGATGGAAATAATCTTTGAAAATGTTCACTGTGTATAATTCTCTGAATTATTCCACAATAAATTTTGAAAATCGATGAAAAATTCACTTTACAACTGACGACATTTAGTTTTTTTTAATTAATTTTAGTATCCATTTCGGTTGAGTGTGTAATTATTTCTTTTTTTTATTCTGTCCGGCAAAATAACTGTGAACGAGACTGAAAGCTCCGCCTAGTAAAGCAACGATTCCAGCACTGCCACCTATTTTCATGAACGTACCTCTCACCCTCTCATTTCTATAAGCACCACCCACACAAGACGTCTTTAAAATAGATCTATTTAAGATATATACACACATAGCTCATAAAAGTTATCGCAACATTTCAGCTGTTCAAAACGCAAACATTTTATCACGAATAAGATAAGCTTTCTCTTTGAAACTTATTCAATTTTTCATATTTTTTTCCATTTGATCATTTTTGATAAAATTTGATCCCATTTGTTCGTTTTGATAAAATTTCATTATTGATCAATTTGATAGTATTTCATTTCATAATTTTTCTATTTTTCATATTTTTGTAAATTCTAAATCATTTTATATTAGTCTTACTTTCTTTTCTCCCTAAAAATAGAAATCGAAATTTTTCTCACTGTAAAAATATATTTATTTAATAACTCTGATATAAATCGAATTATTTTGTTAATAAAAATATTTATAATATTTATAATAATTATAATATACAGAAATTAATTTTCCTCTTTCCTAATAAAATTTTCGAAGACTTGTATAATTACTCTCGTTTAAATTACAATCACTCCAGATTCGTTCCAGCAATTCACTTTTGTTCACTTTAAAATATTTTCTACTTTTGCAAATTATCGAATTATTAATTCTTAGTTTTTTTGTAAATTTCATAAAAGTCTTTTATAAAAATATTTTTGAAAACCTGTTCAAAAATAGAATTTCAAAGATTTCGATTAGTCTATGAATACGTATGCAAATACGTATAAAAATGTGTTAAAAATACGTTTCTCCTCATCGAGCAGAGTTCTTGGCTTCTTTAAGAAGTTGACGTGAGATAATCAGTCTTTGAATTTGTGCAGTTCCTTCGTAAATTTGATAAATCTTAGCGTCTCGCATTAATTTTTCTACAGGATATTCGCTGTTAAATCCGGCCCCACCAAATATCTACGATTCAAAAGATAAATTACGCTATCAGTTTGGTAAAATTAAATTAAATTCTTACTGTAAAATACGATTCGTACTATAAAATACGACTCGTGCTATAAAATACAATTCGTTCTATAAAATACAATTTTTACTATAAAATACGAATTGACTAATTTTAAACTAATTAATTAGTCTAAAAAAATACAAATTTTCCATTTGATTGGACAGAAATTTATTTCTCTCACCTGTACAGCATCAGTGGCGCACTTGTTCGCAACGTCACCTGCATAACATTTTGCAATGCTGGCAAAAATCGTTGATCTTGGATCTTTATTGTCACTTGCCCAAGCAGACCTGTGCATGGCAAGTCTTGCTGTCTCGACTCCAATTGACATGTCAGCCAACATAAACGCAACGGCTTGGAAATCGAATATCGGTTGACCGAAAGCTTTGCGCTCCATTGCGTATTTTGTCGCCTCGTCGAGAGCTCGCTGAGCTAATCCCACCGCTCCGGCTGCTACCTACAAGTAATCAAATTTCAATCAAATAACATACAATTCAATTGGATAAAATAAAAATCAAATTTCAATAAAATAAAAATTAAATTTCAATATAATTCAATAAAATAAAAATACAATTTACACAAATACAAAAAAATACAAATAAATAAATAAATACAAATAAAAATACAAAAATATAATTTCAATAGAATAAAATTCAATTCAAGAAAATAAAAATCAAACTTTTACCGAAAACCAGAAAGATTAAAATAAAATGAATAAATATTTTTGTCCTACCTGCACGGAAAGTATGTCATTTCGGGCACTTAAGGCGGGCGCAAAGTAACACATTACGCCCGGGAGTGGGAGAAGCGGGCTGAAAAGTATTTTGCGCCCGCTTGTTAATTATTTGATTTTCTTCATTAAAATGCGACATTTTCGACTTTCTTTTTATGTTGACTATAAAACTGCAAACATTTTCAACTTGTTTTATTTTGTCTATAAAAATTTGCAATTTTTTTTTATTTTCTCTAAAAAAAATAATGAGATATTTGGTTTTGTTCCCATTTCGTTTATCAAAATTGTCAATTTTAAAAGTTCCTGTTTCAGTTTTGTTTAATTATTAATTACTACGTTCTAAATAAATACTATGTTTCCAGAATACATTGTTTTTTATTTCTATTTTAAAACTTCTATCATTAGAGACTTCATTCAATATAATGTTTATATAAAGCTTAATTTTTAACTACTATGAGAGTTTAATCGTGCGTGCCCTCAATGCCATACTTTCCATGCAGTTAGGACAAAAAATTATGTTCGCATCATGGGCGCAAAGGTGATTACGACTTTGGCGAAATTTCGGGACCTCGGGGACACTTTCGCTCCCTCGGCTTCGCCTCGGGCGCGAAATTGTGTCCCCTCGGTCCCTTCATTTCGCCATCGTCGCAATCACCTATTTTGCGCCCTTGTTACGAAAATAACTATTTCTAAACATTAAGAAGAAAAAGATTGAAATGGCGAAAAAAAAATAACTTACTGGAGGTCGGGTTAAATCAAAAGTCCCCATAGCGATTTTGAATCCGGCTCCTTCTCCAATAAGAACATTCTCTTCTGGAACGCGGACGTCCTCGAATGTTACCATACGTGTGTCTGAGGCCCTTTGACCCATATTAATTTCCTGCGAAAATTCGAGAAATTCTTTTAGAAAATCAAAAAATTGTGTTGAATTTTGTTTTTTGATCGAATTGACTTGCTTATAATTTTGTAAAATTTTCTAAAATTGTGATAAATATTCTAAATTTTGTAAAGTTTGCTGTAAATACCTTTCGTCCAGGTGTGACACCAGCGAATGCTCGTTCTACAATAAATCCTGTAAATGCTTTGCTAGCTGGCACTTTAGGATCAGGATTCGTTCTCGCCAGGACGAAGTACCTGTACAATAATTTTACATTATCTCCGCAACTGTTTAATATATTTTTTAAAATCTCGACTTTCAATTGATTTAATTATTATAATAAAGAAACCAAAAATTATAAATAGAATAAATAAATAAATACTAAAAAAATAAATAAATAGAATAAATAAAAATATGAGTAAATAAATAACAAAGAAGTGTGAATAAATTACCAGTCTGCTACTCCGCCGTTTGTGATCCACATTTTTGTGCCATTGAGAACCCATTCTTTGCCCTTTTTCTCCGCCTTTGTTTTAACACCTCCAACATCCGAACCCGCTTCAGGTTCCGTGACACAATAAGCCTGGTTTTTGAATTTAAGTATTTAAATTAAACACTTCACATTTTTTCCACGAATTTCCAATTAATATTGAAATATTTCACAAATTTCCAATTAATATTGGAATATTTGTAGAATATTAATTGAAAATTTGTGAAATATTCCAATATTAATTGGAAATTCGTGGAAAAAATAAAATAATTTTCAAAAAATTGACTTACAGCAACGAGAGGTTCTTCAATCAGTCTTCCTAAATATTTTTGTTGTTGCTCCTTGTTACCAAAATGAATTACCGGCGTTTGCTAAAGAAAAAATGAATTTTTGTCAGTTCTCGAAATGAATACTTATTTGAATTCCGAAAAAATAAATACTAAAAAAAGTATTTCTTTAAAGTGTAAATACTTCATCAACTTACACCGAGACCAGAACCTTCTATGGCGGTTTGAATTCCCGCACAGCCGTATGATAATTCTTCAGCTACAATGCAACCATCAAAGACACTGCTTTCCAGACCACCTGACAATTTACAAAAATAAAAGATTAATTTATTTGGAAATTATTTTAGAAAATGTAAGTAATTTTTAAAAATATGTTATTTTTACCGCAATGTTGAGGAATATGTCCATTCATTAATCCTAGTGACCATGCCTTTTTCACCAAGTCCCAAGGATATTCACCAGTTCGATCGTAATGAGAGGCTTTTGGAATTACTTCTTCCTTAACGAATTTCCTCGCCAATTCCTGCATTTCTTGTTGAGTCTCAGTAAATTCTGAAAAACAGAAATTTTACAATTATATTTTTTTATAATTAATACCAATTAATACTAGTTATATTATTAATACTAATTATATTATTAAAAATAATTATATTGTTAAGTCACTTAGATAGTATTCAATGTCCTGAATATTAAATTAAAAACCTTTGTTAAGATATGCATAATATTTAAATTCTATTGTAAATTTAACATATTTTATAAATCAAAAACCGGAAAAAAATAAACTTTTTCAACTTCTTTGTCTCCTATCACTTCATTATCTCTTTATCAATTCTGAATAAATGTACTTTGAGCTTATAATTATTTGTTGTCTCGTTTATTAAAAAATTCTGCAATTTTTTCTAATCATTTTTATAAAACTATTTCTATATCTATTTTACAAATCAAATCTATTTTTTCCGTCTATTGTATCAGAGAAAAGTAATTATCATCGTTGCAGGAATAATTAAGTGAATTAACTATTAAAAATAGAAAAAATGCAAAATATCTGTTTCTAATTTTCGAAAGTATAATATGAAATTAAAAACTTAAATTTAAGATGCTACAAATATAGAAAATTTATAGAAAGTGTTGAATATATTTTGAATTACAAATACAAATACATAGATTAATAAAAAAATAATTAATTTAATTCAACTTACGAAAATTAAATCCATTTGAAGAGGCGTTTGCTGAGAATAATCTAATAGAACGACGAGCGGAAATACTGAATACCTGCAAAAAATATTAAATTGTCAACAAAATAATTAATGAAAATTTTAACAATAAGGAAAAAGACAAAGAGAGCAACTTTAGAGATTTTAGATACTTTAGAGTAAATAAAAAAATTAGTACTCGTTAAACTTGTTTACAAATCCAGTAATCATGACGATGCATTTAATTTTCAATAAATTGATAGATTTTTTAATAAATATTATTTATTTTTAGTCTTTATTTAAAATACGAAAAGTAAATTTCTAACCTTTTGGAGCAACATGTTGAAATTAAGCCAAACTTTAAGGAAAATTAACAAAAGTAGACAAAATAGACGAAGAATAACTTATCCTCACTGCAGAAAAGTAAATGTCAACTAATTCTGACTGAACAAATTATAAAATGGTTTTATAAAACTTGGGGTTAAAGTACAACTCAAGTAAAAGTAGAAAACAATTTCAAGTGGGAGTCTCACACGTACACGTAAACACTAGTCTAACAGTAAATGACAGTAATCGATAAAACAGAATTGTCTACTCGGTCAGTAAAGTAGAATATTAATTGCAACCAATTTAAAATATCCGGTGTTTTTTAATTTTTATTCATATCATACTTTTCAAGTAAGGTGTAAATCATATTTTTGATTCATAAACAAATAAACAATGGACTGTATTCATAAGTGCATTGTTATAAATAAACAAATTCTTCAAAAATGTATTGACAGTTAGAAAATGAGACAATCGAACAGAATTTGTAATGGGTTAGAATGTTAGATGCATCTGTTTTATAATAATAAAAAAAAATATTTGACAGTCGAAAACAATAATAAAACCACAAGTGGGATTATGTGCAAAGTGTCTGTGTATGTGTGACATTTAAATTCGGTTGTTACTGCGATAACGTGTAATAAAAGTCAGAGACTTGTTTGCCCAAAATATTTGCTTGGAGCTTCAAGAGGCTGACAAGAGGTGTTTAAATATCTTACAGTTATTCAATTGTATAAAAAGTAAGCTAATAAATTGTGATAAAAATATTGTGACAGACAAATAACTTTCATACAAGAATCTCAACTTAACTTATCGCTCTACTTTTATAGGTTATACATTCGTCGCTCAATTTTCTATGAATGCATTTTTCTTATCCTATTTTTCACTATTTTCACTGCAAATTTTTTTAATACCTACATATACCTATATTTTATAAAAACTGTTTTTTTTTCATTTACAGGACACAATTCGGAAATTCGGAAAATGCTGAAAATACGAAATTTCACTGAAATCAGCTGTCAAAATGATAGAATGCAAAATTAGCGGTTAGTTATAAATTTACCAGAATAATGGTAAACGATTGTTTAGAGAAGTGATATCCAAGTTCTCAACATGGATATAAATGCAATTAATTCGGAAAAATGGGGATTCTATTAAAATAAATGAAATAAATCAAGTTTTTGCAAAATTGGAAAATTTGAAGTTAAAATGAATCTTGCGGTTCATCCGCTCACGGAAAATCCCACTGCAGCATGGGACGAAATATCTCAGAAGCAAAAAGTTATTAAAATTAATGCAAAAACTCCAAACACAGAGGCGCCGAATGACAAGGTTTTTGTCTTCGAATAATAGAATGTTGCAATTAAAATTCTTCCTAATTGGGAAAATTTTAAATTGAATATTTATGATCAATAAGATTTTCAGATTTTTTTCTAAATAAATAAACTATTTTTCAGCTAAGAGTCGTTTGTATGAGCGATACTCATTCACTGACTCCATTCATAAAATTCGACATTCCTGCGGGTGATATTTTCATTCACGCTGGTGATTTTACAAAATGCGGAAGTCTCGACGAAGTCATTGAATTCAACAAATGGATCGGTGAGAGAAATAATTAAAAAAAAATTATTATTTGGAAAATTAGGAAAAAGTCAGATTAATAATAGTTAAACTATTATAATTAGTTTAACTTTAATCGTCTATTTTTCCATTCGCAGGAAACTTGCCGCACAAGCATAAGCTAGTGATAGCCGGAAATCATGAATTGAGTTTCGACTCCACGTTCACTCATCCCTTTTCCACCCAAACTAGTGGAGATCGTCATAATCACACGGGAACGAGTATTTTAGACAATATACCTACCTTGGGAATGTCGAAAGATGTTTTGGCGGAAGCAATACAAACACGTAATGTTAAAGAACATTTGACAAATTGTACTTACATGGAGGATGAGGAAGTGATAATAGATGGAATTAAAATCTACGGATCTCCTTGGTAACTTTCTTTCGAATCTTCTTATTTGATATTCATTCTCCAAACTTCTGAATTGAGAATTCTTTTTTACTTTTTCTCTTCTCCTCTTTTCAATTTTGCTCAATTGATTCGACAGGCAACCGGAATTTTGCAAATGGGCATTCAATGTTCCTCGTGGTGAGCAGTGTCTTTCAAAATGGGAAATGATTCCATCGGATACGGATATTTTAGTAACTCATACACCGCCCGTTGGTCACGGTGATCTTTGTTGCAGTGGAGTACGAGCCGGATGTGTAGAATTATTGACCACAGTTCAAAATAGGGTGAAACCAAAATATCATGTCTTCGGCCACATTCACGAGGGTATCTGAAAAATTCAAGTTTAACGTTAATTCTTCATTTCAATTTCAATTCATCATTTTAATTTTAATTCATAATTTCAATTTCAATTCATCATTTGAATTTAAATCCATCATTTCGATTTAAATTCAACATTTAAATTTCAATCCATAATTTCGATTTAAATTCAACATTTAAATTTAAATCCATCATTTCGATTTAAATTTAAATTCAACATTTCATTACTTAAATAATAAATAATTTAATTATGCCTCAGCGATAAATACAAAAATTAAATTAATACTAGCACTATAAAGATTTTATTAAATTCCAGAAGAAATAATATTCAACTATTGAAAATTTTTGAATTTCAATATTGTTAAATTATTTAATTTCAATTTTACTATGGAATTAAATTAAACTTATTTTAATTTCATTTTTATTTTATTTTATTCAATATGATTTTATTTTTAGTTTATTTTATTCAATATAATTTTACTTTTAGTTTATTTTATTCAATATAATTTTATTTTTAGTTTATTCTGTTAAATAAAATTTGAAATTTCAATTTTTATTGAAATAATTTTAATTCAATTCATATTTCAGGATATGGAATATCGACGGATGGAAAAATAATATACATCAATGCCTCTACTTGTGATTTAAATTATTTACCCAGTAATCCACCGATTGTTTTCGACATAACATTACCATCAGGAACAAAGAAAACGTGAACACTGTCCTGAAGGTTTATTAGAATTAATTTTTAATCATTTTTTATAATTTTGATAGAATTTGGAAAAATGGCGATTTTTTTACTACTTACTTGATAAATTATCTTCTTAGGAAGTAATAATTAATTTAAAAAAAGAAATCATGACACGATAATAATTGATTGAATAATGTGATATTTTGAAAGCTTTAAATTGCAAATTTGGCTCAAACAGGGATGTCGAAAGGGATCAAATTTGTAAATATTGTATATTTTTATTTATTTATTTATTTACTATATTAGTGTTTAATTGAAATATTAATTTAATATCTAAAATTATTTAATGTGCGATATTATTTAATATGCAATATTTTGTATGCATTTTTTAATATGCAATATTTAGTATGCATTTTTTAATATGCAATATTTAATTGCAATTTTTAATATGCAATATTTAATTGCAATATTATTTAATAAGCAATTTTAAATAATAGTCAATATTAGTCGAATATTTCTAAACTCTGAGTCAATTAATATTATTTTGCTTTAAATAATTGTACTTAAGTGGAATTTAACGACTGATTCTGTAGACAAAGTTTTTAAAATTAATCTTCGAGACGGGTGGTCCATTTTAATTTCTCAAACATTGTTAAACTCCAAACGACCGTCTACCTGGAGAAGATAAGATAATAATAACCTTTTCTTTAAGATAATTATTATCCTTCCGAAGGTGAACGGCAATTATTTCGAGTCGTAAAACTATAATATAATTATAGTTGCACATTTTATTCGTATTGTAACTAATTTTACCCGATTTTACATAGAATGTAAAAAAGTAAATTATTTATCTATTTATTTGTAACGCACATTTATTTAAAAAAAAAATGATCCCAATAATTTAAAAAATCTTTTTTTTGGCAATTTTCAAACAGAACTGCACAAAGAATTTGTTTCTTTTATAGAATTTTACAACCATGGTGCCCATAGCTTTTATAATAAATAAGTAGTTAGGAAGAAAAAATTTTGCATTTTTAAAATATAAATTTAAGATTTTAAAATTTAATAACCAAATTTTTTTCAAACAAAATTTAATGACAGAAATTATGTAATAATACAATAAAGAAAACTGCTTTTTACACTTGAGGAAAAAATACATTATTTAAAAAATAAATTGTAAACAAGCACGAGAAAAAATGATTGCCAAGAATTAAAAAAGTAATAATAGTACGCAACGAATAAAAAAAATGTCAAAAAGATTTAGATAATACCTACAGAAAAAAATTCCTCTTTGACATTTACTATCTTTCTACTTAAATAAAAATAAAAATGTAAACACGAAAAGAAATTATAAAAATGTAACGAAAACTAATAAAATTGGAATTTTTCAATCAATCAAAAAGAATTATTTCTTCTAATTATAATATAGTATTTTATTGAGATTCAAAACTCGTACATACTTTTTTTCGTCACCAAAAAGTAGTGCATAAAATTGAGAATAAAAATTACATTGTATTTTGTCGGTAAAAAAAGCAATGTATAAGAAATTTTGATCGTGGCTTAAAAAGTTAGTATTATAAAGTTTTTCATTGTCTCGGATTAAAAATTATTTACAATTTTGTTATACAATTTTATTTTTTATATAATCAATTATGCATGGTTAAACTATTTTAATGTACAGTTTTTATCAAGTCTTTTTCTTCATGATCAAAGGTAATAATAGGAAAATTAACACTTAATTGTATGAGTATTTTTTTTCATCTACAGAGCAATTAATAAAACTTAATACCCTATTTTGAAATTGTATACTTACCGTCACTTCTCTTTACAAGTGGCCCTTTTTTCAATAACAATCATAACAGTGAATTATAATAATATAGTTGTACTATAATATAATAAAATATTGTAATCATTATAATAAATTTATAAAAATTCCATCAATCAAAGAAAAAAAAATTGTCACCCTCGGTTATTATGCGAAATAATAAAACACTAGTTATTAAAAATGAGTTTCATTGTCTAATTCAAAATCAACAAAGTTAATTTAAAGTCAGCTTTCTATTTTAAATTATATATGATTTAAATTACCAGTTTAATTCTTAAATTAAAATACTAATAACAGTATTTATTTGTACATTCATCCTTCAGATAACGAAAGTGTATATTGATAACAAAGTGTATAGAGATTTAAAATAGAAAATTCCTTCTTTTCTCGAATAATTCTTTCTAAAAACTAAGACAATCTAACGATTGTAAAATCGTGGACGATAAAAAGTGTCTTCTGTATTCAATTTTTAATATCAAATTCATTTTGAAGATAATTACAATAAATTTTTATGACGAGAATTCTTTTTTACTATTCAAACAAACAAAGAAAAAAAGAAACTCGTCCCAGAAGAAAAATATCATCTAAAAAAAACTAATCACTATAGAATAATTTCCCTTTAAAAAAAAATGTATAAAAAATTCATCAATCAGGAGAAAATTAACTTTTCACAAACCAGTGCGAAAAAGTAAATATAAAAATTTTGTACAGATTCAAAAAAGTGGTTTTAAAACCATAAATTTCTTTTTGCAAAATAAGCTTCCGTTATCCGGACGACGAGAGAACTTTAAAAGTTCTCCATTCTATTTCCGGTGATAGAAAAGATGGTGCAATAAAAATCAACTACATTCAAGACGAGTCTACGTGTACAATTCGGAAAGAATAAGAAAATAACTCTTACTGTAATGACACGATGATGACACATGAATTAAACAACTCGTTCGAAGAGAAAGAGATTAGCACAAAAAAAAAGTTTTGCCTTTGGTGATTAGAGAAAACATTTAACAAAATTTGCCAGATTTTTGAGAAACAGAAACTGTAAATTTCATATCGTTTTTTTTCAAACTTACAATTTATCGCTGTTATCTTTTTTTTACAGTTTCTTTATTCTCAAAAAATTTTTCCAGCAAATTGTTTTTGGCAACTAAAAAGGACGCTTATGTTCTTATTTTAATAACAGTTTCATGTCAAATGAAACTTTAAAAAAAAAATAAAAAAAAATTAATATGGTACATTCGAGAACAAATACGACACTGATTCGCCGTTGTGCGTCCTCCTTACTGCTTCAGCAAACATCATCGAGACGTCGATGCACTAGAAAATATTTTCTAAGTTTAATTACCTATTTTTAAATAATAAATAAATAAATTTGATTTGATTTCCTCCAAAATGTTAAAAATGATTCTAAAAAATTTTTATGTTTTGAATGTTTAATTTTTGTTATTAAATTTACACTTGAAGATTTTTCATTAAAATTTTTGATAATTCAATAATTATATCCAAAATTTTCAATTCAATTTCTATAAAAGTTAATTTTCAAAAATTGTAATAAAAATACTTGAAAAAAATGATTTATTTTCAATTAAATTTTACAAAATTTCAATTATTCAGAATCTTTTAATTTTATTTCAAAAATTTAATTAGAAAAATTATTTAAAAATAACTTTTAAAAGATTTGTTTATAGTTATACTTTTCACGCTATAAAAATCGAAATAAGTTGCATTTTAAACTAAAAAAAATGTGGTATTTTGTTGCAAAATTGGGAAGAAAAGTCGAAAAAGTCGCATTTTTTTAAATATAATTCGATAAAAGTCGGATTATTCGAAAATAGTCGTAAAAATCGAAAGTCATAATATCCCAGGTCTGTATAATTTAAAATCGTAACAAAGGGTAAAATTGTAAAAAAATTCTGTTCAAAAACTATCGATTTTTCAATAAAATGGAAAATAATGGTGATCAGTGGTTGTCATTGTCAGTTTATTTAATGTTTGCTAAAAACGATAAACTAGAAACTTTCCTAGCCTTTTTTTTCTAAAAATCAAAATTAATATAAAGTGTAACTAAAATTAATATTAAATGAGAAGTAAATACCTGGATCTTGGGGCAATCTTTCATGTGAGCGTCTTGTGGAATGGTATTGGTTACGACAACAGCTTCAAAACAAGCATTGTTGATTCTCGTAATGGCGGGACCGCTGAATATTCCATGGGTCAAAATGGCATAAACTTTCGTCGCTCCCGCCTCCAATAATTTCTCAGCTGCATGACAAATCGTTCCACAAGTATCGGCCATATCGTCGACGAGAATTGCTATTCTGTCTTTGACGTCTCCAACTAAAACCATACTCGCCACCTCGTTCGCCTTCTTTCTCTCCTTGTGAATCAATGCAAACTCGACATTTAGCCTGTCGGCTATAGACGTCACTCTGTAACGATCAAAGTCAAATTAGTAAAAATAAAATTACTTAATTAAATCAAAGTATTATAAAGTATTTATTTTGTAATTCTAGGGATTATTAAAAATTACTGAATTGATTGAAATTTAGGAATTGTAGTCACGAACCTTTTGGCACCACCAGCGTCCGGAGAAACGATAATGCTATTTCGCCACTCGACAATATTTTCCTTTATCCATTTAAGAACAGCTGGTTCAGCAAAGAGATTGTCCACTGGAATGTCAAAGAAGCCTTGAATTTGGCTCGCGTGTAAGTCCATTGTGATGATATGATCCGCTCCAGCCACCGAGAGCATATTTGCGACAAGTTTCGCCGAAATAGGAGCGCGACTCTGCAAAATAGATTAATTTATCAATATCCCTTGTTACATTCGCTTAAATCCTGAAGTCCATTTGCAACTACGAATTTCCTGCAATTTCAAAAATAATATCCGGTTATTTATTTACTCTCTTCAAAGTGCCTCTTCTTTTTTGTAACAAGGACACACAAAATAAATCAATAAAGGGAAACACATTTTGTTAGTCATTAAAATTTTACCAATACCAAGTTCGCTAAATATTAAAAATATTGCCAAAATTTGCAAGTACTTTTTGGATACATCAATTTTTTGAAATTGAAATCGAAATTAAAAACGAATTCTTCATAGCGAAAAAAGTATTTTTTTTGAGGGGACAAAATATAAATACAATGACTATAGTGTTGAGAGAAAAAAAAAATTTGTGAGCAACGTTCGTAATAAAAATTAGGATAAATCTCGTTGCAAATGCACCCCAGTTAGACTCGATGGAAAACTGCGAGTGAAGCTTATTTCCACTTTTTTCAGAAGAACAAAAAAAGTTGTGCAAAAAAAAAAAAAAACTGAACACAGTGCATTCTGTTTTGTTAATTTTTCGTCAAACTATAATAAAGCTAGAGGATATTATAAATTCAAGCAAAACTTGAAAATTAGAGTTAGTTCTACTTATTGTTAAATTAAAATATGTTAAATCCACTCCGCTAGTCGTATAATGAGTATAAATACAATATTTCAATCAAGTGCCAATGCAAACATTCCATTTAAAAAAATCTTTCACTCAATTCAATTCCAAGCAGGCAATAAATCCCAGATGAGAAATGTAAACGACAAGACGAAATTTTATGAAGACTTGAAAATTCTTATTTTAAGTATATTAATTAAATTAAATACCTTGATAATTAAATTTATACTTAAATAATTAGATTAAATAATTAAATATGTAAATTTTATATTTAAACAAAAATTAAATAGTTGAATATGTAAATTAAATTAAAGACTAATAATTAAATTAAATAGCTTAATAATTAAAATTAATCATAATTAATTAGTTTTAATTAATAATTTACAGTTTTAAGAAGAAACACAAGTTTAATAGGAAGAATTATAATCATTTCTCATTATACGATTCGCTGCTGGGAATTTGTTCAAAAAAAAAAAAATTCAGAAATGCACTGTGTATAACGATTCTAAGGATCCATTTTTGATAAGAGTAGCAGTCTACGACCTAAAAATTATCTGCAATGATATACAAGAAGCTGATTATGTTAAGGCTTTTGTTTGTCAAAAATCGTCAAGAGAAGTGCTATGATGTTTATGAGAAAAATTGTCGAAACGTCTTTTTTTAAAAAGAAATTTAATTTTTTCTTAGAAAAAAATATATTTTTCTTTTTTAATTTAAAAAGCACAACTACCGACGATTAAGTCTACTTGAAGATTAGTGCACTTATACAATAGTCGAACTCACGTCACATTATTAATTAGTACCCAGCGAACAAACGAACATTTAATGTACCCCAGGCTAGAGTAAAATATGTACACATAGTGCTATTATATTAATATTTTGCCCTCTCATACAAATGATATTATGTGCTTGTACAAAAAAAAGAGAGAGACTCCATTCACTCTAATAAAGGGTAAACCAAGTTTTTTTGTGTTTTTTTTTCAAATTTTTGTTCATCTTTTTTCAAAGAGGTTTTCCAAAGATATTTGTTTTTTTTTGTTTGTTAGTCCTACGAAGATAATTGCGGAACGAATAATTAACGAAGAAAAATTAAATAAAATCAAAGATATTATATCTAATGCTCAATTGAAACTGTATCATTGCCAAAACGAGTCACTCGAAAAATTCTTTATACTCTTCATAATATACTCACTGTCGATAGGTCGGTCACAAATTCCTGAAAATACCCATCTATAGTCAGAATTTTTAATCAAATCATGCTTTTTTTTATAATAATCTGACAAAGAAAATAATTTCAAGTTTTTTTTCAAATGTAACAAAATATTCGTCAAAGTTATAAATTCTATAATTACAGTCACCAGAGTTAAAAAAAAGATCCGAATTCTTAATCAAGGGAAGAAAAGAGAAAATTAGAAAAACTGGGAGAAAGTTTAAAATTACATAAATCACCAGAAAAAAAAATCCCTGTATTTCATGCAAGTTTTTTTAAAAATCAATTTCCATTTTTTAATCCATGAAAAACAAAACAAATCTTTCTCAAGATTGTTTTTCAATAAACAAGAATACCCCCCAGGGCTTTTATCATTTGCAATGTGATTTTGCAATAATCGACAGGGTTATCTCATTTGGATAACCCTGTAAACAGTACGATGCCTGGAATTTACATGCAATCCGACAATAATTTCTCTTGCAATAATGTACAACACCTTTTTCTTTTCTTTTTCTCCAAAAAAAAGCGTCAATACAAAATTTATTTCAACCTGAACTTTGACAAAATGCGACAAAAAAACGTGACCCAAAAAATGATTAAAAAATTGTGTTTTCTCCTTTAAACCAATTTTTAAAAACTACACAGTTTTTCTCAACACAATCCTATATGGAAACGACATGTGTGAAAAATGAGATCGAGCATTATGTTTTTTAATGAGTCTGATAAATCGCAAGTGCTATGAAGATTCTATTAAAATTTATCCCATTATTCCGTGGATGCAAAAGCTGCGAGAAAAGATTCTTTTTTTTTTTTTTTTTTTTTTGTTCTTTAAGAGTAGGAAAAAGAGCACCATAAGTTACCCTGAATTTCCACTCGTGTGTTCTCATGACAATACGACTCTTTGATGAATCTGACTTGTCCCCTTCGTCACCTCCCTGTGAAGATATCATACAAATACTTTATTTTTCTGCCTCAATCAGCATCTTCACGAGACTTTTTTTTTTACTTAACTATATCTTCTCTCTCATATCTATAAAACCTCAACATTTATATTATTTCAATAAAACAATTTTGACAAACAAAAGGAAAAATAAAATCCTAGGCCAAAAATAAAAAAGAATTCATCTTGTCCGTCTTTGATTGAAATTATAAATTTGAAACGATCGTCAAAAACTCATTTCTGTTAGAAATCCACTATAATTACAGGAGTAAAAAGAAAAAACTTTTCAGTCCCAAATGTACAGAATTTTTCCCAACAAAAATCGAGTTTTCTGAAAAGTAAAAATTACTAAAATCCTTTCAAGACAATGATTTACGATCCTCCTAGAAAAATAGAAACTTGAAAAAATAATAAAGAAAGTTACTTGATAATGAAAATTACTTGTTAATTTACATCGTATTAAACATTATTAGTCATTTTTCAAAAAATTAGTGAACATCTCCCGATTCCTCGAAACATTCAAATCTCTAATAATTACCAAAAAAACGAATTAGGAAACAAAATAAAGTATTACGTAATTCAACAAAGAACATATATAAATTCAAATATATCATCATTGAGTAATCAATAAATTAAAAATAGAATTTGGACGTTACTTTCGATCTATCCCATTTGTCTGATACTCATTTTATCATCATCCTTTTTAAATCTTAAAAAAAGAAAAAAAATACGAAATAAAAGGAAAAATAACAAAATTTTCAATCATAATAATCAAATTAATAATCCAAAATAATTCATCAAAAAAAACAACAGAAAACAATTAGAGTAATGATCGAAATGTAATCAAATTTTTGTCAATAATCGTCAAGATACAAAAGTGTCATTACATTAAATTAATGAAAATGTATTTATGTGAAATGAAAAAATCAATATGACTGCTATTTACAAAAGCAAACATCGATAAATGTACTTTAAAACTTTGAAAGGAAAAACAAGTTAATAAAATAAATAAAAATAAGTTTATTAAAAAAAATAAATAAATAAATTATTAAACTAGTAAATTAATTTAAATAAAGTGCATAAAAGATATGTCTATATCAATTAAAAGTACATAAAAACTAGCGAAAAATAGTATTATATAAAAAAGGTAAAGCTAGCAGAAAATAGAATGATAAAATAATAAAATATATTTTCAAATAAAAAATATTTTTAAAAATATATCAGACAAAAAAAAATCTATTATATTTGAGAATTTATCAGTCGTACTTTTGTAAAAATTGCACTAAAAATTTCCTATTACTTTGGAAATAAATATTTACTCTCTCGAGAATCAACATTGTTGTGAGCGAATTTGCTTTTAAATGCATTTCAATGCTTTTCAATTGCAAAAGTAGAGATTTATTATTATTGGTGATTTTTTGTTTTGTAATTATTTTTCTTTTTAGATAATTAATTTTCTAGATAATATTCAATATTAATGTGAATATTTTTTTTAAGTAGCGAAAAAAAAATTCTTTACCTTGTCCTTTTTGTCCTGTCTAGCATAAGGAAAACACGGAATGACCGCAGTTACACGAGATGCAGATGCAATTTTACAAGCGTTAATCATTATTAGCAGTTCCATCAGATTGTCATTTACTTCTCCGCTACCGCTCTGCACAATGTAAACATCTTCTCCTCGCACGGATTCTCCGATTTCCACGCTGCAAAACAAATAAATAATTATTTTTCACTCAATCTACAGTAAAAAAAAATCTACTTTAAAAATTAGAACATAAATTATAACTTTTTTATTCTTTAATAATCTTTAATAATTTTTGTTCCTTTTTTCCTATTTTCCCTTTTGGCAATTTTTAAATTTTTAATACTAAAAAACATTTGTGAGAATTAATAACAAAAAAAGACATAAAAATACAAAAAAATAAATAAAACTACTACAGTAGTTTAAATTTGTAGATAAATTAGGAATAAATAATTTTCTCTAGAATTCAGATCCAAATTTCTTACAATGAATAGTATCAATTATCGATAAGATAAACGACAGGATTTCACACAATATTTAATTAAGTATTAAGAGCTAAAACAATAATAAACTATTTTTTATGTTTGGATTTTCGAACCTACATTTTCTTGCTTCTTTTGCAAAAAAATTAATATTAGCTGATGGACGGAATTTATTTTATTTTAACGAAATTGACAATTCTGAACAATTAATAATTTCGAATTGTCAATTTCGTTAAAATAAAACTAATAAAAATCAAAAAAATGCATATTACTTAAAATAAATATAAAATTTACCAAAAAAGCAAAATTTTGCTCATCTGCCTTTAATACCCATAAAACTGACCGTGAAATCAAGTTTTAGACACGCACAAATTATCCTTAATTTTAAAAAGCAGTTCTCCTGTGAGAAAAATCTTGCCCAGTATTATCTTCGACAAGTGACAAGGTCACGAATTTATTAAGCTAACTTTCTATAATTTTATGAGTCATCTTATTTGATCTAAGATCATAAAAATGTTTTTGAATAAACATTTTTCCTTTATGTTAACATTAACAAAATAGAAAACAAAGTGCAGAAAAAGAAAATACTTCTAAAAATTCAGAACTAGAAAAATCAAAATAGAGGTTTATTTTTAAAAATGTGTGAACAGTCAAATTTTTCTAAAATTAAAAATAAAAAAAACTCCACACACATTTGAACGATTTCTATTGTTGTTTCACTTGCTGGGAAATGGAGGTAAAATTTTTCTGGAAAAAGACAGCTATAAAAGATAATTAAGTCTACAGATAAGAATCGTTTACTTATACAAATAAGAATAGAAAAAAATGTAAAGTAAAAATTTTGATTGATTACATATTTTTAGAAAAATAATTTTTTACGTCTTTTTTCAAAAATACGAATTCTTCTAAATTTACTTTTCAAAATTCAATTCAATTTATTAATCCGTAAAATTTTTCAATTACTTAATATATTACAAGTGTTATTTTTAAATCCTTAATTGACACTACTATAGAAAAAAGTCTTCTAATGGCTAATCGCTTTAAATTAAAATTAATGAAAAATAAGTCGATCCAAGAAGTTAAATATTAATACTATTAATATGAAATGTAACGAAAGAAATGATTAATCGTGTTCAAGTAATACTGCCTTGAGACGTAAAATTAAAAATTAAAATCAATATTTTTGGAGCAGAGAAACATCTTGATAACAAAGGCACAATAAGAAAATCAAAGACATGATACGCAATATTTATCAAAAGATTAAAAAAAAATAATTCTAACCATAAAATTCAACATAGATTTTTTTAAATACTTTTAAATAGTTTCCGGCTCTGTTTTATTATTTTTCTAAAAGCAAGACGCTACACGTGATTAAATTCAAGCGTCGGCTATCACACAATTCTTATATTAAAGAAAAATCATTAGGGAAACTTTTAACTATAGAAATTTGCATGCTTCATGAAACCATGTGGAGAATTTGAATTATCGAATTTTCGATCAAACAAAATATTTGTCGCGTTAAAATATGATTTGCGAATATTTACGACGGAAATTGTATTAAAAAAGCGACCATTACCATGTTTCGAGGTTGCTGAATTTCTTCGTGACAACTTTGCCGATGTCAATTCCAAGTCTGTCAACAATTCTTTGCGCCAATTCCGGGTGCGACGATCCGCTGAATACTTTAATATTCGGCATTCTGCTTTGTAATAAGTTTCCACGAGAACTCTCCAAGTTTGCACGTAACAAACTCTTGGCACGCACTGCTTGTGAGACGGGCATCACTGAAAAACGGCAAGCATGATGATGAAAATGCCGCAAGCGCAATTAATCAACCAATCAGAATCTGCAAAATTTGCCGGAAATGACATTTTTCCAAAACTCCGCCTTTTGGCCCATGCGCAGATTCCAATTGCGGGAAGACAATCATTTAACTCTTTTTTGAAACTTGTTTCCAGTAATTTATTATTTTAAACGCAATTTATCTAACTAACAGACACTTATTATCGTTTTCTGAATTATTTCTTCAAATTTTAGGAATATTTCCTCAATTATCATCAGATTTGTAAGTTAAAGTTTAACATTTTTACTGCAGGTTTATGAAACATAACCTATAACATTCTTACGGGCGGGAATTTATGTCAAATATTTCAAATGATTTGTTTACTTTCAATTACGTGAAAGAAACATTGGAGATGCTTTTTACATTTTTGTTTGAGTTGAATAAGCTCTTTAATATCTCTGTATTTAAAACAAAAAGAAATATAAAAGTTTGTTTACAAAATAAGCCGCTGAAAACCGGGAAGTTTTACGTAAAATACGAAAAATTACCAAACTTACGTATCTCTAGTACAATTTGAATTTAAAATTGATAAAAAAGTTATAAATTATTATATTTGTGGAGTAAATACATATCTTTTGTTTCAATTAAGCAGAAACTTATTATTCAGTGTTTTTAAATAATATTTTTAAATAAAAAAAATCATATTTTTCCTTTTAAATAACTAAGATTTTTTAAATTTGGCGCTAAAAAGTCTGAAAGTGTCGCCGCTTATTGAAAACGGGAAATGTTTCCGTTTCGCGAATTGACAGTTTTGGGAAATGTAAAATCTACACAAAAATATTCATTTTTTTAATGATAATTTTTTCCTACGAAAGCCTCTTTGAAAAAAAAATCGCCATTTTGTAAACTGTTGTAAACTTCTAAACACGTCCCTGTGCAATAATTCTCAACTTTTTTTCTATTCAAACATGTTTTTTCGTGCTTTCATAAAATAAATTTGCGTAACTTTTTGCACGACGAGGTTAGAATCGTTAATATTCCGAAGAAAGTGGAGTTAACGTATATCCTTTCTCATCTGAGAGGGTTGTGCGTGTTTTCAACACGCGTGTGACCAAAGACTCAAAAAAAAGTAAAAAAAAGTAAGTAAAAGGTGAAATCAACGGATAAATGTCAGTGAGCGCTTGTGACAGTCGATTTTTTTTTCATCGCTGTGGCGCCGGTCCTGATTGACGTCGAATTAGATGTGCCTGTGTGAGGCTGTATGATTTTTACTTGACAAAAGAGGTTACTACATTCGACAACGATAAAGTAAACGTGCAGTTGTGTAAAACTTGCCGCGAGTTCTAAAAATTGCAATAAAAGTCTCGAAATTCGAGAATAAGAAGATCTTGTGTAAAACAAAGGGCAAACAAATTATGCTTTGCATACTCAAGTCCATGTGAATGATGATGACAGTGTGTTGACCTAACTGATTTTAAAACTATGGCGAACATTGCAGCACAGCGACTCAAACGGGAATTCAAAGAGGTTATAAAGAGTGAAGAGGTAAATTTATTTACTAAATAATAAATAATAATTAGTAATTAATTAATTAGATATTTTTAACCTCAATTTGTGTTTTTGTAATTGTTACGCAATTCTGATAAAGGAAAATTAATTCCCTTATCATTTATACATTAGACTCTCGAATTTTTCAGGTAGCTTGACTTAAATTTACTTTTAATAAACGAAAGAAAATAATTTTATCATATTAATTATATCTTGTATCAACTTTAAATTGTGCAATATCTTATTTCTAGTATTTCATGAGTTTCTAATAATATTCTTACTAAATAATCGAGTTGTTATTTCTTTTCATTTCGATTTGACACTTTGTGATTTTGTCATATATTACTCATATTTTGAAGCTTTTGGAGAGAAAAAACAACTTAATCATTGTATATACATATGTTATTTTTCACTATAACCTAAAAGTCACATGTTTTCAAACAAAGGACTGACATTGTGAAATTAAACTAATATTACAAATTTTTGACTTATTTATTTCGTGGGAATTATAATGCTTATTTTAAGCTGCCAAATTTGTTAAATGACGCATCAATTTTAAAAGTAAAGAATTTACCTTGAACAATGTTTTGATACAATTGCTTTGTGACGTTTGAATGTCGTTGATCTTTTCAATTTTTATTATATACTTAAAAATAGATTCTACGTTAATCGAGAATAACATTTGAAAATTTGATTTTTAATAAGGTAAACTAATTTTAATTCTCAACGAAACATTTTTTAATTCACAGGAGTATAATTATTAAACAGAAAATTTAAAATTCGATTAAAATATCCTTTTACAATTAATATGAAATAATATGAAATATGAAATCTATGAAATTTATGAAATTTAACAATATATCACTCACCAAGAGAGGTATCTTCCTGTGAACTAGAGTCCATTTTACATTTACACTCATCCAGGTCATTCATTTATTGTTTACTTGGGTAAGAAAGCTTTTTCGCATTATCCGCACAAGAATCCAAAATAATCTTTGCAAATATCACACTCGATGGTCTGTTATCTAAAGCTCTAATGTCAAGGGTTAGGTGGGATTTATTTACTCATCAAGGTTTCAGTTCGTTCATTGGTAGGAACCAATGAATCTATTATCTTGAATACATTGTGAAATATTTTGCTTGCTCGTAACAGTTTTATTATCAGTTTGTGAATTACAAAATTTTAGTTATCGCATAGCGACAGTGGAATGGCAAAATATTTGCTAAATTCAAGAAAAATAAAAATAAACTTTGTGAAATTAAAAAAAATGACTATTGCTTTTTTTACTAACTTCAGAGAACTTTGAAATCGAATTTAAAAAGAATTTATTGCCAATTTTTCTAAAATTATCAAATTGAGACAAAAAAACGAATCAAAAATGTTGCTACGCAACACTTTCGATTCGTTTTTTGACTCAATTTGATATTCTTAGAAAAATTGTGTTGAGTAAAATAGAGTAAAATTTTAGTTATATTTCATTAGGAAATAGATGTAGTAATATTTTTTATTTTTTTGCAATTACTTTATTTTATTTAAGTATAATTTTCTTTTTCAGGTAGCAAGATGCGCAATTAAAGTAGAATTGGTTAATGATAGTTTTACCGAATTAAAGGGAGAAATCGCTGGTCCTCCAGATACACCTTACGAGGGAGGAAATTTTGTACTCGAAATTAAAGTACCTGAGACTTATCCATTTAATCCCCCTAAAGTAAATGTTCAAAAGCTATTAATAAATTAATAAATTAACAAATTTATAAATTAACAATTTAACAAATTAATAAATTAACAAATTAATAAATTATCAAATTAATAAATTAATAAATTAACAAATTAATAAATAATAATTAAAAATTGATAATTATCAATATAATATATTAATCATAAAATAATCATTTGTTAATAATAATTTTTTTTAATGGAAAAAAATTCTTGCAGGTACGATTTATAACAAAAATATGGCATCCAAATATTTCTTCTGTTACCGGAGCTATTTGTTTGGATATATTAAAAGACCAATGGTACGTTTATTGATAATTTCTTCAAAAAGATTCAATTTCCGGTTTTTGTATGTAAATTTTTACCGTTAAAATTTGTTACCTAAAGTTTACGTATTCAAGCCTCGGATATTATAACTTTTTCGAATTTTATCGAATTATTTTCAAAAATTGAGACTTTTTCGACTTTTCTATCAAGTTTTGACACAAAAACCACATTTTTTATATAAAATGAATTTTATTTCGATTTTTATAGTGTAAAAAGTATATCTTTAGACAAATCTTTTAAAAATTATTATCGAATGATTTTTCTAATTAAATTTTTGAAATAAATTAAAAAAATTTTGAATAATTGAAATTTTTGTAAAATTTAATTGAAAATAAAACATTTTTTTCAAGTAATTTATTACAATTTTTGAAAAATAAACTTTTCGGGAGTTTTAAATTGCAAATTTTGAAAATAATTGAATTCTCCAAAATTTCAATAAAAAAAAAGATTTTTACTATTAATAGCAAATTTTTTCATTAATAGGGCAGCCGCTATGACCCTGCGAACTGTTCTCTTATCTCTACAAGCATTATTATCGTCAGCAGAACCTGACGATCCTCAGGATGCGGTAGTAGCTAAACAATACAAAGAGCATCCTGAAATGTTTCGACAAACTGCAAAACATTGGACGTCTGTTTACGCAGGAGGTTCGTTTTTTTTAATTTTCAATTTCGAATTCTCAGTTAATTTAATTTTTAAATTTAAATTTGAAAAAAAAATTTGTAAATTATTAATTTGAGAAGAAATTAATTGTATTGTATTTTTCAGGCCCAGCCACAATGCCTGAGTTAGACGACAAAATAAGACGATTAACCGACATGGGCATTGAGGAACACGATGCAAGAGTCGCACTATCGTCATACAATTGGGACTTGGAAAGAGCCACTGAACAACTTTTTAGTTAGTGGCAACTTGGCAGTCTCTCCTGCCATGTCATTCACATCACATTAATTATAAATCGCGTTCAAGTGATTTAAAAAGATCAATTTAGTCGAGAGTCTGTTTTTTTCTACTTCATTTGTATCATAGACATGAGGACATAAGAAACCATCATCGAGAGTTAAATAAGAGCTTCGATTAAATCGTTAAACCGGGCATGAATTATATATCTACGAAAGAGAGCACATTGTTTGCAAACTAAACTCTTTTTTTATTTTCTCGATAAAAGCGAACAACAACAACAAAAAAAACCGATTTCGACAAATTTTTGAAACAGCTTCGATTCCTTTTTTGGCTTTATAAAATTTAACCTATCGTGCATAATTTATCAAATTGATTTGTTTTTTTTAGAATTTTTTGTGTTTCCATCTAGCGATTTATAGAAGTCGCAACAAAATTTGTAGATTAATTTTTGTTTTTTTAAACTAAAGTTGTTATAATTTATTTAAAATTTTGTAATTTTTCTTTTTTCTACTAGTTTTAATGAAATTGTACAAAATAAATTAATGTCTACATAAAATTTTGTTAACATTTATTATCGATTTTTAATTAGAAGAAAAGAAAACCGAATTTGCTTCCTGAAAGGCACGATATAAATACTTTAATGTTATTATGCAATCTCCGGTACTTTTAATGTAAAATTTTTTAGCTGAAAATTGCCTATTTTTCTTAAGCAGAAAGTTAATTGAATCGTTAAAAGAGTCAAAGAGTTTTACATTCCAGACTCAGGAACGAAGTTGCATTTATTACTTTAAAATTATGTAAATGAATATCAGTTTGCGATTTTTTGTTTTAATAGAAAAGAAAGCGATTACGGAAGAAAATTCATGTTTAATCAATATTTTTCATTAAATAATAAATGAAAATTATTGGTGGGAAAAAAAAGTCAGTAAAACTTAATATGAGATTTTTCTTCTGTACTCGCGTAAAGATCTTTTTTTTGTTTTAAATAATTTATAAGGAGGGCTGTGTCACAAAGGTGTGTCTATATAAATAACATGAATTTCCTATAAAAATTCGAAATGGTAATTTAGTGGATAAGCGATTATTGCAAATTTAGGGTTTTTCATAAAAATGCTGTTCAAATGTTAAATGTACATTAATTAAATATTTCCAAAAAAATAATTATTAATAAATCGAATCTCTTTCAGTGTTAACGTTTTCACTTCAGTTTTCCAGAATTATTGCTACGACATTATTGTAAACCGGATTTTTACTACTAACAGGTTAAAAACTTTTTATTGTGTAAATGGTCGCCTATTGGCCAAAGAAATAAAAAAATCTCTTATAATGACGATAATTGATCTTAAGTTTCTGGAAAAGTATTTTTTTTTCTATAATATTATTAATTTACAAAGAGGAAAGAAATGTAAAAAAAGTTAATAATTATAATATAGAAAAATACTTGTTCAGTGCAAACATTTTAATAAAATCGATATTAATAATTAATAAAGAAATTTTAATTTCCTGACTTTTAATTTTAATGAGATCTCATTTTAATATTTTTAATTTTAATTATGAAAGAAGATTTCGACTAAATCAGCAAAAAAGGTTTTAATTTTAAATTTAAAAGCATTTTTAATTTTAAATTTAAAAACATTTTTTAATAAAAATTAAAAACCTAATTAATTAAAATAATCGAATTAAATTAATTAGGTTTTGAATTTTTCGCGCTTAACGTTCTGTGAAGTGGTACGACTGAAAAGGCGGTCTTTTCCTCTCTCGAACTTTTTGAGAAACATAACCTCAAAAAACTTTGTGTAAATAGAATTTTGCTAGCTGAAAATTAGCATTTAGTTTGTAATTATCATTCACAATTATGACAAATAGAACGGAAAAATCGAAAAATTTACCATGGTAAATATAAGTTTAATGCTAAATAATTAAGAATTGGACTTTTCTCAATATTTACGAATTAATCGTATGTTTATGTAGGGTCGAAAAATACCGGCCAGCTCAATTAGACGATCTCATATCACACGAAGAAATTATAAGAACGAGTGAGTAAATTAATATTTAAATTAAATAATTTTCTCTATCTGCAATTCCATAATAAATGCTTTTTTTAGTAAACAAATTCATAGAAGAAAATCAGTTACCTCATCTTTTGTTGTACGGACCGCCAGGTACTGGAAAAACAAGTACAATTTTGGCATGTGCTCGAAAATTGTATACACCTGCTCAGTTCAACTCAATGGTAGAATATTTTGTAAATTTCTCTATCTTTCTCTGTTTATTTAAATTGTCTGTCTATTTCTTTAAATTTCTTTTCTTTCTGTTTATTTAATTTTTCTCTTCTCTCTATTTCTTTAAATTTTTCTTTTTTCTATTTATTTAAATTTCTCATATTTCTAATTATTTAAAAATACTTTTACCTTGAAATTTTTTCAAAATTGATGCTAAGATTTTTGAATTGTTCCCTAAAGGTCCTTGAATTGAATGCTTCCGACGACAGAGGAATCGGAATTGTCAGGGGACAAATTCTAAGCTTCGCCAGTACCGGAACTATTTATCGGTCCGGATATAAACTCATTATTCTAGACGAAGCCGATGCCATGACTAATGATGCTCAAAATGCCCTCAGAAGAAGTTCGTGTCTGAAATAAATAAATAAATTTCCAAAAATGTAATTTACAGTTTAACACAATATTTAAAACATTTTATTCTTTAATTTTTCAGTTATCGAAAAGTATACGGAAAATGTGCGTTTTTGCATTATTTGCAATTATCTCAGTAAAATAATACCTGCTCTTCAATCACGTTGCACGAAATTCAGATTCGGTCCATTGGCACCTGAACAAATCTTACCGAGATTGGAATACGTCATTGAGCAAGAAAAGTAAGAAATAAAAAATCAATTAAAAAATTAATATAGTAATTAATAGTAATAGTTTAATAATAATTAGTAAGTAATAGTTGTAGTTACAAGTAATTTAGTATTTAATTAATTAATTTTCGTTCGAAATATCTAAAGGGAGATTTAATATTGTTGCAGATTAGATGTAACGGAGGATGGAAAAAAAGCATTGATGACTTTGAGTGGCGGTGATATGAGAAAAGTAATTAACGTACTTCAAAGTACATCACTTGCTCTGGGTTGCGTGACAGAGGAAAATGTTTACACTTGCGTTGGTCATCCCCTGCCAGTCGATATAAAAAATATCTTAGCTTGGCTACTGAACGAATCCTATCAACTTGCTTATTGCAGTATCCTTTTTATCAGGCATTTTTTCATTAATTCTTAATTTTTTTTACTTTTCAGAATTTAATTTAAATGCTAAACAAACTAAAAACCATTCGAACACTATTTAATTTACATAGAATTTTTCTGTTTAAAATATTTTTATTTCTTAAAACCTTAACTCTTTCTTAGAGATACAAGACCTCAAGATGAGAAAAGGTTTGGCTCTTCAGGATATTCTTACAGAGCTGCATATTTTTGTCAATAAGAGTACGTATTCCTGATTTTAATTTTAATTAATTTAATTTATTTGTAACTAATTAAAATTTGTCAACTGAAATATTCTTTCGCCTAATAAGAAATATTGACTTTCAGTTGAATTCCCAGAACCAGTATTGATCGATCTCATAATAAAGTTGGCAGAAATTGAAAAAAGACTAGTCCTCGGATCCAGTGAAGCAGTTCAATTGAATGCTCTCGTTTCTGCTTTTCGAGGACCACGTGAAATTGAAGCACCATAATTTATCACACTTGCCTACTAATTTACTCAAAGTATAAATGTCTTCGTCTTAATTTAACACTTAGAAATAAAATTTCTCTATAAGTACTCTATCATGAATTTATATTTTTATACACTTTTTTAAAAGTAAAAACTCGAGAATAAATTAATTTTAAAAAATATATTTTTGTTATTAACAAAAACTTAAACCCACTACATACAATTGGTGAAAAAAAATGAAGAAACCATCTTACAGTTAATTAAGAATTATTTACACGACTTTCTTAAAGTGACAAAAACGCGAATTGAAAGTAGTAACTAGATTTTTTTTTTAAATTCATTTCTTATTTATGAAGAAAAAAAATACCGTATTATTATAATTCCACTAGTGAATGATTGAGAATGTTATTGTCCCAAGAACAAGTGAGAAGTTTGTTCTGATACCAAGCGAGGCCACGAACGAAATCTTGATGTCTGTCGTCTTCATAAATTGTTGCCAGGCTTCGATCAATGTCGAACATTTTCACCATGTTTCCATCGCAGCATCCGGCTAATTGATTCGGACTGTAACGAGAATAAATTCGAAACATTTGTTTAATTACAAAAAAACTAAGTGAAAATTGAACTAATTGAAAAAAAATAAACAAAACAAAAGCAATGAGAAACAAAAGACTAAGTGAAAATTAAATTAATTCAAAATACAAACATTATTGAAGAATGAGAAATGTTAATTAGATGAATATTTACATTTGGGGATTAAATTCAAGTTTATAGACCGCTCTGTCGAAAAGTACATTGGAAGATACTTCGGAATTTGGATTACGAATATCGACAATGGTAATGCTACCGTCTTCAGCGCCAATAGCAGCAATATTTTCATCGTTCGGCTTCCAAGCAATCGCTGTTAAACCACAATTCTTCTTTTTGAAAATTCCTGAAAAAGAAATTTAATTTTAATAACAGTAGTGACTTAATAATTATGAAACGATTATAATTATAGATATTATTTGTAGATGATTAACATCGTTAATTCGTCTCTTCGTTAACATAAATATTATCATTTACAAATGATTAACAATTAAAAATTGATTTTTATTTTTCTACCATGGGCTGGTTTCTCCTTCCTGATATCCCAGATAAGAGCATCAGAATCCATTGAAGTGGACGCAAAAATAGAATCACTCTTCGCTTGTGCACTCACACAGGTGATTGTATCACAATGCGCCGAATTATAAGAGTACATCGATTTAAGATCCTCTGTCACATTCCAAACTTTAATACTGAAAAAGAGAAAGTAATTTTTAATTTTCTCTTTGGTGTTGAAAATAATGATAATAAATAAGTAACGAGAATCATTTCTCTTAAATAATTGTTTTTAGAGAAAAAATCTAAAATGCTGTTTACCAACAATCCATTCCTGCAGAAACGACAGTTACATTATTGTCAAATACTGACAAAGTTATTAAACAATCGTCGTGTTCACAAGAGTAACTTAATGGACTGAATGACTTCAACATCGAGCCACCTTCCACATTTTTCTCGTCAATTAATTTAACGATTTGAATCATTCCACTGTCTTCGCCAATAATGCACTTGTCATGCTGACCAAGAAAAGCAGCGTCCGCAATTCCACTATCAGCTCTTATTGCTCCGTACGCGTTATTTTTATCGAAATTCTCCAATTGATTAAAGTACAAAAAGGTGCCACTCCAAGTTCTATCAGTCATGTTACTCGCGCCAATAATGACGCTTTTGTCTAAAAGAAAAAAATTGTTAGTGAACTTTTAAGAATGTTAGTGGGAAACATTTTTAATAACTAAAACGAAAAATAAATAAACAATATAATAAGTAATAAGTATAAGTTTGATAAGAGTTACAAAAAGTAATGGTCAACATTACACGTGGATTTCATTTTAGGTAAGTTTCCACAAGTTGATTAATATTACAAAAAAGTAAACTTGACACTTTAAAAAAAAAAAAAATCTAATCAAAACGACAAAAGTTTAAATTTTCCAATTGTATTTTAGTTTAATATAGAAAACCGGTAGAAGAGTGACATAACCTAAAAGTACGGTATTCACCTTGAAAAACTTTAATGACTTGTAATTGTTTGTCATGCACCGGTGGTCTATCTGCATCACTCAAATTTCTATATTCTTCTGCATTCATATTAGGAATGACATGATTGTACGTATCGTCCATTGTCCTTTAAATTAAGAGAAACTTTTTGTTTATATAGCAATTCGCGACGTTGAACATAAAAACACAACAAAAGATAACACAAGAACCGGAAGGGAACACGCTCAATTCCGTTTCATAAAAACCGTCATTCATGAAAATTTGAAACGGGAATTTATTCAAAAAATTTTTGATTTTTGCTATTCATATAGGTAATTACAAATTGTAGGGGATAATCAGTTTTCAATTAAGTACTTTTAACAAATGTAAAGAATATGTTTTTAAAGGCTTCGATTTTCTTTTTTTATAATTTATATACAAAAAAAGGACAAAAAGTGTAGAAAGTGGAACCGGAAGTGCATCACTGGCACTGATGGTGAAATAAATTCTAATGAAAAATTCCCTAGATATTTAAAAATTCAAATATTAATAACAAACATTTAATAACTTCAACTTTTGTTACAATTTTATTTTTTTTATTTCTACTTTTTTATTTTTATTATTTATTTTATTTTTATTTCTAAATATTTAAACATTTATTAAAAGTTTACTTCACCATAAAAAGTTAATAATAATCAATAAATATAATAGTTGTTAATAAATTGCAAAAATCACTAAAAAATACTTTTAAAAATTAATTAAAAATATTTTTTTACCAAGAAACTTAATTAAAAATACCAATAAATTATTGACACTGTTTCAAAATATAATAAAGCTCGTTTATCATTTTTTTAAAACTAAATTAAGAAAAAAAATAAATTTCTATAGTGCAATTATTATTTATTCAAATTATCATTAAACAAACAGATGAAAATTAGAATAAATTCAATTACGAGTAAAATATACGTTTCTACACAAAGAGTTAATTGATAAAAAAAATTTTTTTATCTCTATTGATGATATTCAAATTAAATTTAAATTTTTTATTTGAATCTGACAAATGTCTTATATTGACAATTCATCTAAAGTGAAAAACTTGATCGTTACATTATAATGTAATAAAATAAATTGAGGATAAACAGTTTAATGGAACAATTGGAAACCATTGTTTGTATCAAGAAAAGAGTAAATTTTTTTATTGCAGAAGATAATTGAAATTATCAAATTTGATTGTTATTGAAAAGTACACAAAAAAATAATAATGACGTATTTGAATAGAAATCGATATAAAAAAATAATTTTGAAAAATTTGTATAAACAAATGTTCTTGGAACCAATAAATACTCGGTTTGATTTGTTATTTTTCAAATTTTGACGATTTTTTAAAGAATTTTTTTATTCGATTTATAAGGAAAAAGTGTTTAAAATACATTTTTCGAAATTTATAAAAAATTATTTTTACAGAACAGTTATTTTTAGTTTTAGAAAAAGTTATTTTTAGTTATAAAAAAAATTATTTTTAGCTATAAAACAATTATTTTTAGTTACAAAAAAAAATTATTTTTAATTTTATATTTAAAAAATCATTTTTCAAAATAAAATTTAGAAAATAAAATTTTTCCAAATAGTAAATAATAAATTTAAAACTAAATTTATATTAAAAATGTCGGATTTAAGCCAATCAAGACGTATTTTTTTCATCATTTTCTTGTTTGGAATTGGTAAAAGTAATTTTCTCGGTAAAATTCTAAGCATTGGAGGAACAAATGTGGGTGCTGTTGAATATCGTGAGTGTTATTTTTAGTTTAATCGATTTTTTAAACTTTTTAATTGAGAAAAAATTAATTTTTTTTCCTCAGAATGCACAGATGACAGTGATTTTTCATCAAATGCGTTAAAATTAGTTTTAAAGTGGTATCGATCAAACATTATTTCTGAAGGACTGCCGGAATTAAATTTTCCTTCCTTGGAACCTCTCAAAATCAATAAAATCAATTTCGAAACGAAAAATAAACAAATTGGAGAGTAAGTTAAACAAAATTAAATATATTTTAAATTAATAATTATCTTTTTTATTATTTTTAGTATTTTCATTATTGTTTTTACTTTTTTTCTTAATTTCATTATTTTTTTTATTTTCAGTATTTTTATTGTATTTTTTTCTAATTTTATTGTTATTTTTTTGTTTCTCGTATTTTTATTATTATTTTTATAGCTTTTTCTAATTTTATTTATTTATTTTTTGTTTCTAGTATTTTTATTGTTTTTGTTATAATTTTTCCTATTTTTATTTATTTAATATATTATTTTCATTCATTCAAATAATAGTTTAAAAAATTAATTAATATAACAATTTAATTTTACAGTTTAAATTTGGATCTGACAAATCTGACACTGACGAAATTGGCGACGTTTGAAATAAAGAGTGCCTGTATGTTCTTCTTCAGTCGAAGAATAATAGTGAATATCACGGTACCGGTAATTTATGCAAGTGGAAATTATAATTTATCGGGTGTGATGGAGAATCTCTCGCCCGGTAAAAGAATCGATTTGAGTGGATCTGGACAGATTGATTTTTCTCTCAATAATTTAGAAATTTACGCTCATCTCGTCATTGGTTTAGGAGATTCGGCATATTTGAAGCATTTTGATTTTGATTATTCCATAGAAAGAGTGAATTTGAATCTTGAAAATTTAATGGACACAAAGAAGCACGTCAGTCTAATTATGAATCAAGTAAGTTTGATAAATAACAATATAAACAGTAATTCAATATTTTTTAACAATAATTCGTTTTAATTATTTATTTTTATTTTTTATATTTTTTTTGTATTAATTTTTATTAATTTTTTGTATTTTTTTTTATGCATTTTTATTATTTGTATTTTTTTATTAATTTTTATTTTCTTTTTTTTTCACTCGATTAATTTTGTATAATTCTCTACAGGTTGTAAATGAATTATTTCCCGAAGCTCTTAGACAATTGAAACCCGAAATTTTGCCATCATCGCACAATTTTCTCAAAGAGAAAATAAACAATATTGTTAGTTATCTAACATTCCAGAAAATGTTTACATTTATGTTGAAAATTGCCGCAGATTCCTAAATTAACATTTTTTTAGTTTACAACTGTGTATATTGATATATTTTTAATTTATTGTTAGTGTATTTTTATTATTTTATTATTTTATTATAAGCGTCAGTGTTTTCCAGCGATTAATATTAATATTGTTATTACTGTTGGTATTGTAAAATAAATTGTAAATAATTTTTGTAAATTAAAAAAAAAATAAAAATTTTGCTCTATTTTTTAAATTGGACTTTATATATTATTGAATAATTATAATATATAAATTATTAAACGACGAATTTGTGCGTATATATTTTTATTCAAGAATGATTATTTTACAACTACCACAGTCATTACCGTTTTATAAACAGTAACATTTTACATTATTCCTTATAAAAAAGATTCTTTAAGAAAAAAAAAGTAACAAACTGCTGTCTGCATAGCGGAAGCATTTTTTATATTCTCATAAATCGCAGATTCATAATATAATAAATTAAATTTATGAGTATTTATTAATTTGCTCAATAGACTTTTTTTCTAACGATAAAAGTCATTTTTTTTTTTTGAGAATATGTTAAAACTACAAAAAAACAAATTTATAAATACATTTTTATTTATTACACAATTCTCTGGTACTCTTCGACTCCCACTTGAAACGAAATTATAAAATGAATAATTACTATTTTTCGTTTAAATTAATTTTAAAGTCAAATTAATTTAAAATTAAATTATTTTACAATCTTGTTTTATAAATTGTAACTTGAATAAAAAATCTTTTTATTTGAGGAAGATTTGCAAAGTATATTGCAATTTGGATTACAAATTTAAAAAGTACCTAATTATTTTCTTATTTTTATTTTAAAAAAAAGAGAAAAGATGTTTTTTTTATTCTTATGGTCTATTATTAATTTTTTGTTTTATTTTTAATTTTTTTTTAATTTTTTAATTTTAAATTAAGATATTAAGGAAAAAAAATTGCAAAAGTACCAGAAAAATGTTTACATATGGAAAGCAATTAATATTTTTGAAAGCAATAAGAAATATTTTTTAAAATGCAGCAATAATTTTTTTTTATTAGCAGCCACTAAAATATTACTCTAAAGAAATAGTAGGTATTGAAAATATTTTATAATTATTGTAAAATGATGCGCAGATTATTATTGAGCATTTTTCAATATCTATATATATACTAAAATATTTTATTCCCTTTTTGTACTAATAACTGTTTGATTATTACTATAAATATTTGGCAAACATTATGTAGCTATGTCTAGAATATTTTTCTTTTCTTTTTTCTTTTGGCGCATGTAAATACTTTTATGTTTTTTCATTAGGTCCGTATTTTTAAATGAAAATTCATTAAAAAACAACACGAAACTTATTTTTTATGTTTCAAAACTTTCTCTTTCTCCATTTTTAAAAAAAATAAAATCTGTTTTCCTTCTATTTGCTTCTGCTTCTCTGAATTTGCGATTATTATATATAAAATACTATTTTATAAATATAATAATTACGTTAATTAACATTAATTATATTAATTGTATTAATTAATAATAATCAGATTAATTAACACTATATTAATTAATGTTAGTTATATTAATTAATTATGTTAATTAACACTAATTATATATTAATTATCGTTAATCGAATTAATTAACACTAATTACGTTAATTAACAGTAATTATATTAATTACCATTAATTTTTAATTACTATTCACATACACAATTTAATTTATATGCTTTATTCTAATTAATAGTTATTATCAATTATCAATAATTATAACAATTATAACAATTATCAAATAATTGATTAAAATTAATTAATAAGATGATAATTTAGGAAAATATTAATTTCCAAATTCGAGACATTACACAATTCTTATTGATTAATATTAATTAATTATTTATATTTAAGAGTTATTAAATGACTAGTTTATTTAAGAATAACTTAATTAGAAAAATTAATTAGGGAATATATTAAAATTTCGATTGACCTTAGAAAAATGAATTTTTTTTTGTCAGTGTCCTAAATAAAGAAGCACGTGTAGGAATGAATTATGACTGTTACAGAAGCGATTGTATAATATCATAAATTTACATATAATTGTTAGGAATCACTGGAATAATTATAATACAATAGGGACAATATAAGTATTAAATTTGACTAATATATAACACATGTTCTTTAACACTGGTATTTTTACCCTTAACATTACAAATCTTTTTTCTTTATAACAATCAACCTATCATTTTTTTTTCTTTTGTCATTTATATATATATTGATATAATAATATATTCTACATTCATTAGTAAATATGTACGTATACACATTAAAAAATAATGCGATATAACAATTATTATTAAAAATTGTAATATTTTCATTATTAAAATAAAATTTTTTTTCGATATTGCATTAATTTGCAATAACTTGAGAAAACCGGACGTTATCGTTGATACTCTATATTATTTATAATGTGTAGGAAACTTGTGATTATTGTTTTGTTTTATTTCTTTTTTCTTTTTTATATCTGATGATTTTTCTTTTTTCTGCTTTATTTATTATTTTAATTCTTGGTTTTTTATTTAATTAAATGTAGGCAAATGGTTGTGATTTACGAAAACAAAAAATAGTAGGCAATATATTTATAGAAAAATAATATTGTTATTCAGGCCTGTTTGTTAAACAATAATACTGTTCGTCAATAAATAATGTTGTTAATAAATAATATTGTATTTTAATGAAAAATACTGTTGATAAAAAATACTATTAATAAATAATACTATTAATAAATAATACTATTAAAAAAATACTGTTGATAAAAAATATTGTCAATAAATAAGTTTGTTAATAAAAATACTGTTAATAAAAAATAATATTAATAAAAAAATACTGTTGATAAAAAATACTGTCAATAAATAATATTTTGAATAAAAAAATGCTGTTAATAATAAATGCTGTTAATAAAAATACTGATATTAAAAAATAATAGTAATAAAAAATATAAATACTCTTAATAAAAAATACTGTTGATAAAAAATACTGTTGATAAAAAGTACTATGTATTAATAAATAATACTATTCTGTATTAATTATAGTAATTATAGTAATTTCTTTTTTTTCAAAATCGAAATAAAAAATGTCTTTTTTTAAAGAAAAGAAGAATGAATGTATTTTTCTATTCTTTCGGTCGTTTTTAGGAATTTTTGTTTGTTTAATATTTTTACGACTTTTATAACTCAATGAATCATTATTTAAAATTTTCTGTCTTTAATTTTCTCAATTCTAAAATTTCTTCGACTCTTTAAAATTTTTTTAAATTTTTACTGTTGTTTTTTTTAAATCTTTTCTTTTAACAATTTTTTGATTCTTAAAATCTTCTATTTCATGTAAAATTTATTTATTTAAAATAAATTAAAAATTTTTTTTTTAAATGTTTGCGTGATTTTCTTTCAATTTTTCATAAAATATTTCGTTTTTTTAAAGATATTTTTAAATCTTCAATTGTCTCGAGCGTTTTCTTTTTTTAAGAGAAATTTTTCAGCTTTAAAAAAATCTTTTTATGTGTAAAAAATTTTCATTTCTTTCGATATTTCTTAACCTTTAATTGAGAAAACAAGATTTTTGAAGAGTTCAGTATTCTGAATTAGGCTATTTAAAGTTTTTTAACTTGTTAGATTTATAATAAATATTGAAATAAGAGAAGATTTGTTAGAAGAACGATTAAGATGTTCAAATAAATGTCAGAATTAATATTAATAAAATTAATAATTAATTATTATTATTAATTAAATTAATTAATAATTCTGCGACAATTTACAATTTTTAATTGAGAATCACAAAATTATAGCTTCCGTGTTAAAATTTTTGGAAACTTTCCCAACTTTAAAAAGTCAAATTTCGTATAGAGAGAATAAAACAGGAAATTCGAATTTGGTCTTTTTGACGTTTCTTTTTTTTACCTAGGAAGCGCAACTATTTTTTAAACGTTCACTCATATCTTTGGGCGGATTTTGTTTTCGTTAATATATATTTATGCTAAAAACCCTAGCAACAATTTTTTTTATGTTGAAATAAAAGTTTTTTTTCTCTATATTGTGTAAATTTACCTACAAAAGGATTCACTTTGAATGCTTTGTGATTGAAGTATCTGATAGGGGGGCAAAGTGTCTTTGAAATGTGATTTTGTCAATAATCCTAAACCGAGGAGAACGACAGGAAGACCGAGAAGAGCACATATCAATTCTCCCGTGACGCCCGGCGACAAAGTGATCCATCCTGAAAATAAAAAATTAATTAATTCTAAAATCACTTTATGTAAATTTATTTCCCTATTTAATTTATGAAATTGATATTTTTTATTATTTTCATGATTTAATTTGTTTGTTAATTTAAAAATGAATTTAATTAAAAGAAATTGCATAGCGAATACCTCCATTGACGCCAATATCCATTTTATAGATGCTCCACCATATACCTGACAATGGTAACGAGACAGTTGTGGCAGCGACACTAAAAACGGCACTTTCGCACATGGAGAGGAAATTTAAAATTGAAATAACAAACATCACATAGGCGCCTAAAAATGTCCAAGCATGTCCTGATACATTAGTGCAAGAGCTGCTTCCCTTGACGTGACACATTAAACCATATTTGATTGTCCGATATAGATCTGCCGGGAGAAGTCCCTGAAATAATACCAAAAGAAATTAAAAGAAATAAACAATTTCCTTAAAAAAAAACAACTACAAATTTTATCTCTCTGCTTAAAAGTTCTTTTAAGATAATAAGACAAACGAAATAAGATACACTGAAATTTGTAGGTGACTTTTTTGTACTTTTTGAATTTGTATTCTTTTCTTTCGTTTTTTTCTAACTCAAATTTTTTTCTCTTACCTCAAATTTCCTTAAAAAAAAATATCAAGGTTAACAATGGATTATAATTTTATACGCAAGAAGTGAATACATCGAAAAACACTTTTCTCGATGTATCCACTTCTTCGATGATGGTAATAATGAAGATTTTGTGAAATGATACAGTTTCAAATAATGGATTTATGAACCATAGCTTTTTTAATTTAAAAACTTAACGAGTTTCAATAAATGACAGCAAAACTACCAATAATCAAAAGACTAATTTCAACCAATAATAATAAAAATAAATAGAAAAATCTCACTGACTGAAAGCGCTAAATAAGAAAATTGATATCAACTGTCACTGAATGAAACGATAATTGTTGTCATTATTTGAAACCACCATCAATTGACATTGACACTATATGTAAGAAACTACCATTAGTTGTAAATAAACATCGGTTGATGACAATTTGTTAATTTTTCAAAATTAGTAAACTAAAATACTAAATTGTTTCGCGCTCCGAAGAAAGGTATAGTTTTCAGTTACAGAAATTGTAAAAAAAAATCTAAAATTATTTTTTTTGCCTCTATACTTTTCTTCGGAGCGAAAGTCAATGTCAGTTACAACCAGTAGTGGTCCCAAACAATCGTAACTTACTCTTCCAATCCCGGGCAAAGTATCGATCCAGGTGAAGAGCAAAATCACGATAAATGTGACAATGTGTATGTATAAAAGTGTTTCTAAAATCGGTGGTTTTGGAAAGGTTTTTGGTTTTATTGTTGGATCCGGATCAGTGACGTGCAACAATCGACCGCCGTCCTCGACAGTGCTTCTTCGTCTCACGTCACGCGAGGACACCAAACGTGACACCGTGTGCAGGAAATTGCTGTGATTCGTCGGCAGCAGAGGCCCAGTGTTCTGTACGAAAAAAACTTTTGTTACAAACAAAGAAAAAAATAAAAATTGCTATTAAATTACAATTGTACTTGAGACAATTTGCTCCGAAGAAAGGTAACCAAGAAGCAAAAATACTTTTCTTCGGAGCGTGTCACAATGGGAAAAAAAGGAAAAGGAAACTTTTACCCCAGTGGTAAAGAGACGTTCAAGAATCGTGAAAAACATGGTAAAAGCAGCAAGTGCAAGCACATAGACAAACGTCCAAACAGCTCTTATTCCCCAAGATCCTCGCATTTGCATAGTGTGACCGGAAGTTTCCCTTCCTCTGCAACGAAACTCGTCGCAAAGTCCATAATCGACACTTATAAAAAGTCCCACAATTATTGTTGTACTCGAGAATATGCGCTGTAGACTCATCACTGAAAAAGAAAAAAATGAAAAATTAATATTCATTTAGTCCGCATTATGAATAATAGAATTTAATATATTTCACTTACTTTTGCGACAAAAGAAGAAATAATAAATGAGTGAAAAAACAAGGACGATGCCTTTTATCGGATCTTGCAAATGACAAAGGACTCTGTTTTGGTCCAAGGATAGACCGATGAGAATACCTGAAGTCGCATACAGCAAACTGATTTTCAAAATAACATTACGTGGTATTGAAATTCTAGTGCTGCTTGGAATTGGAATTGGCGATGGCGAAATCTTTTCTTTAACGAAATAAACAACGGCCAGAATACAAACGGAACCAAATGCAGTGAATAGTAGTGCTGGAAAAATTAAAATGGTTTTAGTTTATTGACACTGGTTCAGAAGAAAAAGAAAAATGCTACAAAACAGAACAAAAACGATTAACACTGAAAGAATTGTTTAAAAAGTGGTAATTACTGAACTCTTTCACAAATTCTGAGAAAATGGAAAATTAAAACTAAAAGAGAGAACTACAAAAGAAAATTAAAAAAGAAGAAAAAAAAAGAACTGTTATTAATATAAAAATTGTTTTCCAAATATTTTTATTTTCGAATCGATTGTTATTTTCAACAAATAAATATTATAACTTTCGACCTTGAATATTTCGCTCAACAAAATTTACTTTCACTAGTGCCACCCTTTCAAAACTTTCAAGAATGTTAAATGCAACTAAAATAGTGTTTAAATAACAGCATGTAAGTTTTATACTTGCATAAGATTCAGATTAAGATAAAAAACAAAACAAGACGCAAAAAATTCTTTCCTCTACAAAGTATAGATTTTAGCGTCGAAATATCGAAAAATATTTGCATTCGCATTTTAGAATTAATTTCTTCTTCCTCTTTAGATTTTAGAATTAGAATTAGAATTAGAATTAGAATTAGAATTAGAATTAGAATTAATTTAGTCAAAATTCTCAAAATGTTAAGTATTTTTTACTGCAGGTTTTATTTTATTTTCAATAATAAAAGGTAAAAAAAATTATAATTATAAATAATAGTAAATAAAATAATAATAAATAAATTCCCTCATTTTTTCATGGTTTTAATTTATTTTCAATAATAAATAAAATAAAAAATAAAATAATAAATAAATAAATAAAATAAAAATAAAGAACAACTAAAAGAAACATAACTAACAATCCAGATAAATAAATAAAAATTCAGAATTTTTTGAATGCAAAAAAAATAAAATAAATTGAATTTTAAGATTGAGTAAAATTAATTAAAATGTAATTGTCCTGAATACCTGAATATCCATTAGAGACGGCACTGACACTTTCCAGATAAAGTGGAAAACTAATTACGAGAATTGTAACTGAGATAATAACCATACAGAGTGTAAAAATAAAACTGAATTTTTTCCAATTAGGACTGTCGGTGTCAAAGGGTTTCTCCGACGATTGATAACCAACGAATGGTGGTTCTTCAGTGTCTGAATATTCCTCAATTTCAACGTCACTTCCAGTGCAACGTAATTCTTCCTGCTCATCATCCTCCATAATTTTTGTCAATCGAATTCTCACTTTTAAACTTGATTCCTCTCAATTACTGCTCCTGAAATGGAAAATAAAATCAGTAGAGGTAGACGTATAAATAATGGAGAAAAAATAATAATAATAAGTAGAAATAAGTGGCATTTGCAGAAAGTAGTTAAAAAAGAATAAATAAGTAGAGAAAAGTCATAAAAGTAGAAAAATTGTGGAAAAAAGTAGAGAAAAAACAGAAAATAGCAGAAAAGAGTAAAAAATGTGGAGGAAGGTTGAAAACAGTAGAAAAATGTAAAGAAAAAGTAGAAAATGTGGAGAAAGGTAGAAAAAGAGTAGAAAATAGCAAAAAAAAAAGTAGAAAACAGCAGAAAAATTTAAAAAATTTAGAGAAAAGTAGAAAAACAGTGGAAAAAAATAGAAAATATCAGAAAAAATAAAAAATGAGGAGAAAGGTAAAAAAGAGTAGAAAAATGTAAAGAAAAAGTGGAAAATGTGGAGAAAGGTAGAAAAATAGTAGAAAATAGCAAAAAAGTAAAAAAAATGTAGAGAAAAGTATAGTAACAGTGAAAAAAATGAGAGAAAAAGTAGAAAATGTAGAAAAATAGTGGAAAAAAATAGAAAAAAAGTAGAAAATATCAGAAAAAATAAAAAATGTGGAGAAAGGAAAAAAAACATAGAAAAATGAAAGGAAAAGTAGAAAATGTGGAGAAAGATAGAAAAATTTTAAAATACCAAAAAATGTAGAAAAACAGTGCAAAAAAGTAGAGAATATCAGAAAAATAAAAAATGTGGAGAAAGGTAAAAAAACAGTAGAAAAATATAAACAAAAGTTGAAAATTGTTAACTTCTTCAAATTTAAAAGTTGAAAATGTTGAGAAAGGTAGAAAAACAGTAGAAAAAAAGTAGAAAATAGTAAAATAAGCAAAAAAATGTAGAGAAAAGTAGAAGAACAGTGGAAAAAGTAGAGAAAAAGTAGAAAATATCAGAAAAACAAAAAATGTGGAGAAAGGTAAAAAACAGTAGAAAAATGTAAAGAAAAAGTAAAAAATGTTGAGAAAAGTAGAAAAACAGTAGAAAATAGTAGAAAATAGCAAAAAAGTAAAAGAAAAATGTAGAGAAAAGTAGAAAAACAGTGGAAAAAATTAGAGAAAAAATAGAAAATATCAGAGAAAATAAAAAATTATGGATAAAGGTAGAAAAACAGTAGAAAAAAGTAGAAAATAGTAGAAAAAGTAAAAAAAAATATTGAGAAAAGTAGAAAATGTGGAGGAAGGTAGAAATACAGTAAAAAATGGCAGATAATGTAAAAAATATAGAGAAAAGTAAAAAACAAGTAGAAAAATATAGAAAAAAGAATAAACAAAAAAAAAAATAAAAATAAGAACAATAATAATAAAGAATATATAAATAAATAAAGTAGAAAAAAGTATAAATAAGTGCAGATAAAGTGTAAATAAGTGTAGAAATGTACAAAAATACAAGTAAAATAAAAACTCCAAAAGAATAAAATAAAAACAACAAAATATTTACGATTGTAAATAATAAATATCTTTGACCTTATAATACAAAATAAAATTTGCGAAAAATGAAAATATTTCTATTTTTAGACAATATTTACATTACTCGACATAATAACAACAATAATAAAAAAAAATAAAAAACTCACCCTTCGCTCTGGCAAAGGAATAAATCAAAACTTAACCTGCCACCGCCCAAAGAGAAGAAAAATCACAGTTTTTCCTTTCTAATTTGCAAATACAAAAATCCATGTGGATATAATAATTTATTGGCAATTAAACATTCCTTTCGTGAAACTTACTCTATTGAGTAATAATTTTTAGTTATTGGAGGAAAAAAAAATAACACTCGTCTCTGACTCCTGTTAATGTGCGTCGATGCAGAATTTTATGCTCCAAAGTCACGCTTGCGCTTCTCGATTTTTGTTATTATTCAATTCGTATATATTCACTACTGTTACGTCTGCGTTATGCACCACTTTTCCATTAAATATATCGAGAAAAATTAAAATTTCTCTTTTTCTGATTAAAATCGGTGTATATAATATATATATAAATTCCCCTCCCCCTGCTGTTATAGTTATAAATTTTACTCTATATATCGTGTTCGCGATGAAATGTCTGTTAAAAAAAAATTATCTATTAGCAGTTTAATTTATCGCAATAACTAATTTTTATCGCATTTTTTCTTCATTTGTACTTGTAATCAAAAACGATTGTAATTGTTATAATGATTCATTTAAGTAATTGTTGAATAAGGTGGAAAAAAAAGTAATCTTAAATTGTGAGAATTAAACAAAAGTCTTTTGATTGAAATAAAATTACTTTTGGACAATTATCCTTCGGGAGTAAATAATAAATTATTTTTCTATTATATAAAAAATATTTTAATTTTTTTATAGCAGGAAAAAAAATTTTCTTCTTTTTTTTCATTTTCAATTTATTATATAAATAACATTTTTAATTTCAAATAAATTGTAGAAAAAATAATATTGTTATAAAATATAATAACAAAATGTAATAAAATCTTATAATAAAATATAATTGAGTAAATAATAAATATTAAACTGATAATAAAGAAATAATAAAATCATAATTGAAAAAAAAATTCGATTTGAAAAAACGAAAATAATTCGAATAAAAAAACAAAAAAATCCTATAGACTTTTTTTTCAAACAAAAAATTTCCATTATTCGGAATAAAATAATTGTATAATAAATATATGTAATGACAAATTAAATAAATAATTATATTAACAAATATTAAATAAACAATAAATAACAAAAAAAAACAAAAAATAACTGATAATAAGGAAATAATAAAATCACACTTGAAAAAAATATAGATTTGAAAAAGCTAAAATCGAATAAAGAAACCAAAAAATAGATTTTCTTTTTGAAACAAAAAATTTCGATTATTTGTAATGAAATAATATTTATTCTCTAGATAGTATATAGGGAGAAAATTTGCATGATAACACCTCTACGAGTTCAAAAGGTTCTCGCATTTTAGATAAACTTTCTGAAATGAGACTCGCGTTCATATAATATATTAGAATAATTTGATTTGCGTGTTAATTAATATAAATAGTGGAAGGAAGGCTTCTCTTTTTTTTTGTCCATTTAACGTCATATTGACCATGACCAAATGATCATTGTGGACGGTAATGAATTTTTTTTCTCATTAACACTTTATATGACTAAATTTATACACATTATTACAATTATATGCATAAAATAATCGCACCTACGTGATTTAAAACACACGTTTTTTTTAATATGCAAATTCCAATAACATGATGATTTGTTAAAATTTTTTTTTTTCAAAAATAAATATTGTTTTCTTTTTTTTGTTCTTTACACTCAAACATATTTTACTCTTTGTAATTAATTATACGTTTTTTTGTGACTAATTAGATAAAACAGAAGTCGTCCGCGCTCATTAATTATAATTTGATTCAGAATTGTTCGTTTTCTCAAGTGTGCTTCGAAAAGTTGACTTCTAATTAAATATACACACTCGCGGGTATATAATTAAATTTCGGGTTGAAGAAAAAAAAAATTCCGTTCCAAATGTTAGAAAAAAAAATTTTTTAATTCAGCTCTGTCGAAAAATATAAAAAAAGATTCGAAATGGAAATAATTGAACATTTCGTAATTTTTGAACTGAAATGATAAAATAATTGTAAAATAGCAAATAAAAAAAAAAAGAAAAAGAAAAAAAGAAAATGGATAGAAATCTAATAGAAAATAGCAAATAATGAATAGAAAATCAATGAATAAACTATAAGAAAAGTAAAATAGAGAAAAAAATTGATATTCATATTTGAAATGAAGAATTTTAATGTAGACAATAAAAATGCAAACACATTATTAGAGATAAAAATAGAGCAAAAAAAAAAAAAAAATTGATTCTCTTTTCTTTGTAACTGATTGAAGTGTAAATAATGAGTAAAACCGATTTACTACTTAATTGGAGTTAATCGATCGCACGTGTGATTCAATTCGTTTAAAGATAAATCAATCCCAAGATTAACAATTGACACAATTCACGCCTGATTGAATCTGAGTAAATCAATTGGTATCAACTTGGATTTTGTATGTAAAAAAAATTCAGGTAAATTTATTATAATAAAAAAATTATTATCTGATATTAAAAATTATTATTTATTATTAACTATTTACATATCGATATACAATAATTGTTTTTCTAAGCATATCAAATTGAGACAAAAAAATGTACAAAAATGATAGAAAAATAGTTTATGAAAATAAAAAATAAGTAAAAAAAAATAAAAATAAAAAAATAAATAAATAATAATAAATAAATTTTATTACCAATAATTTTGGTACTTTTTTGATCTCAATTTGTCTCAAAATTGTTGCGACGCAACAATGAAATACACAAATAAAAAATAAATAAAAAAATAAATTATAAAAAATACAGTAAAATAATCAAAGAGAAAATAAACTAAAATTAATCGCGAAATTAATTAAAAAAAAATTAAAGTTTAATAAAAATTAAATGTTTCGGCATTTCAATGGAATGTTTAATTCTTCGATATTCCAGCGGAATATTCCTCTATTTCAATAGAATATTTCCAATATATTCCAAAGGTCGGATCTTTTAATTTTCTTATAAAATTTAAATGGAATATTGCAGAAGAATATTCACACTTTTATTCCAAAGATCGAGTATTTTAATATTCCTAATATTTCTATGGAATATTCCAGAAGAAACAATTAAAATATTTCCTCTTTTCAGCAATTTTTTTTTTTTTTTTTTTTTTTTTCATAAAAGTGTCTTTTTTGTATCGGGACAATAGTTATTACCTTTGCATGTCACACCAATGTGCTTCGAAGTTCACAGTGTGTTCGAATGTTCGGCACACTGTGCATTACAATTTCATAATAGCAAAACGAACTAACTCATACATACTCACGTTGCAGCGAGGCACATTGCCGTGTTTTTCAGTCAGTCTGCCTTCCTGATTACTTGAGTGCGGATCTCGGTCGTCTCTCACTCTCTGCGAGTGCGATTTTTGCAGAATATTTTTTTTTTTTTTATTAAATAAAAAACATTAAAATAATATGTTACTCTCAAATATGACACGAAAATTATTGTCAATATTTGTCTTTGGCATTTGTAATATTGTCATTGTGAAATCAGTGAATCCTGCGACAACAATTATTGGTGGAATTACAAATGTTGCCACAAGTGCGACAAATTTCCGTAAGTTTTCAAATATAAATACTTACACGCATGTTCTTGATAGGTATATAGTATATACTTTCTCTCTCGATAGTTTTACAATTACACGGCGAATAATGTGCCGCAAAAGTAAATGTGAAGTTGTATATATAGTGAAAATATTTTAAACCTCTGAAAGGAAAATCAACGTTCACGTGAGTTATTAGAAAAAGAAAAAAGGAAACAATTCGGAACAATAAAAATAGAATTGTTCTTTTTGCCAATTTTTTCTTTTTTTTTTTTTTTTAATTATGCGCGTGAGAAATTCTGCCAAGTTTTTCCTTTTGCTTGTCATTTCAACAATCGCTGCATCTGGATTTTCCCGATTACTTTTTTTTTTGTTTTTGTTTTTACTTTGAAAAACGATAAAGTAGAATTTTTATAAATTTTCTCTTCGTTTTTTGTATTTGAATATATTCAATGATTTTTCAATTTGCAAATTTTCGATAAAAATTGTGTTAATCTTGAAGGAAATTTCCATGAAAATTTAAATATACAATAATTAAAAGTTAAAGAAGCAATGGAAATTTTTTATTTGAATTTATATTTCTTTTTTAAAAAAAAGCTTTAAACAATTTTCAAACAATTGAACTTGAACTTTTAAAAAAACTATTTTAAAGAAAGGAAGCGATAAAATCTGAAATTATTTATTATTTTTTGATAAAAAATAATTAAGCACAAATTTTAACTTATTTTCTGCTTTTTTCTCTAATTTTTGCTTCTTTGAATAAAAATAATTTTACAGAAAATTTTCTTTTATCTAAAAACAAAATAATTTATTTGTTCTCTCTTTCTCTTTAATTAATGCAAAAATTTTCATTGACAATTATTGTTTAAACTCCATTTTATTAAAAAATTGCGCGTTTTTCAATTTTTAATCAAATAAATATTCACCATTTTCTATATTTTCTATCAAAAAAATATTTACAATTTCCCATATTTTTTGTTTTTCAAAACTAAAATGTTTTTTTAACAGAACTTTTAACTTTTAAATTATATTCTTATTGTTAATAAATTTCCAATAATTTTTAATTATTCTTATTGTTAATAAATTTCCAATCATCTTTGTTAGTTAATCCTTTTTATAATAAATTGTGAATTTAAAAAATTGAGGAAAAATAAAAATATTATTCTATAATTTTATCAAAAGTTAAAATAAAATTTAATTAAAAATATTTATTATTTATTAATTAATATAATTTTTTTTATAATAAAAATTAAACATAAATTTCGTCTTATTTTTCTACTTTTCGCCTTTAGAACAAAAATGCTTTTATAAAAGTTTTTTTTTATTTAAAAACAAAATAATTTGTTTTTCTTTCTTTTGAAGAAATTGCAGTAAAGCTTTAACTTGAAGATAATTGTTTAAATTCTTATGTATTAATAAATTTTACGAATTTTCCGATTTTAGAGCAAAAATATTTACAATTTTCTATATTTTTTGTTTTTCAAAATTAAAATGTTTTTCTCTAAATGAAACTGTATATTTTAATTGTTCTTCTTTCAATTTATTGTTAGTAAATTTTTAATTACTTTTAGCTAATTTTTTTATAATAATCGATTTGGCTTAAAAAATGTTAAAAAAGTTTAATTTTTAACAGTAAAATTTGATCTGAAATTAAAATAAAACTTAATTTAAATATTTACGAATTATATTTAATAAAATAATTTATAAATATTCATTAATTTGAACAATTGCAAAAAATGTGATTTTTTTTAGTAAAAATTGAATCGACAGTGAAAATAAAATCAAAATTTTAAAAATATTTCGAAATTTTCTTTTACATTAAATTTAATAAAACTTGAAAATTTACGTACTTGATTTAGAAAGAATGTTGCGTCTGGAGAAGAAAAAATAAAAAAATGTTTTCCTTATGCAACAAGTTGAACAATAAATAAGCTTCAAATCGTCCTTAATTCAAATAATCTGCGTGGATTTCCGCATTCAAACAAGCTTTGTGCGGTTTAGTAAAACCGCCTTTTATGCAATTCATCAAAAATCGTGCATTCTTTGTTTTTACTCTCATTCACTGATTACTCAATTGAGATATTATTTTTTTCCTTTCTCATATTATTCTTTTTTTTATTGTTCTCCATATTCCAATTTTTTCTTCTCTCTACAAACTGCAATAAAATTTAAAATTCTATTTTTCTATTTAAAATTATGGAAATTTTATAGGCGAATTTATTTTATCCAAATTGTGTTGTGCAACCGATTAATTAAAATTAACTTCATTTTAGTTTTCGGTTAAAGGGTATTAATTATTTATATTAATTTTTTTTATTAATTTTTATTAACTTTTTTTTATTCATTTTTCTTAATTTTTTTTTCTAAAGCGAAAAAAAGTGTAAAATGATCGTTTCCTGAATCGTATAATTTTCTAATTTAGAATTCTCACCGGTTGATTGATAAAAAGAGCATGCACAATTTCTTAACAAAAAAGAAGAATTTAAAAACATGGCACGAATCGAGAAATGGAAATAAATTAAGGCTTTATTGAGAAAAAAAAAGATTGTGCGTCTCTTAAAAATTATTCAAATTTCGTAAAAAAAAAAAGATTTGTCTATAATACTGCGAAACTCTTAAATATTCCATCATTGTACAAAAAAGTTTTATATTTTTCCAGTATACAAAGAAGGATCAGATATAATGAGATTCTGTAAGTTCCTACTGTTCATTTTTTCTCTATTATGTATATCAATGTTTATTACAAAATAAATGCGCAACAAAACAGAAAATATTTTTTTTTTCAAAAATCCATTTCCACTGTAATTTTTTTAAACAAAAATTTAAAATTTAATTAATTTAATAATTAATGAAATTAAAATTAACAGATACTCTTTACATTTTAATTAGTAAAAATGTTTATTAATTTAAGTCAATGATGATGATTTTTTGCTTTTGAATTAGTAAATTTTACTAAAAGTACTTAAAAAAATTCGTATTAATACTAAAAAGTATTTAATACTATAAAAATAATTAATTCATTTAGTAATTTTTTACAATTAGTAAATTTTACTAATAAATTAGTAGAAATTACTATTAACAAAATTTACTAATTCGAAAGCAAAAAGTCAGTCACTAATTCAAATTAGTAAATATTTTTACTAATTCAAATTTAGAGAAAAAAATTGTTTTGAAGAAACTAAACTATAATTCAGAATGTACACAGTTTTTTAATCCAAATCATTATTGAGAATAGAAAAAAAATTAAAATGCAATTTTTACAAATTTTAAATAATAAAGTATAAAATTTGCTTTTTTATTTGTTTCTATTCTCGCGTGAGATCACGCGACTTTGTTTTGATTAAATTATTTTGTCTTTGGAAAATAAAATTTATTATCAAAGTTCAAAAACATTGAGATAAGAAAATTTAAATAAATAAAAAACAATCGTTATTACATTGATTATAGGATTTAATATTTATGTAAATTTAGATAAATCATTTAAAAATTGTAACACTAAATCAATTATGACTAATTGATTAATTTGTTTCGATATTAATTAGTTATTTTCTAAACTGCACCTCAAAATTATCGCACATTCTCTCGGAATATTTTCCATACAATTCTAAACAAGAAAGTAAAAAAAAAACAATACTCGTAGTAATATTCCAAAAATATTTTGTAATAGTTTAAATATTAGAACAAAAAATAAACAATAAATTTGTTCCCTTAAAATATCACGGAATTTTCCTTTCACATTCCTGGAATATTAGAATATTAATTAATTAATTAATATCCCTAAAATGTGAATGGAATATTCCGTGCTATTACAGCAGAATTCGAAATAACAGTAAAAAAAAGAAAATTAGTTAATAAACAATTTAATAAAATTAGTAATAAAATTTACTAAAATTAATTAATTAATTAAACGGTGAAAAAAAATATTTTTTATGACAATATTTTCAACCCGAAAATTCTAAATTAGTACACATGTAAAATGTTTTATTTTTGGTAAAAATTTTTGCAAAAACTCTTTTTTTAATTAAAAAATGAAATAAAAACAATTGAAATTGTTTATTTATTTATTTTAGTGGAAAGGGCTGTGGATAAACCGAAGAGTATTATTCTGAATGCAACGAGAGTGACGACAGATTTAAGTAAGTCTCTATAACAAATTTCTTAATGAATTTTAATTTCATAAAAAATGTTAAAACTAATTTTAAAAAGATCAGTCGACAGTGCCGCGTCAAAAGGATTTGAATTTAAACTGAGGAGATTTCTGGAAAAATTTCGCTCGAGAATGCCCTATGGAATACCAGATCTTGGAATTCCCCCTCTGGAACCACTCACGATTGAGGAGGCGGTTTTTGTAACGAGAAATCCGGAAATAGGAAAGTACGTTTCTTTTGTGTTATTTCTTTATTATAGCAATAAAGGAATTTTTAATTATATATCGTCGCATTATTATGCCATTTTCGGAATTTATTGTTCAATTAATATTCCATATTTTAATGGAAGAATATTATTGAAAGAACAAATAGTAATTTATTTAATTAATTAACTTTGATTAATTAATTAATTAAAAATAAATTAATTAAATTTGTTTAATTAATTTATTACTATTAAAAAACATTAATTATTATTTAAATTAATCGAATTGTGAGTGTCTATTCAATTATCATTAAATTGATGCAAAAAATTTGGTTCAATTTTTGATTTGCCACACATTTTTGGTATCAAATTCGTTGCAATTTCTATTTTTAAGATAGTGACAGGAAAAAGCAAAGTTCATTGAATTTTAACGTTCGAGACTTTTAAGTACATATTGTTGGTTATAATAATTATTGAGAAAGTTACTTGAATTATTTGGCTAATCATAACGAGTTTTAACGAGAATCACAAAAATATTATTGACATAACTCAATAATTATGATACCAGTAATCATTTGTCTGCACACTTTTTTATTTATTTTTTTATTTTTTTCATTCTAAATAACGGAAGTCCTGCTTTTATCCCAAATTTATTGTCTAATAATAATTTATAGATTACTTCTATTCAGGAAGAAATTAAAAATTTTTTTCGAATAAAAATCTAATTCCTTATTGGTTTCACTGACAATATTTTATACTTACAAAGTACTCGAAGAAATTAAGTGAAATAATGTTCCGCACTTTCGAGTCAACTTTTAAATTTATTTATTCAATAAAAAATTAATTTCCGTTTTTGAATCTTTTTTTTTTGTCTAATAACTTTTTTATTCTTTGGAATAATAATTTTTTACTTTCGAGTCAATTTTTAAATTTATTTATTCAATGAAAAATTAATTTCTTTTTTAATTCTTTTTACTATTAACTTTGTTATTTCTTCGAATAATAATTTTTTACTTTCGAGTCAATTTTTAAATTTATTTTTTCAACAAAAAATTAATTTTTTAGTTTGCCTTTATTCTTAGTTTGTTTTTCGGTTTTTTTTCGTATTATTTTGATTATTTTTTGTGCCTAAAGTTATTCCTTTGAACTATAACGTTAAGTCCCTTTTTTGTGTGATTACGTCACTTAAAATTCATCAAAAATTATTTTACATTTTTTTTTCTTTTCCTCTTTGCATAGAACGCTTTAATTCATCGTCATAATAAAAAAAAAAAGATGAAAACAAGTATCTAGAGATTAAACACATGAGTGGTCTTTGAGTATGAATAATTCGTAAACATTCTTTTTTATTATTATTATTCATACATTGTTTTTTTTCTGTTGGAATTTATTTTCTCATTTATTATTATTCCAAAAATCAATAAAATATTTTTACAAAAAATATTTCTAAAGAACGATCCGAAAATGAATAAATAAATAAAATTTGTGTAATGTATAAATATTTCTTTAAATTACTTTTTTTGATATTTTAAAATTATTAGTAAACTCAATAGTAAATTTAGTTGTAAACTTAATAGTAAATTTAGTGGTAAATTTAGTAGTAAATTTAATAGTAATATATTAATAGTGAATTTAGTAGTAAAATTCAGTACAGTAAACTTAATAGTAAATTTAGTAGTAAATTGTGTCAGAAAAAAGAGAATGCTCCAATTTTTGTTTATTCGAGATGGAAAGCAACCTTCTAACACTTTTTAGGGTGAAATTAGAATTGAAGGACGTGGAGATCGATCATCTGTCGACGTTCCTCGTCGATCGCGCCAGACTATCGCTGATAGGACCAACAATAGCTGTCAATATAACAGTGCCGACAATTTACACTCACGGCGACTACAATTTATCGGGAATATTGGGGAATATGTTCCCCCTCAAGGGCTCTGGACCATTTCAAGTTGTCATTTACGGATTTAAGGCCTATGTGCACACTGTTCTCGGCTACTCACGAGGAATGTACATGAAGAGCTTCGAACTCGATTTTTCCCTCGAGGCCATTGATCTTGCACTTGAAAATTTAATGGGAGATGAGAAAGTCAGCAAAGTCATGAACGAGGCACGTCAAATTAATTTCTCATTGTTCATAATTAATTAATCAATTTCATAAAAAAAAAATTAATTATTTCACTCTCTTCTCTAATAATCAAAAAAAAATTTTATCTATTTTAATTTTTAGTTTTGACTTTCAAATGTAACGGTGAAAATTCTTAATTCTTTTCAATTTTTTTGAATTCAAAAAAAAAAATTCAATTTTACTTTTTCCAAGAAATTACAATAACAAATGAATAATTAATTCAAAGGAAAATAATAAATATATTATTTAATAATCATTTTTTTCCAATTCTCTTTAAAGGTCATAAGGGAAATTGCACCGGAAGCTGTGGAACTAATAAAACCGGAGATTTTGCCAAAAATTCAAGACTTCATTGCAGCCCAGGCGAACGACACAATTTATCATTTAACAATGCGAGAGATATTAAATGTCCTTCTAGGTGAAACTGAAGTTCGCGATTTTATAGTTCTTCCATAAAAATAATTCTAGTTCCTTTTTTTAAAATATAAAATGCCAAAAAAAATTTGGATATATTTATAATGTAATATTAAAAACTTGACACCCAACTACGATTTAAAGAAAAAAAAAATAGTAATCAATTTTCAGTTGTTAGTGACATGCCAAAGTGATTTTTACGCATAATTTTGTCGAGTATTTGAAGCACATTTAGATATCAAGTGCCATTCCTTTATGTTTAGAAGCAAGATACTGTATTTTACAGTCATTTTTACAAATCTCTATAGTAATTATTACCATACTGTACAGTACAGTATCAATAGTATTTTAATTTAGTGCTACTTGTTTTTTAAAAAAATAAATTCAGAAAATTGTTTTATATTTCTTTTCTTTTTAATCTAAAATTTAGAAAATAATTTTTTTTTCAAAATTAAAAAATTCGGGGAATACTACAAAAATTTCTTTTGGGAAAAATAATTTTAATATTTATTTAAAATATTTACTGGAATATTCCAGTATTTTTATTATTTTTATTTATTGTATTATATATTCCAGATTGTATGGAATATTCCAAAAGAATGTAAGAATGTAAAAAATATTGCGAATATTAAAAAAAACGATATTATTAATAAAACGATAAAAAAAGCGATATAAGTACGTTTTGATAGGAATATTGAGGGAATATTAGTAATATTCCTTAGATTTTAATTAAATATTGTAAAAAAAAATATTTCTGAGAAACGTTTCGATTGTTAGACATTTTTGTAATTAAAGAACGAAAAAAAAAATTATTGCAAAAACTGCTGATACAAATTAATGTCAGAAATGAAAAAACTTTGTAATCAATATTATTTTTTCTATATATCGTTGACTTCTATATAACTGTTCGAGGAAAGTTTATCTTAAATGATGAGAGAAATATATATAAAACCAACAAACATGACTTTTTCTTTTTTATATCAAAAAACAACATTTCTAAATTTCCTTCTAAGTAAAAAATTTTTTTTTCTAAATGAACGCAATTATTTCAAATATTTTGAATAATTATAATTGACCAACAATTGATAATAATAATTATTAGAATTATAATTAAATAATAAATAACAATACTAATACTAATAATAAGAAATAAAAATCGATTCTAATAAAAATGAATGGATCCAAAAAAATGAGATTCTGTATCTTTTTTTTTTGCATTGTATAATTTTTCTATTTGGAGAGCAGTCTTGGAATTTTGTACAAAAAACGTACAATAAGCAATTTTTTTTCCATTGGTATGTTGATTCTTTGTGATGACACTTAGTTAACATTATAACAGTCAAAAACCAAACAATGTTAAATATTTTATTTAATTAAATTCGTTATTCAGAGTTACGGTACAATTTGAGAAACTTCTAAGTCTTTCGCTTTGCTATTACGCACGATTTTTTTTTATTTATTTATTTAATTTTTTTTTTACTAAACTCTATATATAGATATAAATTATTCTTGTCGTGCACATTTATATCAGTTCAATCCGCGTTGTTGCCAATAGCTCGTCGCTCAACTTCGCTCCTCGCTAGACGCATTTTTTTTTCTTGTATTATTATTATTTTTTTTTTGTTTAATCGATATTATAGCAATACTTGATAATTAGCTGAATTTGTAGTTTTCCCGGAAGGTACAAACCACACAAGATTTCCAATAAATTTTATCGCAACTTGCGTCGTGAAACACAATTAATAAATAGATCACTCGTTAATTTTTTTCATTTTTACTAATTTTAATAGATCAGTCGAAAATTCTTTTTTTGACTATTAGTAAATCACTCGTTCGACTGAATTTTTTTGCTTTTCGATAAGTCGATTTCGACAATTTTTTGTTTAAAGAATCAGTCGTGAATTTTGACTATAGATCACTCGAAAAAATGTTTTGACTATTAATACTGTGTGTGTGCTAATAGTCCAATTCGGATGAATGTTCTTTTATCTATAGTTTCTTTTTAAAAATCATTTTTTCCCTAGTAAAAGATCGGTATCTCAATATATATAATATATTTATATTTATATTTATATCTAAATGTAAACATTTGAAAATATGTTTGAAAATTACAATTTGAAAGAAGTCACGATAAAAAAGTTTTTTTACTATTTACTTTGGCCTTGAACGGAACAACCAAGAATGATTGGTTTTATCAAAAAGGATATTCTTATTGTAACGTTGATTCGAATCGCGATTGGTGATGAAATATTGACACACTTCTCGCTGTGGAAATTTTTTGTTTTAATTCTTTGGATTTGGTAATTTTTGTTCGCTGAAAACTGGGCACAAGGTTTTTTTTTCTTCTTTTTTCTTTAACAAATTTTTTTTTCAGTTCGGAATTTATTTTCTTTTGGGTTTTTTTATTCTTCTCTTGGTGTTGGAGATATTTCTTGATTCAAATTTGGTTGGGAAAAATTAATCTTCGGTTCATGAATTTCTCTGCAGTTTCTCATTTCAGTTCAGTTTCTCATTTTTTCTTTCCATTTGGAAATATTTTTCGATTCTTTCAATTTAGTTTGAAAAAAAATATTTTTCGGTTCAAAAATTTCCCTTTGGTTTCTCATTTTAGCTCAGCTTCTTATTTTTCTTTAAATTGGAAATATTTGTCGATTTTTTCAATTTTTTTTGAAAAAAAATATTCTTCGGTTCGAAAATTTCTTATTTCAGTTCAATTTCTCATTTTCCTTCAAATTTGGAAATATTTTTCGATTTTTTCATTTTTGTTTAGAAAAAAATATTCTTCGGTTCAAAAACTTCTCTTCTTCAGTTTGGAAATATTTCTCGATTCATTTAATTTTGTTTGGAAAAAATAATCTTCAGTTCTAAATTCTCTCATTTCAGTTCAGTTTCTCATTTTCCTTCAAATTTGGAAATATTTTTCAATTCTTTCAATTTTGTTTGAAAAAAAATATTCTTCGGTTCAAAACTTTCTCTTTAGTTTCTTATTTCAGTTCAGTTTTTCATTTTCCTTCAAATTTGGAAATATTTTTCGTTTCTTTCAATTTTGTTTGGAAAAAAATATTCTTCAGTTCAAAAATTTCTCTTGTTCTTCTTCAGTTTGGAAATATTTTCTCGTTTCATTCAATTTTCTCTTGCAAAAAATATTCTTCGGTTCAAAAATTTCTCTTCTTTGGTAGCAGTTTTCTAGAAGTTCTTTTTAGTTTTTTGGTTTTCTAGAATTGTTTTTTTGTTGAGAGTTTGAAAATTGTCCCCGGCTTCAAAAATCTCTTTCGACTTGTTCCGAAGAAACTCCCATGGGAAAATAATTAGAAATCCGTTTCAAAATTTGCTGCAAGTGTAAAAATTCTCGAAGACGTATTTCAAAAATTCTTCCAAACTGGTTCCTTGGTTCCAAAAACACTTTTCGAAAAGGGAAAAAATTCCCTTTTCGGTACGAACTGCAAACTGAATCGAAAATTTCTATTTCGGTGCGACCTGCAAACTGAATCAAAAAATAATTATCTGACAATTGAATCGAGAAATGTTTTGAAAAATGATGAATTGAGAAACAATTTGGAAAATTCCCCAGAGTCGAAAACTCAGTCCAGAGTGGAACTTCGTCACCAGAAATTTTTCCGGTCACAGAATATCAGTTTCGTAAATTTTATTCGTGGTGGTTTGATTGCCAGTGTTGTTCTGAATATTATTGGAATTCGGCTCGGAGTTGGCTTTGGTGGCGAGCAGACTGGTGAGCGAGCCAGAGGTGGTGGTGCTCATTCCAAGGCCCATTTTCGCGAGTAAATTGCTCTCGGATCCGGTCTTCTTGAGCAGATCAGAAGGCGCCGGCGGTGCGTTCTGGAATTGCTGCAGCCTCGTGTACTGCTCCTGCAGGACCTTCTGCCGCCGCAAGAGTTCCTGGTGCCGCTGCTCGAGCTGCTCGTGCCTGCCCTTCTTGTTCTGAATGCCCTCCTGGGAGTTGACGCTCTCGCAGGAGCTGGAGTTGCTGGTGGAGACGATGTTGTTGGCCGGCGGCTGCTGCTCGTCGGAGTTGGCGTTGGCGTTGGAGGGCAGGGCCATGGGCGGCTTGCCGTTGTTCCTCGCGCGGCGCAGAGTGCCGCCCGTGGTGGGGTTCCTGGGCGGCAGCTGGGGACTCGTGGGGCTGGCGAGGGGCGACCGGGAGCTGGTCCTCGGGGGCGGCGGCGGCGGCACTCGCCTGGCGGTGGCGATCTGGAGCAACTCGGCGTTCCTCTCGGGCACGGGCGGCTTCTGGGGCGGGGCGCCGCCGTCGGAGACCTGGAGTCGGGCGATCGGCGGCGACGTGTCGGTGTCGGAGCTGGAGGGATAGGAGTGCAGTCGGCGGAGAGTGTTGTTCGATCCGGGCGTGAGGATGGCGAGGTTCGTGGTTGAGTCGATGCTGCCTTTGCGGCCGATGTCGGACATGTTTGGAGCGCGACTCGTTTGGATGATGTGGCTGGCCGACCTTCCTAAGTCGGCCAGGGTCGGCGGGTGACTGCTGTTTGAGGCCTGACTTAGTTGCGAGGCAGGTCGCGAGAAGGTCTGCAGCTCATCTAGCAGAGCGTCGAGTGCGTTCTCCGGACGCTGCTGATTGGGGGCGGATGAGTCGGCAACGTGGGGCCCTCCCCCAAGGACGCTCGCTGACCCCACAAGAGTGCGTTCCGCTGGCACTGGGGCAGTTGTCTGTTCAATACACATACAAGTTATTATTAATATTAAAACTCAATTTCATCGCTGTCTAGGCGCAGCTTTTCTTTAAACAATTCCTTAAAATTACAACATTTCCTTCTTTTCAAGTGGCAAAATATCATTCGAAAAATAAATTATTCTACATCCGGCTTGAGTTTCCAGGTGGCGTGTGGAAAAAATCCTAATAATTTTCAGTCTTCCCACTCGCCACCAAGAGTTTTACCGAATCTAGAAAATCAAAACAAAAATGACTAAAAAAATTAATCTGATTTTTGATAATCTTGTATAATCATGTATTTTATTCAAAAATGACTATATTTTAATTATTCTGTAAAAAAAAATCTTAATATTTTATTTTCGGAAATTGTTCTTTCAAAATAAATTGAAACTAGCAAATGATTGCAAATTGAAATTTTTTATATAAATTTTTGAAAAAAAATGTTGATAAAATTCTTGAAATCATTTCAATTAATTTTGAAACAATTTCCAAAAGAAAAATATTCTTCTCTAGAATTGTTAAAAAAAAATTCTGATTAACCGAACAAAGTCTATCTTTGGTAAACACTTCATGTTTCTCTTAATTTGAATAATTCATCGTAAGATATTAAACAGAGTCACTTTACTCTTTGCGCACAAAGATTAAAAAAAAGTCACTTGCGGATTTATCATTGTTGACTACTTGTAAAAACGCGTAGTGTCAATAATTAATTCCAATAGTTGCACGTCTAGTTGTGAATGAATCAATTGCGTTTATCAAAATGATCTAACATAAACTTTCATGTAAATTAGTACTTTTACATTTATTCTCATTTTTTTCATGTTCTTCAAGTTCTTTTTTTATAATTTATTTTTCATTTTATTTTTTTTCTTTACATTTATTTTCTAAATTTAAAAATATTGACTTTTTCACATTTACAAGATATTTTACCACTGCATACTAAAAGTACGCTACTTTCTATAAAAATTGGCAAAGAGCCATTTCATCAAAATTCACTTTCTTATATTAAAGAAAAATATTATATTATTTACACTCGAAACTGGTAAATCGAAGTTATTGAAAATTTTACATAATTCATTATTTAATCAAAGCAAGAAAATTATTTTTTTTTTTTGCTTTTCTAATTTTTAATTAATTACAAATCACAATTACAAATTTTTTTTAATTTACGTTTTTTTAATTTTCTTAATTTTAATTTTTTTTAATTTTTGTTTTCGACGAATAATTGATTTTTTCTTTTTTCTTCGATGTACCATTGTAATAATTGTTTTGGTTTCTATCTAAAGTTGAACGTCATGCTAAAAAAAAGAAAGGTTGCACAAACATGCTAGTGAAAGGCAATAAATTATTTGAAAAAAGGTGTGATTAATGTTAATAAGTTTAATAAATATTAAGAGTAAAAATAATAAAAATTTTGTGTTAGATAGTTACCTGCAGGAGGGTTATAAAATTTGTGTGGTACGTGTTTTACAAGTCAGTGCTCATTTGAGACTCTTTAACATTGGACACCAATTGCTGTCCGGTATTAGTCAACTTAAAAAAATCAAAAACCAAAAAATTCAAATTAGAAAACATATTGTCGATTAAGGAACGAATCTCCCCGTTAAAAACAAAAAAAAAATGTCAGTCAATCGGGAGTCGTTAATTCAGTCAGTAATTTTGTTTAAATATCTCAAGTGAAAAGCCCCCAATGTCTCAATAAATAAATTCCTTCTAAATTTTTACCCGAATAAAATTTCTTTCAGCAAATAATATTTGTTTCTATATTTTATTCAATTTTATCTATTCAAATTATTTTTTATTCTGATTACTGTTTTATTCCAATTATTAAAAAATCGGTTAATCTTTGAAACAAAAAATTGAGACATGAAAAATTACGAAAAGTAAAAAAAAAAGAAATAATATTTGTCAAATAAAAAAAATCAACTGCTATTCACTTTTGACAGTAAATGATTCGTTTCTTAAAAATAACATGCGAAAAAAAGTGATAAACGTGTGCGTCATGCAATTTCGTGCACGTTTCTATAAACGCATTCACTTTGGAAAAAAAAATTGATAAAATACTCTCGAAAAAGAAAAAAAAAATTAATCAGTTACAAAGAGACAAAAGACAAAACCTTCGGTCCAATCCTTATAGTAAGGCAATAGTGATGAAATTACATGTAAAAAAAATAGGCGTGTCAAATAATGTAAATGCGTAAAACAGGAAACAAAAAATAAAGACGTACGAAATAAATTATAATAGAGAATAATGAAGATGAATAAGAATAATACGAAATTTGATTATTACTAAGAATACGATAAAAAACAAGACAATATGAGAGAAGCTGATGAAAAAAGAAATCATACAAATGGAAATTTAATGTAATTTTACAATAATGATGATTAATGTTATTCCAAACAGATTTACAATATAGCTCTACATTTTTTTTTTTTGTTCTTTTTTTTATTACGATGATATATCACGAACAAAGTTTCTGCGAAAGTGATATTTTTGCTAAAAAGAAGTATTACCGTTTTTTTCTTTTTCTTTTTTTTCATTTTTTCATTTTTTCTTTTTTTCTTCTTTTCATTTTCTTCTTTTCTTTTTTTTCTTTTTGAATTTGAATTTTGTCTTCAACTTTTACGAAACGGTAAAAAATCTTTTTTTTTACATCGAACATTGCCAATTAGAATACGCAGTTTATGTAAATTTTCAGTAAATAAATTTATTAATATATATTATTAATAAAAAAATATTATTTTTGATTTGATAATAATATTTCGACAGAATGGAAATAATACTGAAAATTTAAATAAAAGATCCAATTTGATTGGAAGAATTTTCTTTTCTTTTAGCAGAGATCAACGCACTATTCAAATAATGCATTACAATTGAGCAATAATTATAATTTGTTAATAGTACCAATTGCCATAATGAAACTAGAGCTATTTCTGGAAATCCAATGTAAACCTTGGACAATGGGACACCTTACTATAAGAAATGGATTGGAGCGTATGTCTTATTGTGAAAAATGAGCTTTTTGGATTCGTATCTCTTTCCAATATATATTACATTACAATAAATATTAATTATTTTAATATTTCTATATTTAATTTAATTAATTTCAATTAGCGTTGTAATTAAATATTCTTTACAATATCAACAATTCCAACTTTATGTAAAGCTAACAATTTATTTTCGATGTTTTATTAAAATATAATTAATCAATTAGTAATTTGATTAATTAGTAATTAGTATAATTAGTATTTAGAATAATTAGTAATTAGTGTAATTAGTAATTATTATAAACATTAATTAGTAAAATTAGTAATGAGCATAATTAATTAGTAATTATTAATATTTTTAAATCAAGTAATAACTAATTAGCAGTAACTAATTCTACTTAGTTAAATTAGTAACTAATACTAATAAATATAATATCACTATTTACCACTAATTAATTACTAATTATTAATTTTTGTAATACAATATTTTTATTGTATTTTTTTTGTGACGAAAAAAATTTGCGGTGAAATATTTTTTCAACTGTTGTAATATATATTTACATGAAGAAAATACGAAGCCTTAATTAAAATTATTTATAATAATTCAAGTGGTATAACGATACAGCTAACAAGGATTTGACGAAAGTGATAATTATCGATGTAAACAAAAATGACAAAAAAATAAAAAATTGAAATAATGTGATCCAAGAAACAGCATTTTTAATTAATATATATAAAAGAGAAAAATACCATACAGCGATTTAGAGTCTTAGCAGAAAAAGTGGTTTAGTTAAAATTTCGTTTAAGGTGCAATTTTGTCATGACCTTAATATGCACATTGTAGTAAAAAGAAAAATATATTGAGTCAGTAAAAATGTTGTCTTTTATTTTTCAATTCGATCAAAATTCAATTTTATCCTTCACTGTTGTCAATTTTCAATTTTCAATTTTTTCTTTTTGATTTGTAAAATTTTTCCTAATTTTTCGCTTTTTTTGTCAAATTTATCTTCTTTTTTTTGAAAAATTTGTCCAAATTAATAGCAGGGCCTAATCAGTCACATTTTCTTAATTAACAATTTTTTTTCTTATGAAGAGGTCTTTTTTTTGCTTTGAAAATTCTCGACAACATTTCTTACTGAGATATGCATTTTCAAACTGAAAGACTTTTTTTATTTTGTTGTTGTCAATAATAGCAGTGTGAATGAAGAAGTCGCAAGAAACTGAGAAATAACTTTGAAGATTTCGAACAAATTAAAGAAGTTAAAGACAAGCATGAATTAATATAAATGGAAATATAATATTGAAATTACTATAGCACGTGTGAATATAAAATATTAACTGTTAGCATCTTAGAATATTCTGCCGAACAAAATTTTTATTTACATTATAAATTATATACTATATTCAATCCTGGAATTTATTCGAAAGCCAACCTTTCACTTTATTTAATTTTTTTTTCAACTTTAGAAATATATTCATTAAATTGTTTTATATAATTTTAATCCTTTAAGTATCCAATAATTTATGATTATTACATTTTCCTAAACATCTCAACGTTTTAATAGACGACAATTTTTTACTTCCTTTAATTTGTATTTTTTTCACAAATAAAAAATTGTATATTAAAAAATTAATGTTCAATTAAGTAAAGATTTAATTTTAATTATTTTTTTCTTTTTTTAATAGTACTATTTACAAATATTTAAACGAGAAAAAATTTGCATTCGTCTTCATTCGAAAAAAATCATTTTTCAAAGCTGAGAACTTTAATAAAATATTATTACGAATAAATATTATTATTTATTGTTTTTATTATTAAATTTCTATTATTGAATTATAAACTGTAAATTTGTTTTTAATTTTCTAAAATCGTAAATTTAAAATTTTTTCAGTAATTTGTAAGATTGAATTTCTCCTTTTTCTAAATCCTAATATTTATGCTTTTACATTTTTCATTTATACACGAAAAGTTTTTAATTAATAGAATTTAATTATTCAGATCCTATTAATTAAAATGTACACTTTTTAGAAATTTGATCGTTATTTTTTTTAATTAATTGTAAATTTATAACTTTTATTACTGTCAAAAAAGTTAAAGTTCAGGAACAGGTGAGATTTACTGGGATCGTTGAATATTTAAAGTAGCAAAAGTTTTACTACTATAAAACTATTTTTCTCGGTTTACTATTCTCATGAATATTTTAATTATTCGCGGTGATCTTCTTTTTGAGTAGATTATAAATTATAATCATTGTTTGACATTTAATAACTTGACATATTTTTTAATATTGTTCCCAATTTTCATTATTGAGAAAAAAGTAAAAATTCCACGATTTTTTAAATGAATTTAATTACTGTCTAGGTAATTAACAGAATAATTCAATTCTTGCTACAAAAACTATTTTAATATAAAATTTGGATTTTTTTAGACTAATTTTTTCACTAATTTTTCATTTTTAGGATTGTTACAATTTTTACTTTGTTTTTTACATTATCGACTAAAATCGACGATTTATTGAAAGTGTTAATTGGGTTCTTAATCAGACTTAAATTAAACATGCTTTACAACTATAAAGGCCATACAAATGAATTGATAATATTATATAGTGTTTGATCAATTGACATTCGGCAGAATAGTTTCAGTGCTAGTGTATGGTAAGTAGCTTTTGAAAATGACTTATATGAAAAAGACATATCGAACAATGAGAAGTAATATATATAATATATATAAAATAGTATAGAATAGTAATGAATTAATATATGAATAATATTTAAAAATTACTCGTGACTGGTCTGTATGGCCTCCTTGAAGTTTCTACTCTTCATCCAGTCATACTATAAAAATTAATATTAGGTTCACTAAATGAGGTTGTGCACTGGATTCAGTTGCTTGTTGTTCCGATTTATTCTACTTTCTGTTTCACGGCAGTTTCAAGAGAAGTGAGTAAATATCAAAAATAAAACAATAAACATAGTTTCTGCGATCAACAATCATTTTTTTTCCCTCAAAACATTCATTTTTTTAAATTAAAAAACAAAATTTTTTTTAACGCCAAAAATCATTGTTGCTTCAGAATTTTCATTAAAACTAACACAGTTTTCTCTTTTTTTTTTTAATGATTCACAACTAACATTTAATGACTTGACAAAACATTCAATTATCAATTTCTCACAATGTCTGCTAATTAAATTTAAAATTATAATTTCTAAATTAAATTTTTCAAATATTCTTCGATCAGTAAAATAATTAAATCTGAATATTTTCATTCTTATAATTTTCCAATTTCGATACTTTATTTGTACCATTTTTTAATTTATGTTTAACAATTTCGAAATAATTCCATTTCTGCATTACATTGTCGAATCGATTGAATATTTTGTCACATCATAAAATAAAATGTAAAAGGTCTATGCTATCGGGAAACAGCAAACATTGAAAAATGGTCTTGAGAGGTATTATGGAACAGGGAGTCGTTGATACAAAAAAATTTGCAGAAATAATTTTCACACATATGTATATATAATAATATATAATTCATGGAGTCAAAAGAAGACATTTTCCTTGGCTTTTTCGTTTTTTTTTCTTTTTTTTCTTTTTTTAATTGCAACATTACTCTTCCTAAGCATAAAATACAGTAAAACGTACTTGAGCATTTATAATTTCCAGATAAGATTATATTTCGTAGACTTTAACATAGAAAATAAAAATAAAATTTAAACTCCGTTTTTAAAAGCATCTTTCGTCTTAATTTCGGACAAATAATTAATTTGCAATTAATAGAATTCATACAATTAATACAAACAAATACGTTTACTCTTTTCTCGTGCTTAGTTTTTGTTCCTTTTTTTCTAATTTTTTCAATACAAAAAAAATTTTCCTTGAAAAGAATAGAAACTTGTTTTTTTTTTTCGAAGGGTTTTTCAAGGAAAAAAGAAATCGACGACTATTTGGACTTATTATATATAAGAAGGTTTACATTAGATTTCACATTTATTATAACAATTATAGTGTTAAAAATCAGACAATCAAAACTAAACAAAGGCGAATAGGTATCACATAACATTGACGCGAATATTATCAATAAAACTTAAAAGCAAAAAAATAATCTCAAAAACTAATTTTATTAAAAATTACATAGAAAATAATTCTATAACATTCAAGCACGGATAGATATTTAAAGACAAATTACGCGGGTTTTTGAAGCGTAAAGTGGAAAATAAAATGTAATTAAAAAATTTTGCATATCTTATAAACTAAAAATATATAAAGTATTTTATAAAATTGTAATGTAGAGATCTATTTTTTTCTTACTAGAATAAATTTTAATTATTGTCAAAGCGTTCGATTCGAGATAGATATAAATATTGCGCAAAAAATCCAATCTGACTCAATGTATTTTAATTATTTAATTCCGCTCTTTATTCCCCTACAACAATTGTTAAAAAGACAACAATAAACAATTGTTTAGAAAATTTATAAACCAAAAAAATTACCAGAAAAATTTAGTAATTATCAATTTTTTTCTAAGTATTAAAATTTACTTCAAAAAATTAAAACAAAGTTTCACTAATATTTCAAGAACTTTGATTATCTAATTAAAGAAAAAAGGTACAGGAATATGACCACTAAGGATTAATAATTAAATAATTTAGGATTAATAATACAAAAATTCAAAAGTAAAATACACTGAGTCAGAAATTTTCAAAAGCGAAACTTGAAAAAGTATAATTTCATTTCGCTAGAAAATTTTCATTTCGTCGCGTAATACAAATCTCAATAAATAAGAATACACTTATTAAAATCAGCATGCGCTTAAAATTCTTAATTCAATATAATTGAATATAATTATCTTTTAATATAATTATTAAATTCAATATAATTATTCTTCAATATAATTTTATTCCAATCATGAAAATTTTTTTACAAAAAAAATATTTCGATTAAAGATAAAATTAATTTTACGTCTAGATAAAATTTAATTAATAAAAAATATCCTCACAGTAGTAATTAAACATTTTTGTACTGAAAGTTACCCTGCTTTTATAATATTATACCACAGATTTTGTATTTTTTTTCTACATTTAGGATCATACACACATTATTTTGTCTCTTACTTCCATTCAAGGTACTTTGTATCGCCATAAATAATTATAATAATTGAATAAAATCTGCTGTTTTACATGTCCCTTTACTTTTTTCTTTTTTTTTATAATCCAAGCAGATATTTCTCGTTTAAAAAATAAAAGCAAATTTCATGCATTGGCAGTTTGCGAACAAAGGATTAAAATAAAAACAAAAACAGTTTTTTTTTTGGAGAAAAAACTGAAGGATTACACGATATCAGGCAGTTCGCTTAATTACCTTAGAGTGCTGCGTCGATGTTGGTGTTATTGGTGGCGTCTCCTCTACGTCAACGCTTCCTGCATTTGGTAATCGCTGCTCTTGCACCGATGCTAAGCTGTTGGGTAAAAAAAAATTTCGTTTTAATTAGTCGTCACATTAGGATAGATAGAAGCAAAAAGTTTTTTTTTTCCTAAGCGAGTTTCTACAAAAAAACAGTGAGTAATTAAAATGAAATTTGTAATTTATTCGATTTCTTTTGTATTACTCTATTTCTATTGTATATTTTAATTATTATACATTATTGTATTAATTATTAATTTTTTATTAATTATTCTATTAATTATTAATTTTGTATTAATTTAGTTTCTTTTGTACCGTTTGAGAGTGACGAGAGTACCAGTCAACTTTTTGCAACGTTTTAATACTGATTCTAATCGGTCAGGCTCCTCCTTAAGGAATTTTTCTTCTCGTATTACTTTTTCCATCTCAGAACTCAAAAGACCCTTCATACCTTCCTGGAGACTCGGGAATCGCACCTTGAGATCGGCAACCGTTTTGCTGCGAATAATACAAATAATTATTTTCCGCACTTTACAAATTCTCAATCAATTTTCGACATTCTTTAAACTCTCTCTGAAAAGAGGAAAATAAGTAAAGATTATTCACTTATTCAGATTTAGAAAAAAATAAAATATTCAGTTAGATAGATAAAAAATCAATACTTAAATTTCGAGATGAATTTTAATAAATTGGATAAAAATGGCAAATACGAAAAAATGCGATAAGAAATAGTCGGAGATAAAAAATTGTTTTAATTTAAATTTGAACATTTACCCTTACTTGAAGCATTTAACTAAAAGGTGGTTGAAAATGGTTCAAATGATTAATTGGTTATTAAACTTTCCAGACATTATTAATCGAGAAAAAAGAGTAACAAATTGCTACCTTGCTTTGTTGAGAATCAGAGCCATGTTTTCAACATCCGACATGTTCACTCGAGTTTTTCTATTGATGACGTTGCCTCGAAGTTCTTCCACGGTGCTTTCAAGGCCGCTGTGAAAAATAATTCATTAGTTTTTTTGAAAGAATTTTCATTTGGAGATAAATCTCCGAATTGTATTCAATTCGTAATTTTTTAAAATACTATTTAAAATACTATTTAAAATACACTAAAAATTGAGGTCCAAAAACACTTACGTGAGATCTTTTTCTAACCACAACATTTCCTGTTTGTAGAGATCCTCTTCTCGACTTAGCCTGAGCTTTTCTGTGTCTCCAGCAGCCCATGCACTTTCTCCCAGAGACATTAGCATTGCTCTAAAAAAATTAAGCCAATAAATAAATTTTGTCAATTTCCGAAAATTTTCCAATTGAAGAAGATCAAACTTTTGACTAAAGAAATTTGAGTAAAGAAAATAAATAAAAAAATTGAATGGAAAAAGAAATAAAGAATAAATAAAATTTGAACCAAAGAAAAAAAATAAAGAAATATAAAATAAATTTTAAAAATGAAGTAAGAAATAAATTAAATTAAATACAGTATAATAGAGAAATAAATAATGAAAGGAGTGTAAATATTAAACAGTAAATAAATTTTAGAATTAGATATTAGGTGTGTTATAAAATAAAGTAAGTAACGAAATTAATTGGCAGTATACCTAATCGTAATGTAGGCATCTCGAATACTTTCTCGAACGGTGTGCGATTGAGATTGAGCCATGCGTCGTAAACTTCTTTTTTCTTGGTTGAGATCCTTTGCCTTCTTTTGTAAAACTCTGAGTTGATTGTACATTTCCGGTGCCAGGGTTAAATCTCCATACACATATTGTCCCGTCGTTAGTGCAACTGGTTTCGGTGGTGGTGTCGGTTTGTGCCTCTCTCGTTCCCTCTCTGCAAAAATTATTTAATAACGTTAATTTTTATTTACACATTTTTCGCAAAAAATAATAATACTCTAACAAAAAGCTTTCTAAAATTCTCCACACGAATTTTTTTCTCTTTACTTTACTACATTTTTTTCACAACTTTTTTTACTACTAAAATAAGGCAACACTATTTTTATTTTATTTAAAAATGTAAATAAAAAAATAATGTAGGCATCTTAATAATAAAATTAAATAAAAAATAAAAATTTTATTCTATATTTTTACCATTTCTTTTCTATACCATTTTTTATTCTTACGAGATCTAGTTCTCTACATTTTCTCCAAAATAGCATTTTGATTAGGAAAATAAATAATACACTTAGCGAGTGAATGAGATAATTTACAAAATACAAATGTGTAAAAAATCAAAAGTAGCTACTCGAGAAAAGTACAGTTTACCTTGCGAAGACATTCTCGGTAGTGTTGAGGATTTGATAGCCGGTTTCGTAGGCTTTGTATCCGCTTTGTAGCATTGCACAATTGTTCAATAAGATTTTTAAAGTGTTCATATTTTTCATATTTAGATTATCGGTTATTATAGCAGAGATTGAAGTTGAATTATTTAGGAAAATTTCTCTTTATAGAATTGTTATTCAATACAAATAAAATTTATTCGATCCAAACAAAATTTATTCCAACCAAATAAAATCTATTCGAACCAAATGAAACTCATTTGAACCAAATAAAATTTATTTGAACCAAACAAAATTTATTCGAAGCAAATAAAATTTTATTCGACACAAATAAAAACTCTTAATTAGCTTCGAGTAATTTTTTCCAGATGCAATTAAGACTATAATTACTAAATAATACCCCCAATGTTATATAATTGAATTTATCAATAATATTACCCAGTTATAATTTACAATCCAAGGAAGAACCTCTCCAGTAAATAAAAGTAGATAAGGAAGAGTGTTTATAATCTCCGAGGAAGAATTTTCACAAGCTGCGGTAGCATCTTTATTATTTATGGGCAATTTCACGAAATTTCCATAAATCTTCATAAATAATTATAGCTTCAATCTCTGTATGAACTTTGAGATAGTTGAAACATTTATAATGTACCTGCATGCTGAGGTGAATGCTGCTTTGGAGAATTCATATCTGGTGGCTCGTCGCTGAAGGACACGGACTTCTCGAACGACACCGACTTGTCTGCAAGAAATATTTTTCAAAAATCAAATTTTACGTTGAACATAAATTTTCCGAAGGAAGAATGAAAATTTCGAGGCAGAAAACGTTTAACATGCGTTGAAAATTATTTTAAAGAAAAATATCTCTTTTTAAGTATTACAAATAAAATGTTGAGAAATTACAGTAAAAATTGTTTGTTGAATAGAAAATTGTTAATATAAGTGGATAAGATAAATATAATGTAATAAAATAAATAATGTAATAAAAAACTAATAATACGGGTAATAATTAATAATATATTATGATTATTATTATATAATAAAATATGTAATAAACATGTAATAAATATATAGGTAATAAAATGATTATAAACCAAGGGGACAATAAATGTAATTAGCAATTAATATTTTAATTAATATTGTAATTAATATTAATTACAGTCGAGTTAAACTTTATCGACAGAATTATAAAAAAATAACACTTTTGTGTTTCGAATTAAAATTATAATTATTAAGTTCGACTGTAAAAATCGTAAAAATATTGTCTCAAGAATTTGAAAAAAATTCCAGAAAAAAATATTTACAGTGTTAATAAAATGTTTTAACATTATGTAACAATATATTAATGAACTATAAAATACTTTATTATTCGAATAGGTGTTGGCGATTTCTCACCATTTAAAACGTACAAAGAATTTTCATACTGTGAATACTTCAATACTTCACAAAATGCTTCATAACCCAAATAATATTTTCTACTTGAAACATTTTTAATTGTTTATTTCAATTTTTAATTTTCTATCATATTTTTTTTTCTTTTTTTATCAAGTCCAACATTTTTCACTCGATTTTACACTCGACGAGAAATAAATTGAAGATGTGGCTGAAAAAATGTTGGACTTAATAAAAAAAAAAGAAAAAGAATGTCACCAACGTAAATCACTCAAAAAAAAAATTAAAATTAAAAACGAGATGTCTCTAATGGTAAATAATATTTCAATCTCTACAGAATTTTAAAATATTAATGAAACCAAATTTCAAGTCGTTTTAGTTTCTTAATAAACTTTTAACTTTCAATTTCTTCAAACCACTTGATTCAATTCTTTTCTAAATTAGCACACTTGATATACAGAAACAATTTCAAATATTTACTCTAAAATACATTACTTGAACATCAATCTAAAAGTTAAAAAAATATTTTTAAAAAATGATAATAAAATATTTAAATAAAATATTTATTAAAATATCTTTTAATAAAAGAATATTTAAATAGTAAAAAAAAATATTTTCTCATGGCATGAGATGAAAAACGATATAAATTTAGATAAGTCGTATTTTCTATTTATAAAAAATAATTCAGACAAATGCGCTAATGAAATTGAACATTTAAAGCAAGCAACAATTAATGAACGAAATTTTATAATTTTAAATTCACAAATATAAAATTAATTTCTCAAATAATTACTTTTAATGACTTTTGAAATTTATTTGAAAAATAAATATTTTGCCTCAAACTTGATTAATTGCGGCATTCAATCAACTGAATAAATTGATTTATTAAATCAACTTTTCAGTTCGACTAATTTTAATTAAATTGACTAAGTACACCCAGAGGAAAGTTTTATTTTAACCAAATATAATTTATTTGAGTCAAATAAACGTCTCAGAGCCATTCAAATAATTTTTATTTGTTTGGAATAAAAATTTTATTCGAATCAAATAAAATTCCTATTTGAACAAAATAAAATTTTATTTAAACCAAAAAAATTTATTTGAAACAAATAAATTAGCTTTGAGTCGAAAATATTTTTTTTCAAAGTGTGCAGAGTCGCAAAAACTTCGTTCACCAAAACTAAGACATGCAAAAAAATAATTTTCGCAAAAATTCTAGAGCACTTTTTACAGATAATAATTACTGAACACAAGCGAATTTTTGCATTAGCTTTTTGTGATGCAGAGACGAAAACGTGGTACTTATTTTTTGTTTTAAAAAAAAGTCGCACCTTTCCCTAATTTCGGTGGCTTAGCGTCAGTCCTTAAGTAAGAGTCATCTGTAACGGTAGGTGAGACACTTATTTGCAAGGTGGCGAAATACTGACACTGAGGTAACAACGATAGAGTGACACTGTAATCGGAGGAAAATAGAGATAGAGATTAAAGACACACCTGGCAGTGAGGCAGAGCTGGAACTAGATTGTTTGTCGAACTCGTCCCCTGCGCCTGGTGTGCATTATATTTGGAATTACAAAAGCAGTTTTACAGCAGTTTTTGCAAGGAAATTTTCTCTCTTTTTCTTAAATTTCACTTTTTTCTTTTCTTTTCTTTTTTTGCACCAGTAGCCAGACATAGATAATTTTGAAGAAAAACTTAAAGAATCATATTAATCATCATATACTTAAGAATTAAATTAAAAAATTTTAATTGAAAATTTTTGGTAAAAATTCTTATTTCTATTTATCACTCGTTACAATTTTTTTTTGCTATATGTGGTTTGTTGCTAGCTTGCCATTCAAATACGTGCGTCCGAAAAATGTTAAATTTGAATAAACATTTTTGGAACTAGAAAAAATATTTAATTAAGAAGCTTTTGTACAACTGCCAAGGCTGGGTGCTAAATTCGAACAGTTCAAAAATGACGATCTTCGGACATTTTTCAATTTAATCCAATTTCTTTTTCAAGTTTGGATAATTATATTTAATTTAACTTTAATGTTGTAATTTAATTTTGAAAATTAAATATTCGACAGAATTGTTAATTCCAGGACTTTTATTAAAAGTCCCTGACTTTTTTCTGATTTTTCAAGAACAAATCTAAAAGACAGTTAACAACAAAAATTTGTCCAACTTTGATAAAGTTGGACCAATTTTTGTTCTTAACTGTCCTTTAGATTCTTTCTTAAAATCTACATCCTCTCATTAAACGAATAAATTAATCAAATGAAGAAAATCACTTGAAATTTACATATATTGAAATTGTCATCAAATATTCATTGTTGAATAGTTCATTGTGCAAAATAATAAATTCACTTTCACTATTGCATGCTTTAAAGCGTCGGCGTTTATAAGCGTTTTCTTAAACTTTGTCGTATAAATATTAATACGAGAATTTAGTTTAATTTAAAAAAAAATTCCAAATAAAGTTATTAAGGCCAAAAAAAATTCCAAATAAAGTCATTAAGGCCAAATGTGTATGCGATCTGATTAAGAAAGAGAAAAATTGTATCACTTTTACAAAACCAATAGTTTTATCAAGTAATACATTAAAAATTCCAAACACGATTTTTCCAAATGTACACAAAAATATATAAGGAAGAGTATGAAATATACAGGTTTTTCCTTCTAATTATCCTCGATTTTCACAGTGCAATATTTTCTCAATGAATGGTGCGAATTCATATATATATGCGTATATAAAAAGTGAAAATAAAACTAACGTAATGAATCTCTGATCGAAATTTTAATTGAATTTATGCAATCAAATTTTATAACCACTGTTTTACGATTATTATACGATAAAAAAGGTGAAAATAGAAAAAAATAGTTTTGAACTATGTGTGGCTACTAATTTGCAGAAAAAATTCGTTATTTTCCCCAAATTATGGTATTATGGTAATTATGGTATTTCCGAATCCAGTGACATTTTACATGGGTATATACAACGTGTCATTAGTTCGATTAATTTACATTTGTGGAAATAGTGGATACTTACACTAAACTTATCACTTATAGAAATTACTAATCAAACATTCTAATTTATCCTTGTAGACTAAAAAAATTATTCAATCGAAAGGAATACTTTTTGCATTTATCTATTTCGCAAAAAAGGAAATTTATTATTTTATTTTAGAAATAATTGATAAACGAAACTTTGGTAAACAAAGAAAAAAAATCTTCGAATAATGTCAAAAAGAATTCCTTTTAATAATAAAAATTTTTTTCCTCCGAGTAATTAAGAAATTTCGAATTATTGATTCAGTGAAAATTGAAAAATAATTCGAAATTACTAATTACTTTTTTTTTGAGTAATTCGACGAAAAAAAAATTAGTGACTAAAGAGATAATTAGATAATTCGAATATCAGGAAAATTTAGTGAAATTATATGCTCTAATTACATTGACTTGAATAAACATTTTATTCCGCAAATATCAACGAAAATGGAACAATTTTGAAAATTTGCGAAATTCATTAATTACCATCGAATTTAATTATGCATTTATTTTCGTCATATTCAATTATTTTATATTTTCCAGAGCCACTAACAAGATCAAAGTTAATCATGTGTGCGATGTCGGTTTAATTATCTTCATTCCATCTAATTTGACTTCAATCAACTTTAGCATTAAAGTTCTTGTAACTAGCGAACGTTGATCACTAATAAAACGATTAAAAATTTTAATCTCCGCCATTGATGTGAAAATTCAACGAAAATTATCAATAAACAATGTAACAATACTCTTGTCTTCAGTAACGAAAATTTTCATTTCATTAGAAAACAATATTATAAATTACTGTCTAAATCTGAATATTGGTTAATTTCCACAGGGATTAAAATTCTATTTGAAAAAAAATCAGGTAAAAAAAATCAAATTTTAAGGCAGTAATATTTTACAAACAGTTAATAAAATAACATATTCTTTCGCAAGACAAGAGTATTTTCACAATATCAAGAATAAATCACTCTATCTCAATTTCTCCGTAATATTCATATTCGAAATTGAAAATTAATAAACTCATTGTCAATCAAACATAAAGTTCGACTAGAACTATTGTAATTCGAAAGTCAAAGTTTCACGTTCGATTCGAATTAATACATTTATTTACACTTTAATAATAAATAATCTCTTTGCTCTAAACTCGAATTGAATTTACAAAATGAATTTACAAAAGAAAAAAAAAATTGAAAGAAATAATAAAAGTTGTGATGAAATGAAATTGTCAGTGAACTGCAATATTCTGATTACAGTTGTCATAATTTACGATGGTGTTAAATAAATATTTGTGTACCTTGTGTTCTCGTGTACGGTTCGCGTCCAGCGGGAATTTGCAAATAATCCCTCGGGGAAGGACTGGTATGTTGAGGATGTATTAAAGCCTTTTGCACAATCCCAGTTAAATTAGCAAGCTGTCGTTCCATGTTCTCCACCCTCAATCTATTAAAATAATTTTAATTAAAATCATAAATTTCCAAAGAAAAATCATAAATAATAATAATAAATTTCTATTTCAAGTTTCAACTATGTACTATTTTATCAATTTTGACACTTTTATTTTCTATTTCCTCCACACATTTTCTCTCCTATTTTTATTACTCGAAATCAAATTGAAAATCAAATTGAAATTTATTTAGAATTTAGAATCTATACTAAGAATTATCTGTATTTTTAAAAATAAATTTTATTTACTATATAGATTATTAATTACTTTTTATTTTTCCAATCAAGATCCAGAGTGAATGAAATTGAATTATCTCTATAATTAATTCCAGTTAGATATTGTATTTCTATTATTATTGATTCAAAATGCAAACTAATTCTCCCAATGCAAAAAAAAAGAAATTATTTTTGAATTGTATGCAAATTATTGGACATTTTCAATTCCAAAAAGATTGAAGTATAATGAAACTAAATTAATAATAAAACTATAGCCCACACATTTCTCCACTCATTAAATCAATAAGTGAAAGTATGGTCTTTACTTTTTTCCATGCACGGTTAATAACTCATATTAATTTCAATGCTGTAAATTCTAATTTCACTGAATGAAAAAAATATACTTTTGCACAAATTTTTTTTTCTACGTTTATAAATAAATATACAAAGTTTAGTGCAGTGTACTCTAATATAGTGAATACTTTAATATACTGCACACTGCAATATAAAAAATGGTCAATTAAAACCATCTATTTTTTAAAAACCCTTCTAATGAAAAAAAAATAAATAAAAAAAAATTTATCAAGATTTTCTAATATTTTATCAGGCAGCTAATGAATGAAACTTGACTACTGCAGTAGAATCTATCAGAATGCAACTCGATTTTCAAAAATATTTTTCAATTTAATATTTTTTAACAAAAATTTTTCTATTCACAAAAAAAAAATTTTAATCAGTTTGCATTCTGACAGGTTCTATTGTACTTTACTTTCCACATTCGCAAACAAAAGTTTAATGGATGCAATGTTCTCTCTTTTAAATTAGTAATTTTCTGCTGATTATAAAAGTATTTAAATTTATATTTTATTTGTTTATATTTACTGACATTGTTTTTGGTAAATAGTGTAATAATTAAAAAATTCTCTTTGAAACAATTTACTACTCATTTTGCAAAAAACTATTAATTTAGTACTTAAAATACTATTTAAATATTTATTTTATATTTATTTTACACTGAAAAAAATTTACTTGATTTAAATAATCGATTGACAAATAAATATTTATTTGATAATCCGTTATTGAATTCAAATAATTTTTTTTCACTGCAAATATTGAAATTAAATTCTAAATATTTAAATAATAAGTTTAAATCGTTAAAGAGAGTAATGACTGTTAAATAAATAATGATTATGAATGAAAAACTGTAATTAAACGATCTTATTGTATTAAAAAAAAATAATTAAAAAGAAATATAAGTTTAAAAACTGAAATAGCTTCACTTGTTTTTTTTAATTATATCACTAATGCAAATAATTAATGATGCGTGTAATGAAAATTTCGCATGCTACAGTTTCACATTCTCCTACTATATTATATATTTATTATTTATTAATGAATATATCGCGAACGAGCTGAAACACTGAAAGAAAATGAGTATCAAATTCTATAAAATTACAATCGTAAAATGCTGTATTATAAAATTTGCTAATTATTTTCTCTCACAGTGCAAATAATGGAATGTTTTTTTTAATCCATGCCTACAGTTTTTTTTTATTGATTTTCATCCGGTTTTAATTTTTTATGTTCTATTCTATTCGATTTAATTAATTATTTGAAAAACCAAAGTAAAAACCTCCCTCAAACAATCCGAAAATAAAACAATATTATAATATTTGAAAATTAATTTAGTAATTTAATATAAAATCTAATATCAATTAATTTAATTTAATTTAATTTATTTTTCTATCCTTTTTTATTTATTTTTTTTATTTATTTCTAATTTATTTATTCTTTAATTTTATTTTAACTATCAATGTTGATAATTTATTTTGCGATTTTCAATATTTATTTGTCTTTAATTTTTATTAAAAAGTATTTAATTTAATCACTCGGTTGTTTAATTTTTATTCTTTTAATTGCAAAGAAAAAATACTAAATTCTTGCCAATCGAAATCGTGTGACTAAATTAATAATCACTGCGTTTCTAAAATATCTACAACTTTCTAAAGTTAATCCATTTAATCAATTTCATGCAATTTTTAAAAGTAAAAAAAAAGGTTTTTTGAAACCATTTTTTATCTACACGATACCTTCGTTAAAGCACTAGTCAATTCAATTCATTTAACACTTGAACAAAAGTGCTAAAATTTTTTTTTGTATTACAAAGTTAACAGAAAATAAATAAAATGTGGAGAAGAATGAAATAAATTTTAGTGAATGGAATCGTTAACAAATTGGGAGAACAGGAAAGATTGTAACTAAAATGAAAAAGTAAAAAAATAAAAATAAAAATATAGAAAAGAAAATAAGAAATAAAATAAAAAAAATAAATAAAAAATAGAAAAGAAAATAAGAAAGAAAATAAAAGAATAGAAAAGAAAATAAGAAGATAGAAACTAAAATAAAAAAGAAAATCCAAAAATAGAGAAGAAAATAAAAATGAAATTAAGAAGATAGGAAAGAGAATAAAAAGAAAATAAGAAGATAGAAAAGAAAATAAAAAATTGAAAAATAAAAAATTTCTAGCACTTTTGCCGGAGGACAATTTCGAAAGTTCTCTAAAAGCAAACGTCGATGCAGGCACAGATTGTTCTTATGAATGTAATTTTTATAATGAAAATGATACCGAGTGACATCATCCCGGGGCCCAACAGGGGGTAGAGTGGGCGCTCCTGGAGGAAATGGGGAACGAGCGAGGGGTCCAGATGGTGGACGACCTGACGGTTTCACACCGTAAAGAGAGTATGATTCCTCCAACAGTTCCGTATCACTGCATCATTCACAACAAACACACATACACCCAATCAGAAATTACCTTCTCTAAAAATTGCCAACCATCCCTGAATAGGAACTCAAAATTTTTAGCATTACAATTTTTCGTAAACATTTTTTTTTCGAAAGAAGCAAATCTGCTGCCGCAGCTGCAAATTTCTAATTTGATCTCTTCAATCCAATTGGACCCAAATAATCTAAATTTAAAAAAAAAATCAGATTCTTTTTTGAAATTTAGAATCTGATTTTCTTTTTGAAAAAAATAAGATTCTTTTTTGAAATTTAGAATATTTGACTCCAATTGTAAATTTAGAATATTTGGGGTAAAATTCAACTAGAGAATGAAAATTAATTTTAATTCTTCTTTAATTCGATTTTTAATTTAAAAAAAATTAAAAATCGTTACCTAGCCTCCTCATCAATGACAGGCGTCACCGTTCCAGAATACTGCGAATAATACGGATCTTCATAGCTGCTGGCACCGCTGTACGGTACCGGAGGATATCTTCCTGGTCCAGTTGCACTTCCTCTCTCCGGACTACTCATGTAACCACCTTCGCCATGAATTCGATCTGCGGAATCATTTCAATATTAATATTCAAAAATAAAAATTGTAAATATAAATTCAAAAATAAAAATTCAATAATAAGAATTCAAAAATTAAAATTCAAAAATATTGCACAATAGACGCAATTTTTAAGAAATATTTCTTTATTACAATATAATTCTTGAAAATCAATGAAATTAATGAAATTCGAAGGGAAAGATGTTGATAAGCTCAAAAACATGATTTGACAATAAAAAAATATTCTAAATGGAATATGATTCTCTACCCAATCCAAATCAACAACTACGAAAAAAAAATCAGGTATTTTAATATCGTAATAAGTCAAAAACTAATTCAAAATGACGCATGCATTACTCGTAATTTCATTAACTATTTGATAAATGTGGACAAACAAACGATTTCTCAAGAACGAGTTACTTAAACCATAACAGGGAAGGACAAGAACGGTTAAAAAAATTTCACAGAAATTTCCTCATTACTTAATCCATAATTGTCGAGTCAGTATTGTGCCACCTTAAAATGTTTTTTCACTCTAAATTCTTAGACTCGTTCCTAGCTGGCCTGGTGGCGTGATAAATACAGCTCGGAGCCCCCAGTTCCTTGGTTCCCTTGGTTCTCGCCATTTTTTTTTTTGTTTTTGTTTTTTTAATTGGTAAATTTAATTTAGTATAGATAATAAAAAGGGAAAGAAGAATTAAAAATGAAAAACCTGTTTTTTTTCTCCCTCGGTCTTTGTCTCATCAGTTTTGAACTTTCTACTAACCTGGTATACTATAGAGGGACACCGAGCTGTCTCTCGAGAAACGAGATGAGCCCCCTAGACTGCCAAGGGGACTCTTGCCACCCTGGTAGCTTCGAAGCGGCTTGGCTGGTGCCACCCCACCACCTATCCAATCACCGAAATCAAAATCATTTTTCTTTTCTTTCACTAATTACTATGCCTCATCGATCAGAGCTGCGAAAAATTTCACTCTCTTTCTCTCAAAAACAAATTCAAAATTTGTTTCACTGCTCCAAATAATAATTATTAGGTTAGTAGACATGTGCGTAATTTTTACACTCGAGCATTTCTTGAAAATTGCTGAATAATTCACTTTTTAGTTCAAATCATTTATTTAAATATATCCAATCTCTGATGATTAATTAAGCATCCTAACAAGGAACTATTCCACATGGAAGTTGAAAATATTTTACTCCGTTGATGGAGTGTTCAAATTTTGTTGTAATGTTTGTATTTATTTATATTTTTTTGTATTACACGAAGAAAGAATAAATATTAAATTTTGTAAAAGTATTTTATTTTGGGAATAAAGCAACAAATCGAAATTTTGATATAAAAATTTTCATTATTTTTTTCTACCAGACAGAAATATTTATTCCATAACTGAAAAATTCTTTTTAATAAAATTTCAACACCAGACTAAAAAAATATTTATATAGGTATTACGGTATTTCATAACATAAAACAAATTTTCAATATCGAAAATATTTCCAAAAAAATATTTCTTAACAATATTTTTCAAAAAATTTCTTTGATATTTCATCAGAATATTTAGCAAATTTTCTTTTCGTTAAATATCTTTCTTTAAATTTTTATTTTAATTTGTTTTCTAACATTTATTTTTTAATAAAAAGAAGTATAAAACGAGATCAAATTATTAAGATTCAAAACTTCTTTTTAAATATTTAAAATAGAGTAAGCAAAATTGATAAATATTAGAAATTTTTAATCTTTTTTTTAAATTGTTTCACAGTTTTTTTTTATTAATAACCAAAAGAATAATCGACATTAATAATCGTTGTGCTCCGGTAATTTGTTATTGAAATTTTGGAAAATAATTGAATCGTTTGAAGAATTTATTGGAATTTTAATTGAATTCTAAAAGTAATTGAATTTTAGGAAAACTTACTTTTATCAAAATTCTTTTAAACAAATTTATTAGAATTTTCGTAAATAATTAATTTTTTTTGAAGAATTTCCTTAAATTTCTTAAAAATGTTTTTTCATGTATTTTTAATGAAAAATTTTGAAAATAATTTAAAATTTGCAAAGAATTTTATTTAAAACTTTTGAGAATAATTGAATTTTTGAGAAAAACTACAATTTTTAAAAATAATTGAATTTTTCGGGTAATTTTATTAAAATTGTTTTGAAAATAATTGAATTCCTGCAGAGAATTTTATTATTTATAAAAATAATTGAATTCTTCCAAAAAATGTTTATTATTTATGAGAATAATTGAATTCTCGTGAAAATTTAATTGAACTTTTTGGAAATATTTAACAAGGATAATTAATTATGAAAACTTAATAAGTGAAGTCTTTAAATTTAGAACCGGAAATTATTCAAAAATTGATGTTTATATTTGAAAATTGTAAAATTTTGTAATTTGCAAAATAATAATTAGAAAATTATTATTAATAACTGAAATACTAACCGTAAATTATTGAGTCTTGACTCGAAAACAAAATTCTGTATAAAAATTTATCTTTTTATTTAAATTTAATTTTTTCTTTTTCTTTAATTTTTTTTTTAATTTTTATTTTTATTTGCCTTCATGCAAATTTTTTTTTTTGAAGTATATTTATGTATATTCAAGACTTGTGCGTACAAAAGAAAAGCCAATATATATATAAGTTTAGAAATATTTTCATCATGCTGCAAAAAAAAGTTAGTCCTAAAATATTGCTGCGTGGCTGGCATGATCATTAAAAAGAAGTAAATTAAACTTTACTTTTCTCTCAACTATAATATAATATACATATACGTACTATATACGTACATATTGAAAAGAAGGATTATATTTTTTTCAAAAAACAAAAAACGGAATTTTTTCCAGAACGTCTAAAACTAGTGTTGAACAGATTAGTTTAGAAATTCAATCTCTAAAACTAGATCACGATATATTATCTCGTATAGAGTATTTTAATCGTGGAAAAGGAAAAAAAAACTTGTTGGAAAAATCTCCATCAGAACTAAATAACCCAATTCTATTATACAATCTATTTTTATAACAGATAAAATAATATGTATATAAGTGCATTTCGTCATATTATTGTTTGTATAACAACGAAATTTTTACCTCCATTTACAATAGATCTATAAATATAATTTTTTCACCCTCATTATTAACAACAAACAATCAATTTCTATTCTCTACGCTAATCTATTTGTAATAACATGCAGCAAAAAAAGCCAATCGAGATATAACTATTTTCAAGCATCGCAAATAAGCAATCGGGAAGTCAAACACCCTTTGAATGCAAATGTAAAAAAGAAAAAAAAGAAAAAATAGCAATCGGAAAGTCAAACACCCTTTGAGAAGAAATATAAAAAATAAAAAAAAATAAAAAAACGGAAAAAAGGGAAAAAAGAAAGAAAAGGAAAAAAAGAATGAAAAGGAATAAAAGGCAAAAAGAACGAAAAGAAAAAAAAGGGAAAAAAGAAAGAAAAGAAAAAAAAGGGAAAAAAGAAAGAAAAGGAAAAAAGAACGAAAAGAAATAAAAGGCAAAAAGAACGAAAAGGAAAAAAGGGAAAAAAGAAAGAAAAAGAAAAAAGAACGAAAAGAAAAAAAGAAAAAAGGGAAAAAAATATTTTTAGGTAATGTAAAAATTGTTAGCAAATAAAAAAAGAGTTGAACAAAGGTTTTAATATCCCATGCAAGTAAGTAGATTATGCAGATGAAGATAGTTTTGTTTTACCGAATCTGATTAGGTCAAACATTAACATAAACTTCGGTTAAAATGCTCGAGATGTGATGAGCCTTATAACATTCATAACGATTACGATGAAGCATGATAATTAAAATGAGATTTTAATATACGATTAGCGTCCTTTGTTAAATTTTATCGATTTATTGTCTATACAAATTATTTGCTGAATTCTCAATTTCTTTGCTGACTGATTACAAATTTTCATTAAATAATATCTAATTTTAGAAATTTATTTTTCTTATTTCTTGAAAATTTCTTTTTTGACTTTAGAGGAAAGTTTCTTTACTCTTTTTTTTTAATTAAAATGTGAAATTAGTACAGAAACAGAATTACTTGCCTGGAGTGGTTAAAGTTTTCGCCTGCGTTGGTGTTGAATTTGGTCCAACTACTGATGACGGTGCTGGACTGTATGCTCGAAGAAGGGAACCTCCCCGTGGTAGTGTACTGCTACCTCCAATATAATAATTGCCAGACGACGAATTTTTCACATTCTGAAAGAAAAAAAATGTTTCTCTAATTAGAAAACTTATTCAATTAAAATGGTCAATGATTTTGATTATAATTCGTTAGACTTTTATAGCGTAAATTCTATGAATTTTATTCTGGAAATTAATTATTTAACCAATTTTTGCTATTTTAGTATTCTTTCAAATTTAATTTAATTTTTTGGGGATCACAAGTTTTGAACGTTCAAAGAAACGATTTTTTTTAAAATTCAAAGAATAAAAAATTTTATTAAAAAAATTAATTTCTAAACATTACAACTTTAATTTTTGCAAAATTCAATTATTTTTTTTTGATAAACATAAAAATAATTGAATTTCTTAGAACAGAATTGTATTCTATTAAAACTTTTGAGAATAATTGAATTCTCTTGAAAAATTTTGTTAAAATTTTTAAAAATAGCCGAATTCTTTCGGACAATTGTATATTAAAATTTTATAAAAATATAATTGAATCGCTGCAAAGAATTTTATTATTCATGAAAATTTAATTGAATTCTCGCAACTAATTTTATTAGAATTCTTAAAAAGTAATTGAATTCTTGAGAAGAATTTAATTATTTATAAAAATAATTGAATGTTTGAAAATAAATTTTTTTCAACTTTTGGCGAATTTAAAAAATTGCAAAATTTTATTGTTTTTAATTGTTTGTTTAAATTGTAAAAAAACGTTCAAATTCTCAAATATAGAAAAAAAGAAATTAATAAAATTCGTTCATTTGAATATATTGCCCAAGTGAAATAAAGAAATTCTCCTCGAATCGCCTTATTTTTTTTTATTTGAAATAAGATTTAAAAATAAGAAAAAAAACTGGCGGCAATTTAATTCAGAGTGCCACGATTCTCGACTAAATTTTGCATGTCACAGATGCAAATTGTAAATTGTAAACGTGGAAAAAAGATAAATGTTAACTAACAAAGGTAGATGTACAATCGAGATTATTTCATTAAAAAAAAAAAGAAAATAAAAAAAAAAAACGTTAATGTCAGTCTCTTGTCAACCTTGCGCCATTGTATTCCATTGGAAACACGTGCAATGTTCGGACGAAAATTTAAAAGAGCGGGGTCTACTTGTGATTCTGGTTATTCTGGCACGAGGTCTCCTTTTAAACTCTTTGATTTCTTTGCCTACAGGGAAGGTAGTCTCGAACGATACCGACAGTATTCTTTTGTACACACTTTTAACTTGATGTTTTTCAAACGTGGAATCAAGCGATCAACTCTGCGATCAATTAAACATTTACGATTTTTATAAAAGTTAAGAAGAAGAAGAAGAGGAAAAAAAATGAGAAAGTTACAATTCTCATTAAAATTTTGTCTGATTGCTCTATTCTTGGTTACAAACACAAACATGGAATCGATCCCTACTGAACATCAAGGATTTTTGACAGCAGGACAATTCTTTGAGAACGAAAAGAAATTTCAAACTCCGATGCATAAGGTCCAGATGACGCAACGTGGATACATTCAGGTAGTAATTAAATTTTAATTGTTGGTTTTCATTCCGAAAAATTTACCTTTTATTTTTCATAATTATTTCTTTTCGTCCTTCTCTTTTAGTCACTGAAAAAAATTTATTTGATTCAAATAACTGATTACTTGACTTATCAATTAAATATTTACTTGAATCAAATAATTTTTATTTAAATTAATTAAATGGTCCAAGTCATATTTGTTTCAAATACTGAAATTAATTTCTGAACCAATGTTCAAATACCATTTTGTTTTTAATTTAATTTTTATAGATTCAAATAAAAATTATTCGATTCAAGTAAATATTTAATTGATAGTCAAGTAATCGGTTGTTTAAATCAAAAAAATTTTTGTTTTAGTGTAAAGGAAATATTTTAAAAATTAAATATATTTTTTTACTTCAAACTTCAACTTTTTTATACTATGATTTTTTTCGGAGCATCTAGTTTGTAATTAAAAGAAAAAACTAAAATTATTCAAATTATTCTTTCTATCAATTAATGTTTTCATGGGAATTTATTTAACCTTAAACAATTTTGTTTGCCCTTGATTTTCACACCAACTTTGAAAATTAACATTTTTGATTGCGGAACTTTTAATGAGAACGTAAATACATAGGTGTTAAAAATTTACAAAACATTTTGTCGAGTTCATAAAATTGAAAGTTTAAATTCTTTCATTATTTATATTAAAACCTAATTGTCCCAGTTACCATTCAGATAAAATCCAATTTCGTACCAATTTAATTTTTTCCGATAAAATTTAAATACGAAATTTATTTTCTTGAACTTGTTTTATCAAACAATATTTCTTTAAATATTATTAAATACTAACAAATATTATTAGCGCGCGAAACGTGATATTCAATTTATTATTGATATGCAAATTGAGAAATTTTTTTATTTTCAAATATAAAATTTTAAATAATCTCATAATCAAAATTTAAAAAATTCTCTTATTAAGTACACAATTAATTATTGTTTATATTTATTTAATAAAAAAAAAATTTCATAATATTTTTCGAAAAAACTCTTTAATAGACAACTTTAATAGACTTTAATAATCAAATATTTAATTAAAATTATTAACAGACACGATTGTTTTCAAAAAAGTTGAAAAAATTATTTGTTTCAATTATTTAAAAAAATTTTCATTTAAATAATTCAAAAAACTGGAATATAACGATTATTAATATGAACAAGAATTGTGCCAATAATATTTTAAATAATTTTACTCAATTTTTCAAAAACGAAAAATTTAAAACACTTTTTGTAAACAGTTTCTTAGATGGGGAATTTCAGTTCCGGAAATTCGGGAATTCACCTTTTGTCTCTGGATGCATTCCACAAATATGACCTATGCTCAATCATTTTTTTCCTATTCTAGTAAGTAAATGAATTTTTTGCTTGAATATTTTTTAACAATGGCTAAACAACTGACTCGAATTTTTTTTTTTTTTTTAGGAAATGAAATGGAGAGACAAATACGATCTTGGATCGGTCCCGGTGGACAAAGAATATTCTTGGAAATAAACAACAAGGAAATTTTTTCTTTTCCGATTTCCATGGATGAAAATCACTGGTATCATTTATGTCAAAGTTGGCGAAGTAAAGACGGTCGTTATGGCTTATGGATTGACGGTCGACTCGAAACAGAAGGTTACACAAATGAGGTAAAAAAAAATAGTCAAAAATCCTTCCTTTAAAAAAATTTACTTCTTTACTTCTTTACTTTTTTTTACTTTTTTTACTTTTTTCTACTTTCTTTACTTCTTTACTTTTTGTAATTTCTTTATTTCCTTTACTTTTTTACTTTCATTACTTTTTTCGTTTTACTTTTTTCTTTCGCTTTATCAAAAAGTTACAAAGAAGAATAAAGGAAATTCAATTTTCGATTTTGCAAATTGAAATGAATATATAAAATTTATTTTCTAATACGAATTTTCATTGAATTACTTTCCAGATGATCGGATATGTCATTCCCAGTAAGGGAGATATTGTAGTAGGACAAGAGTTCACCGACTTCGACAAAGGACTCGAGGAAGGAATCGAAGGATCAGTTTTAGGATTCAATTTTCTACTGTCATCAGCTTTTCATTCACAAGAAACGACGACGACGTCGACGCCGTCACTCACAATTCCTCCGTCAGTGAATATTTTTTCCCCCTTTCAAGAACTTATTAATACCCAAGGATTTTTCCGAACCAATGCTCAAGGATTAATCAACATTAATTCCCAGGATTCGAATAATATTAATCGGAGATCGCTGTACTTACAAAATCCATTTGTTTTCTACAGAACCAATCCTCAAGCTGAGCAAGTGCCAGGAATTGTCTACAAAAAAGCGGAGGAAGAAAATAAAAATCCGTTTGTTTTTCAAAAAAGTAGTCTAGTTGAGGAATCACCAGGAATTGTTTACAAAAAAGTGGAGGAAAGAAACAAAAATCCGTTCGTTTTTCAAAAAACAAATCCTCGAGTTGAGGAATTATCGGGAATTGTTTTCGAAAAAGAGGAAGGAAACAAAAATTTTGTTTTTCAAAAAATTAGTCAAGATGAGCAGTTGGCAGGAATTGCTTATGGAAAAGAGGAGAACTTCGAAAATAGTCCATTGGGATTGCAGTTGGTTATAATTTCTCATTCTCATTGTGAAATCGGACGAGGAAGTCCTTTTATTGGTGGGCATTTGATGTTAATTTCCTGGACAAGAACTCCCGTTAGAGTGTTTGGTGGAGCTATAGTGAAACCCGTCAAGAGTGTGTGTGGTTATTTTTCATGAGATTAAAAGCGAAAATCAACCATGAAAATTAAACAAGGTGTGCCAAGTTTCTACGAAAAGAAACTATTCCTAATGGGAAAAAAAAGTTTTTCACTTTTATTTGTAAATATTTTTTACTACGTTAGGAAAAAAAAATTTCTTTTCATCCAGTGCCTTCTACTCTCCTTTCTAACAGTATTTATTAATTTATTTATACTAATTTATTCCACAATTAATACTTTTCTATTTATATTTTTCTATTTTTCTAATTTTCCCTTTTTTATTTTTTTATATTTCTATTTTTATACTTTTCAATTTCTTTTTAATTTAGAATAGAAATTTTCAAAAATATCGTAAAAAATTTTCTTTTTTCTAAATGTTCAGAACTTTTGGAAAATATTAATTAAGTACATAATTAATATTTCCCAAAAGGAAATATTAATTATGTACTTAATTAATATTTCCCAAAAGTTCTGAAAATTCAAAAGAAAAAAAATTTTTTTTACGATATTTCCGAATATTTAAATGAAAATATTTTTTATTTTTGATTCATTAAATAATTAATTATTCCAACTAAATAATATTTTCCAATAAACTAAAATAATAAATATTCCACGTGCGCTCTTTTTATTTATTTATTTTTGTACTTTTCTAAAAATACGAATAAGAAAATTGAGAAAATGAATGAGAGATGAGACTGTAACTCCACGCAGTGAATGTAAAGTAGCCAACATGTAAACCAATATCGAATTATAAAATATGTTTTAAAAAAAAATGAAAAACTGGACTCGCTTCCTTGATTTATAGCACAAATGTGTCAACAAGAATAGTAAAAGTTTTTTTTAGCCAACATTCCGAAGTCTAAATAATGAAATGTGGAAAGTGCATGCATATACATTTCTCATTTCGCTAAGACTGATGACGATGACCGCGATTTCGCCTTGAAAATTGAAATCGAGTGAGATTCTTCTTTTTTTTTACTATTTATTTCACTGTCATAGACGATAAAATACAATTCAAAAATTTTATTTTACCGAGTTTAAATATTTTGCTATAGAAATGGCAAAGAATTTAAATTTCACCTTCATTTCTAACAAAAAACTGATTAATTTCTCCATTTGTGCCAACTTATTCAAAATTGTCACAAAAGGAGAAAAAAGAGAACGAAAACTGCTACTGAAAAAAAATTAAATTAATAACCGACTACTTGTCTATTATCAAATAAATAAAAAAAAAATTTACTTATTTTTTTAATTTTGCAAAAATTCATTTATTTGTAGAAATAATGAATTTTTTCGCATGGATTCAATTATTTAAAAAAGTTTTAATAAAATTCTATTGAAAAATTCAATTATTTTAAGAAATTATTAAATTGTCGATGTACTGAAAATAATTGAATTCTTGAATAGAATTTATAAAAAAATTTGAAAATGATTGAATTCTTGAATAGAATTTTATTAAAACTTTTTTAAATAATTGAATTCTTTTGAGAAAATGTAATTAAAATTATTGTATTGAAAATAATTGAATTGTTCCAAAGAATTTTTTATCAAAATTGTTGAAAATAATTGAAGTTTTATTAAAACTCTTGAAAATAATTGAATTTCTCAGAAGAATTTTATTATTTACAAAAAATATTATTTAAATTCAATTATTTTCAATAATTTGAATAAAAATTCAATTATTTTCAACAATTTTGATAAAAAATTCTTTGGAATAATTCAATTATTTTTATAAATTGTAAAATTCTTGACAAGAATTCAATTACTTTTGTGAATAATAAAATTCTTCTGAGAAATTCAATTATTTTTAATACAATTTTATAAAAGAATATGTAAGAAAAAATTCAATTATATTCAAGATAATTTTAATAAAATTTATGAAAAAAATTGAATTGTTCCGAAGAATTTTTTAACAAAATTGTTGAAAATAATTGAATTTTCATTAAAATTCTTGAAAATAATCGAAAAAATTTTATTATTTATGAAAATAAATAAATTCTTGCGGAGGATTTTACAATTCATAAAAATATTAAAAATAATTAAAATTATTTCGAAGGATTTTATCTGAATTTTCGAAAATAGTTGAATTTTTTGAATGAATTTTACTAAATATTTTGAAAGTAATAATTTTTTAAAAAAATTTCCATCAAAATTGTTGAAAATAATAAAAAATAAGACTAAAGAAACAAAAGATAAACAAAAGAATAAAAAAAGAAAAAGATAATGGCTCAATTGCGTAAATGACTTAACAATTGACGTAACACGAGAGACTGGACGAAACGAGACCTGTCAAAAATTTTTCCAACTCGTGCATCTCGCAAAGGCCTGAGAAATGATTTCTTGTCCGCTATCGTATAATTTGAATCAATGATTCAGGTGAATGATATTTGGCCTCTACGCCTAACCATTATGAGCACTTTCACCTCAATATATAAAATAACTCCAAGATCCGTACCGCATTGTAAAAAGGTGTGCATACGCGTTGTCATGTCAAATGTTGCCCGCCTCAATGGTAATTCTCAAGTTGACAAGTTACCATGAACTTGTCTCTTTTTGTCGGACTTTTTTCCGCCAATGCCGCGGTTTACTTTCACCAAAAAAATAAAATAAAATAAAATAAAACAAAAAAAAAAAAAAGAATACGTGAAAGACCTTATATGCAATAACAGGGGACATTAAATGTGAATACAAAATTAACCATTTAAAAATAACAATTTTCCTTTTACTTCCTTTTCGCTCTTAAACCGAAACACTCCCATTGCAAATAAAGCGACTTTAATTTTGCAGTTTATCAATTTTTTTTATTTCTTAATTTTCGGAAAAAAAAGTTTTAATTTTCGAAAAAAAAAACATTTTTTGCATTTTCTAATTTTCTAGAATAAAAAATAAACATCTTTCGGAATACCAAGAAAAAAATAATACTATTTCGCAAATAAAAAAATTGCCACACGCCAATAAATTGCCATTTGAATGCAATTTAAATTAAGGAATAGTGTCTATTAAGGTTTGATTTGTCTGGTCCACTTATTGAAAGAATTGGAAAAATGTTATTTTTCCTGTTTAGCAATAAGACTGAAATTATGTCTATTTACGGAAACTGGACAGTTATCTCACGATTACAAAAGCTTTTTACACATCGTCATTCCCCCTTAGGACAGTCAAGTGCACTCAGAATTAATTACATCTACTTTCTATAACAGTTCAAGAAAAAAAAAAAAAAACTCGTTGTCGTTGATCTTTACTTTTTTTTCTAGATCAATTAAAAAATATTTGTGTATGTTTAGGACAATATATGCAAATATCAAGCCGAAAATTATTTCATCAAATATTTTTTTCTCAAAATAGAAAGAAATTTTCAATCTCAATTCATATTTACCTAAAAAGAACAAATAAATGTTCCGTTGAGTTATTTGAACAATAAAAATTCTACTTCACACAAAGAATTGTTAATTATCACTAATTAAAACTAATTTTTCATTTTACTTTTTTTTTGTCTTTAATTTGTGTTCCATTTAAATTTTTTTTTTAATTTTTAATTTGTGTTTAATACAAGTCTTTAATTTTTTTGCCTTTTTATTTTATGGTGTTAAAAAGAAAAGCAAGATATTTGACTAATATTCGCTATTCACAATTTGTATTTAAAAATCGAAGAAATTGAATTTTTTTTAGTGTTTTATCAATTTGTATCAGTGACGTAACAATAAATTATTACTAATTATTAATTACTTATTAAAACCAAATTACTGTGTATTAAATAATAAATTACTGTAATTATCGTAGAAGTATTATGTTAATTGCATAGCAATTTCTTTTCCAATTCTTATACAGTAATTAGCATAATATTTTTCGTATAGATAACAATCTTTCGATATAAGTAATAAATGTGAAATAATAACAAACAAAATAAATAAATAAAGAAATAAAAATAAGTTAATAATAAATAAATAAAATAAAAAAAAAAATTAATAAAAATAGAAAAAATGTGATAATAAAAAAAAAGTAAATAATAAATAAAATAGGAAAAAATTCTTACATAGTAATTAACATAAAATATTTTTCGAATACATAACAATATTCAGATAAAAATAGTAAATAATGAAATAATTCACCGATTGCGTAAGTTTCTCAACCCCCATTAATCGTCTAATGAATTTAATAATGAATCTAATGCTCGACATTACTTTATTACTTGGTGTTTTTCTCAATTTTTTCCAACTAAAGGACGTGTAATTCTACAACTGCCGTTTCTGTCGAATCTGGAATTCATGAATTCGTTTTTATAAAAGTAAACGCAGTTTGATCGGAAAATATAACGCAACATATCGAATGCGCAATGATTCTTGTTGAATTGCTTCAGGGGAAAAAATGTCCGGGTTTTTTATGTGACAAATCAAGACGAAGAATCCTTGATTATTATATTTATCACATCGCGGTCACAATAAATAAATTTCCCCTCATACGCCTATATAGATTTCCAACTCATTTTCTAGACAACTTGTTAATAAATTTTTATTTTTAAATAAATTTATTCATTTTTTTTTTATTTATTTTTATTTTTGTAAATTTTTCATTTTTTTTTATTTTAATAAAATTTTTTATTTTCATTTATTTTTATTTTAATAAATTTTTTTATTTTTTATTTATTTTCATTTTAATAAATTTTTTTATTTATTTTTCATTTATTTTTATTTTGAAATTAATTATTTTAAAATAGATTTACTTTTTTTTAAATAAAATTTTTTTTAATCCTTAAATTAATTAATTATTTTACTCGACAATTTAAACAATTTCCATCCAGTTCCAAAACTGTCTAAACTAGTGAATGAAAGTTTTTTGCGAGCACACACATATATATATATATAAAACAGTGTAATGCAATTTCATGAGTCGTTGTTTTCCTTCAATAAATAGACAATAGCATTCTCTTCCTTACTAACATTCCTATGCAAGAAGGTGGATAATAAATTCTTGAAAAACATGTAATACACTTTAATCATTTCAGCATTCCGTCAATTTAAATAATTCTATTATAAACCTTATTAATGCAACCCTTAAGAAAGAAATTGTTGCTTCAATTGCTCCGTAATTATCGACATTAAGTATTATGAAATTTAGAAAAATTAAACGACTTCCAGTTAGGGCAGAAAATAAAATTATGCACATAAATAAGCTAACAAGTAGGGAATAAAAACTAATAAACAAAGAGACTGTGTACATAAAAAACAATAAACAAAAAAAGTAAAAAAAAACTGTTAATAAAAATGGAAACAATTTTGCTAAATGAAAAGCAAATACTGAAAAACAAATAATAATAAATAATTAATGAAAAATATTGGAAAAAAATATAGCATTGTTTTAAATAAACAGAAAACAAAAAATGACAGTTAATGTGGTTAATGAAAAATAATGAAAAACAAATAGTGAAAAATAATTAATAAAAAATAATTAAAAACAAATAATAAAAGATAATGAAAAACAAATAATGAAAAATAAGTAATAGAAATATTTTTCAATTCTTATTTATATGCAATGAGAAATAAATAACGAAAAATAAGCAATAAGAAATAATTAATGAAAACTAATTAACGAAAAATCATTAATGAACTATAATTAATAGAATACAATAAATAAGAAACGAATAAAGTGAATAAATACAAAAAAAAGTGTAAATTAACAATTAACAACAAAAAAGTAAATAAAGAACATTGAAATTGCAACTTTTATCAAACGATCATAAATTTCGTTTCTGTTTTATTACACTCGACACGAAACTCGATCTAAAAGTAATTAGTTTTCGTGTCGAATTTCTCTAGGTCGCAATAATAATAATAATAATAACAATAATATTTTATTTTAAGACGATTGCATTATACAAAATTCTACTTTTCCCATGAGACCAAAAAAAGAAATTTAAAAAATAAACAAAAAATCCATTGTTTCACCTTAATTATTTATATAAGATTTTTCGATATCAAGTTCATATAAACAAACAGTAAAAATCAAATTTTAATGAATGTATTTATTAATCTGAAAAATAAATAATTAAAACGGTTATAAAATAGAACTTTCTCTATCAAATGATTATAGAAAATTATTCCTCTCCTGATAAAAATCTAAATTTATGTTTCAATTTTTCGAAGTTTATTTATATCCGCGATTTTTTCAATCACTTAATCTCGCAAATTAACTATTAATCGTTTAATATTGACAACTGTCACACATAAACTTTTATCGCACTGTTTCTAATCAAGGAGAAAAAATTTATGCAATAAATGTCGGAATTCGATATAAGTGGATATTTAATGTAAAATATATAACTCCTAATTTATTATTTATTTATTATTTCTTATCTATTTATTATTTATTTATTATTTGTTTATTATTTATTTGATATTTTTTGATTATGTATTTATTATTTATTTATTTACTATTTATTTATTATTTATTTACTATTTATTTATTATTTATTTTTTTATTATTTACTTGTTTATTTATTTGTTTATTCAGTTATTGATAAAAGGGACAGTGCCACAATAAATGAAAGTAATCCACAATTTCTCAAAGGGAGAACTATCATATTATTGAGATACGATCATTTATAAGCAAACATTCGGAAATCAATCATTAAGAAACATTAGCTGTAAATTTTTCCGTGAGAAAAATTCTCAATTACACAATTTCAACCTTTTCAGAGCTGATTTGAATGTTTGATTTTTTCTTCTGGAGTAACAATAGATACCAAATGGCTTATGCGATATGACAAGAATCTTTCAGGTAATGGCCCATCAAAAAATGGAAATTGCACTCTGCGAATAGCAATACAAAATTATTTTAGTTCCACAGTTTTTAGTTATTCTTTCATCAACGGAGGAAAATTTTTCACCCAGTACTTCACCGACAACTTAAAAGTATTACTAATGAAAAAAAGTAGAACAAATAATTTGATTCAAAGTTTTGCTTTAATTATTCGGTAGCATGAAAATTATCATCAAAAAAATGGGTCCAATTTGTTCCAAATTAATACCAAAAAGGGTACCAAAAAATCCTTTGATTCCGATGAATCAAAAATCAAAATCTATTCCTGAGTTTTTCTATTCCTAACACTGTTTCCTAATTCTTGTATTATTCTCGCTCTACATTGTTCAGAGTGACAACAAAGAAAAAAACAACAATAGAAACCAATTTTAGAGAAAATTCAGAAACGACGCAACGCGGAAAAATATCAGGAAATATAAAACAGGCAACAATGGAATATTCTAAGTTTGCCAAATAATTTGACGTTTTGATAAATCTAGTTTTCTGGAGAGCGATTTGTTTCCCTAAATTTAATAGTTAAAGAAAAAGAAATACCGAGGGAATAATTTATTAAATAGGAATCATTCTGCAAATACGAAATAACAATAAAATGGAAAATAAATGTGAGAATGAAATCTAAATGATTAAATTGGAAGAAAAACGGTACTTGATACTCTACCAGAGCAAAATTCGTAACAATAAGAAGGTGTGTTGTAACGGATGTCCAAATATTCATATCCGGACGTGAAGGTTTCCCAGTTCCTATCAGACATGTTACACGTTGAGAGAGAGAAAGACTTTTGAGAGAGAAGGAAAAGGAATAGGTAGGAGGTCCCTCTCATGGGTTTGCGAGGTGTATAGAAAACACTAAGATCACTTGAAACAGTCAGTTACCTTTCCGTTTTAATACCGTAAGGATCTACCAGTCACGCGAGCTTTCGGATCTCTCACTTCCACTCTCTTGATGTAAGTCATGAATAATCGAGTCTATGGAAGTCAACTGTATCTACACTTGCTTTTTTTCTCTCTCTTTCTCTCTCTCCTATTTTCCACAATTTTATAGAGCAAAACATACGGGACTGACCCATTTTTTTTACCCCAGTCACTACATTCACGTCTCTAAATCGGTTCATTTTTTTTCGAATCAGTTTTGCAAATTTCGCAAAAAAAGTAATTGAAAATTGTTGTTGTTGTTTTTATCGTTGTGTGCCGTTCCATATCATAGTGCGTGCAAAAAAGAATTGCAGTGCAAATAAATTTCGTACTCATGAAACTTTTAATAAAGGATGGTTTGATCAAATGTTTGCTTACAACGTTTAATAAAGTATGTAGTGAAGACATTTAATACTAATATTTAATACAAATGTTTAGCAAAAACCTTTAGTAGAAATGTTTAGCAAAAACTTTTAGTAGAAATGCTTAACAGAAACATTTAATACAAATGTTTAGCAAAAACTTTTAGTGGAAATGCTTAACAGAAACATTTAATACAAATGGATAGCAAAAACTTTTAGTAGAAATGTTTAGCAAAAACTTTTAGTAAAAATGTTTAACAGAAACATTTAATAAAAATAATAATCACAAGCATTTAATAGAAATGTTTACTAGAAATATTTAACACAAGCATTTAGTAAACGCATTTAATACAAATACTTAATACAAATGTTTAGCAAAAACTTTTAGTAGAAATGTTTAATAGAAGCATTTAATAAAAATATCTAATAGAAACATTTAATAAAGATATTTACAAGAAATATTTAATAGAAACATTTACTAAAGATATTTACTAGAAATATTTAATACAAGCATTTAGTAAAAATATTCAATAGAAATATTTACCAGAAATATTTAATGCAGACATTTAGTAGCAATATTTAGTACAAAGATTTAGTTAAAAGATTTAGTAGAAATATTTAATACAGACATTTAGTAGCATTATTTAGCACAAACATTTAGTACAGAAATATTTAATAAATGTAATACAAACATTAAACAAAAATTTTTAATAAATAGTTCAAGACATATTTCGTAAAAAATACTCCAACAAAGATAAATGAAATTTTTAATAAACTCTCCACTAAAAAAGATATTTTGAGAAATATTTAATATCACGGCTTTTAATAAAAGAACTGTATTAAAAATAAAAGCATATTGTTAATAAAGAAACTTTTATTTCCAAGAATCTGTTTACTGTATGTAAAATGAAAGAGATCTTGATTCGTTTTATCATTTCCCAGACTCATTAAGAAATCGTAATGAGTTATTTCCATAATCGTGCAATTTTTTTCATCAGTGAAAAACTATCATGTCGAAACAAGAAAGTAGAAAAATTCACTTGCGCCTTTAAATGAAAAACACTAAATGATATGGTGTTATTACAAAATTATACCATATTCATTATTTATTTTACCATATTCACTATATTCTACCATATTAGAAATGCCACAATTTTTTTTTGCTTTAAAATCAAGGTTTTAAAATCCAAACTATTAAATTTATTCTCGAATTTATTCTTGAATTTATTAATAGAAGCAAATTGATGAAAAAAAAATGTAACGTGTTTTCAGTTGATATCTAAATGTTAATAGTTAAATAGTTAATAGAAAATGAAATTCTAATGAAATTCTATAAGGAATATAAATTGCAAGAGTAATTGACTTATTACAAAGCAATTATCGCTTTTTTTGGTGGAAAATTGAAAGTTTACGAAGGCAAGTGAACTAATTTCTGTTTCTTTAAGGATATAAATTACTTATTGTTCTTAGATGCAGATGATAATAAATCAGTTAAGTTAAGTACCGGACTTCCGGCAACAAATATTTTGTCGGTGCACATTTTTTCCCCTCTATAGAATTTCGATCGAGTCTATAATCTAATCCCAACAAAACTAGATTAAAAATACTTTATCTTTATCTTCAATCTTTATCTTTAATCTTAATCTTCAATCTTTATCATCAATCTTTATCATCAAATCTTTTTCTTTAAATAAAGATTTTTAAATATTTGATTCCTTGCAAAAATTTAGTTTACCTCAACAAAATTCTTCATGAATATTCAAATTGGTTCATTCTTTGGTTCATTCAATATTTCTGCTTCTCGTTGAAGTAAAAAATATTTTTTACAATTCATAACAAAAAGAATTTAACCCAAAAAAACTTTTCTTGAGCCAAAAAAATCAGAAAAAGGATTTTATCTTACATTGCACAAACTTTGATCAAATCTTTCCATATCAGAACCAAACATAATCGTTAATTTTTTCCAGTGCAATAAAATTAATAAAAAAAAAAATTTAGAGAAAAAACAATAATAACAACAGTGTAATAATACAGATAATTATTGACAATAAATATAACGGAATTGTCCTTATTTTACAAATACAATTTACAAACATTTTACAAGCATTCTACAAGTATTCTACAAGTATTCTACAAGCATTTCAGTAAAAATATTTCAGTACCAATTTTATGAAAAAATTAACAAATTCCACACGAAAAATTTTCTAATTCGTTTCGAAAGGGAAACAGAGAAATGGACTTATTTTAAAGAAATTATCGTTTGTTTGAAAGTCCAATGATCGTTAGCGTTAAAACAGGTGATTTAGTATTTATTGCCGGTGGTTACCATACATCTATACAAAATCTATACTTTCAATAAAAGAAAATGAATATATATATTTTAACTGTCATTAAGAAAAATGGGAAAAACGTATTAAAAAATTCAAGCAAAATAATTGCAGAACTGAACTTGTTGTGGAAGGAAACAATTAATTTTCAAGATACTCTCGATTTTTTTAAATCGAAAAATGGGTAAAAGTGCCCTGATTTTAAGTTATTTATTTATCTATTTCTTTGTTATATTTATTTCTAGCAATTATTTTTTAGTTCATTCAGAATTTGTTTTTTTACGTTTGCAAATTTTTCCAGCAGAATAGCAGGAAGTGGGTTATTTTCCTTTAAATATTTATATACAATTCCAGCGAAAAGTGCTGTACAATCTTCAAATACGATAATTTTAGAAAATCACAGTCATTGATAAATACTATTTACTTTCACTGTTTCTTAGCATAGGGAAATAATAAATTCCACCAGTTTTTTACATTTAAAGATTAATTTGTATTAAAAACGATTTATAAAAAAAAGAGAGGGGGAAATGTGACCTCTTTTTATCCACTTCCAGTGAGAAATTAACATTATAAAGCAATTATTTTATAATAAAATATTATCGATAGAAAAAAATTAGTCCACAGATGAAAGAAACTTACTTTTTATGCTTCATATTTAATTTAATGTACCGTATAGGAAATTATGTAAAAACTTTTTTTTCTTTTCAAGAAACAGTAACATATTGTTCTCAAGTTCCGTCTCTAAGTTTCGGTTTCATTTATTTTTTTTTCGAAAAATTTTCATTTTGAACCTCTCGTGTTACACGTTTTCTCACTATTAGAATAGAATTCTATATATTGTGGTAACATGTAACTCTATATTTTCAATGAAAATATAAATTCATATCTTTAATGTAAAATATAAATTCATATCTTCAAAGTAAATAGAAGAAACATGTTTAGAATATTTTTAGTGTATATAAAATATTATACTCCTTACTTTAGGAAACAAAAGGGTGAAAGTAAAATACTGAAGATAATTAAAAAAAAAATGTTATTTTTGATATAAAATAAAATGTAAAAGATTTTATCAGAGTGAATGTTGTTCCGCGATAAAAAAATACCTGACCGTAAGTTCTTTGATTCAACTTCCGGAAGTTTGCATCATAAGACTGTCGGTTTACCCCATCGATTTATCATTTTGCTGGGAACAAACTGAAACTTGCGGCAATAGTTGCAATAATAATAATCGTCTCTCGGTAAATATTAAATTGCTCCGATCGTACTTTTGTCCAGTAAATATTATGTCAATAAATAAAAATCGATTTAATGTAAAAATGAACATCGAGAGTTATAAAAGTTCTTTTTTTTTTTGTTTTCACTTAAAACTAAAAGTGAGGTGAGAAATTCTCTGCACCTACAACAGTTGGCGTAGCACAACTTAATAACTCATTTGTCTTTAAGAGCCTCTAAAAGTGTGTGCGGAATGAGAAGATTTACATCAATTCCAACATTGAATCAGAACATATGAAAAGCCATAATTCTTTTCAGAGAAAGTCAATTTCTTATACTTTCTTGGTAAATTAATTTCTCAGGAGTCTCTATGTACTATCCAAATACCAAAATCTCAAAAATTCACAATCTAAACTATTACACCAAAGATAATTTGCAATCATTTGACGTGAAAGGTCCCTTGACAAATTATCAAGAAAAAAAAATTATCTCTAGGAGCAAAAAAAGTGACTTGAAATACACATCGAATTGAAAGAAACGGCTCATAAAATTCGAGGACCAATTGTTTGTTTGTCATTGAGAGCGAATTAATTATTTTCCCCGAAATATGTCCCAAGACCCGCGCAGCACAGTTCTTTGCTTTTTTCGAACTAAACACAGAGAAAGTGTAACAAAACTCATACACATTGATTGGTTAATTACAATCACACGGAGTTTACATCCTGCGTGTAACGGCCTACGATATGATGTAAGAAATGCTGTGTAATCGTCTCGTTTCATCTCTTTTCAATGCCTCAAGGAGGTATTGGCCCATTGCGAAATGAAAACCAATCGTTTACCTCAACTCAACCTAATTAAGAATGATTTAATGTTTTTCCTAAAACGGTTGTTCAGTGTTTCAATCAGCAAACCAATGATAAAGAAATGCTCCAAGTTGTGTCTATACTATATGGTACAAAAATAATAATAATGATAATAATCTCGAAGATCCTAAAGTGTGCAAGGAATCTGTTTAATGACTCTCGTTTAATGACCAGATTGCGAAAAAAATACCGCGAGAGGGATTTTTAATTACCTTCCGCGTTCTGTAAATAAAATCAATCTTGCGTTCTCCTTAGGATCTAAAGCGCGAATAAATATTTGAAAAATTTTTTCTTTTTTCCATTCAAACTTTTTCGATTTTTTTTTAAGACTTTTCCCTGATTTAAAGACAAATTTTTGACTTTATCCCTGACAATATTTTTTTTTTCTAAACAATATTCTGATTCACTTTAAAAATTATTAGAGACACAAAATGTTCTATTTTATTCACTTACAAATTTCTTCGAAAGTAAAATTATTCAAGAAACATAAATAAATTATTTTTTGAATAAATATTTAACAATTATTATTACTCCATAGGAATTATTTTTACTTTATTTTTTTTTTTTATTTATTTATAGAAGTTTCTAGAGCTAAAGAGCTCACTAAGAAACAAGTAAATTAAAACACTAATTTTTGTAAATTAAGATTTACAAAAAAATTCAAATTCAAACCTTTTTGCAATTCAACAAATTAGAAGAATATTTATTTTATATTTATTTTTAAAAAAATTAAATTTACAAAAATTATTTACAAAAATTTTAATAAAATCCATCTCAAAAATTCATTATTTTCATAGGATTTCAAATTTCAATTATTTTTAATACAATTTTAAGGAATTCATTTATTCCTCGAAATATGTAAATATTTTCAAAAATTTTTTGCAAGAATTCAATTACATTTCACAAATATAATGAAATTCTTGGCTGAAATTCAAATATTTTCAAAATCTACTATTTTAATCTAATTTTTCAAAAGAATCCAATTATTTAAAAAAAAATGTAATAAAATTCGTTGCAAAAATTCAATTATTTTTATAAAAAATAAAATTCTTCACAGGATTTCAATTATTTAAATGAGAAATGTAATAAATTCGTTGCAAGAATTCAATTATTTTCATAAATAATAATATTTTACACAGGATTTCAATTTAAAAAAAAAAATTTAATAGAAATTGGTTGCAAGAATTAAATTATTTTCCTAAATAATAAAAATATTATGAATTATCAATTATTTTTAATGATTATTTGCAAAAGTTCCTTGACAATTTTTAAATCCATTTCTTTACAATTCAATTTTACGAAATTTCATCGATTATTCCGAAATCAGGGTGTCTACTATTTTCGTTTAACAAAATTCCCGGTTATTTCCCGGTTTTTCCCGGCTATATCCTAATTTTTTCCCGGTTTTTTTTCTTATCAAATTTAAATTTAAATTTGATTTCAAACATAAATAAATCATTAAATTTTTTGAAAATAATGTTTTTTTCAGTAATTTTAATTAAAAACTTGGAAAATACTTGAATTAAACAAAGAATTTTTTCAAGTTTTTAAAAATAATCTTGTCTCTTTATAATTATAATTGAAAATTGGATTTTTCAATTTTATTAAAATTACATTGATAATAATTGAACTTCTGCAAAGAATTTTACTATTTATAAAAATATTTGAATCCTTCCAAAGAATGCTATTATTTATGAAAATAATTTAATTCTTGTGAAGAATTTTATTAAAATTTTTGAAAATAATAAGCAGCAATAATTAATTCTTTACTTAATATGTAATAAACATTTAATTTGCTCAAGAAATAAATAAATATCATTTATTTGAACATTCAGAAATTTGAAATGATAAAAATTTAAGAGAAGTTTAATAATTATAATTATTAAAAATTAATAGAATAGTATAATTTTTAGAAGCAAAAAATTGATTTAAAACTGTAAGAGGGACTTTAAATTTTAAAAATAAAATTATAATTATGGTCACTAACTTCCCTTGATTATTTTCGAAAAATTTAAATAAAATTCTTTAAAAGAATTCAATTATTTTTCAAAAAAAGTAAAAAAATTTCAATGATTTGTTTAGAAAAATTCAATTATCTTGAAACAATAGAATTGAAAAATTACAACAATTTTATTTTTTAGACTTAAAAAAAATTTTGCGAAAGTTTAATTTTATTAAACAATTTTAAGTATGTATATTTTTTTAAAATAACTAATAAAAATTTTAATTATTAATCTTCGGAGTAAGAAACATGAATACATTAGAATTTTACTCTTTATAATATTCAATTATTAATCAATTATTAAATTAAAATACTTTGAAAATTCTATTTGTTAAAAAGTTTCTAATGAATTTCTTTAACAAATTTAATTACATATTTTCAGTCGAATTTCACAATATTTCTATTAACTCCATAATTTTTTTTAAATTTATTTACATAATATATTTGAATTGGTAACTGATTTTTTATCATCAAATTAATTATTTTTAACTAACTTAAATTTAGAGAACAGTATAAATATCTATAAAAATTGAAATAAAAATTGATTTTTTAAAAACAAATTAAAATAATAAAACTTTTTTAATTTTTGTGAAAAAATTCCCGGTTCGGTATAAAATTCCCGGCTAATTCCCGGTTTTTCCCGGTCAAATAAAATTCCCGGTTATTTCCCGGTTTTCCCGGAATTCCCGGTTAGTAGACACCCTGCGAAATTCTTCAATTATTTATTAGAAAATAAAAATTTCAAATAATTTTAAAATAAATTCAATTAAAATTTTTCAAAAAAATCAATTCTATAAAATTGTTAATTAATTTAATAAAAAATTCAGATTACCAAATACTTTAATTTAAAACCTTTTCAAAATTATTTGAATTCAAAATTATTTTTAATTATTTACATAAAAATTCATGCAATAATGCTTTTAATCTTCAATTATAATCTCAAATTTTAATTGAAATTCATTTTTCAATCAATTTTTATTATAAAATTCTACGAGAATTCAATTATTTAAATATGAAAATAAATAATTTACTGAATAATTGAATTTTTCTCAAAATTGAATTCTCATAAAGAACTTTTTAAACAAATTTTTAAATAATTGAACTTTTTCGACGAATTTCAATAAAATGTTTGAATAATAATTACATTTTTCCAGGAATTTGATTAAAATTTAATTAAAATTAATTGAAATTCTGCAACAAGTTTTTTTATTCATGAAAATAATTTAATCTCTTGTAAAAAATTTGATTTATGAAAATAATTGAATTATCGCGAAGAAATTTATAAAAAATTTATGTAAATTTGCGAAATTCATGTGAAATTTTTATTATTTATGAAAATAATTTAATGTTTTCTTAGAATTTTATAAAAAAATTTTTTAAATAATTTAATTCTTTTGAACAATTTTTATTAAAATAGTAGATATTAAAAATCATTGAATTGAGGGAAGTTTTTGAAAATATTTGAACATTTGCCAAGAATGTTATTAAAATTTTTAAAAATAATTAAAGATTTGACAAGAATTTTATTAAAATTTTTGAAAATAATTGAATTTTGGAGAAGAATTTAATTATTCCTAAAAATAATTGAAATCTTGACGAAAATTTAAAAAATTTTTAGAAAATAATTGAATTTATGCGAAGAAATTTATTAAAATTGTTTAAAATAATTGAATTTTGGAGAAGAATTTAATTATTTCTAAAGATAATTGAAGTTTTGACGAGAATTTTTGAAAATTTTAGAAAATAATTGAATTTATGCGAAGAATTTTATTATACTTTTGAAAATAATTGAATTTCTGTAATAATTGATAACTTTTCCAAAATTTAATTTTTTCTAGAACTTTAATAAAAGTCCCTGAATTTTCATGATCAATTTCCCTTAATTTCCTGATCTGTGGCCACCCTGTAAAAATCAATTCTATTAAAAATATTGCGAAATTAAAGTACAGGATAAAATAAGATTTCCCTTTTACAAGTTACCACATGGGGAAATTCACACACGTTGAGAAAAGTCTATAAATAAAAGTAATACAAATATAAAAGTCTATAAATAAAAAGATAATAAGCGGTGATAAATAATCTCCCTAATGATGCAACAATTTCTCCACATAATAAATAACCCGCAACATTTTAGTGGACAGTAAATAATGTCTCTATCTAATTTTTTTTCCCCAACACAGTATCAACGATAATGAAGTGGAACGAAGTGCTAGTTGTTTTATGGATCATCTTTTCACCTTCGATTGCAGTTTCCTCTTCCTGGAGACCAGTTGTGCCATCGTCGCAACTGAGCATTTTTAATCATGATTCTTCGTCACTGTCATCATCATCGTCCTCAATTTACGGAAATTCACCGTTTGAAAGTGAAAATTATTTCGGTCAAGAAAATGATCAGTGCGCCCTTTACAAGGTCTCAATGAATCAGCAATTATATTTCGAGGTAAGAAAAATTTACTAATATCAAATGTGTAATAGAAATGGTATCGAGAATAGTTATAAAATAGAGGAGATTATGTATCAACCTTGATTATCTCAAGGCAAAAATCTTTTCTTTCATAATAACGCGATTGTGTTTCCCATGAAAAATTATTATATTTCAAATTCCCCGACGCAAATTATCTCATAGGCAAACAACTATATATATGTTTCACACACCATGCGAGGTTTGTTCCACTCGCGACCTGTTTATATTTATTGCACCTGCTTTACTTGTTCACTCCAGTTTTCTAAGGCAAACATTCATATCATTTAATTTTTGCTCCGCGGGGCATACACAATTATTATCGAAAGACCATTCAGAGCTGCAACGCATTCACGATGGAATTTCATTATGAAATCAATATTATATTCTTCAAGATTCTATTTTTATTCCTTTTCAATTTGTCCTTTTATATTTCTTTTCTCGCATTTGCACTCATTTTTTCAATTTTTCATTTCTTATCAGTTTTCCTTTTCTTCCACATTAAATTCGATTTGTTCAAGATTCATTCCCCGGGAAAACAATATTTCTTGCAAAATATCTTTGATACCTTTCGATCCTTTTAAAGTCACTTCTACATTTTTCAAGAAGCTTTTCAAAACAGTCTTGTTTCCGAAAATTTTAGATTTTAGTAGTTTTGAAAAAATTAAAAATACAAAAAAAATATAGTTAAACTTTATGATACCTATTTATTTTTCCACAGGAATTGAAATATTTTAAATAATTTGAATAATTTTCAAGAATCTTTATAAAATATTCAAGAATAATTTCATTTTTCGAAGAATTTAAATAAAATTGTATTAAAATAATTAAAAATAATTTAAATTATATTAAATTAAATTAATTAAATAATTCGATTCCTGTGAAAAGAGTTTATCACAATTTTTAAAAATAAGTGATTTCTGGCAACAAATTTTTCTAAACTTTTTAAAAATAATTCAGTTTTATTAAGAAATTTTAATCAAATTGTATTTAAAATTATTTAATTTTTCCGAAGAATTTGTTAAATTAAGAAAATAATGGATTTCTTGCGACGAATTCTACTATAACTTTTTGAAAATAATTGAATTTGTTAGGAAGAATTTCATTAAATTCTAATAAATAAATAATATCAAAATTTTTGTTAATAATTAATTTTTTTCGAAGAATTCTAATAAAATTGTTAAAAATAATAATAATAATAATAATGGAAATCCTGCGATGAGTTTTATAAGTCATGGGAATAATTGAATTTTTGTAACGAATTTTAATTAAATTGTATTTAAAATAATTTAATTTTTCCAAAGAATTTTTTAAACTAAGAAAATAATGGATTTCTTGCGACGAATTCTTCTAAAACTTTTTGAAAATAATTAAATTGTTACTGAGAATTTCATTAAATTAATTTGTTTTGAAGAATTTTAATAAAATTGTTAAAAATAATAATAATAATGGAAATCCTGCGATGAGTTTTATAAGTCATGAAAATAATTGAGTTCCTGAGAAGACAATTATTATTATTATATTATTATTACTGCTTTTATTTTTATTAATAATAATAAACAGTAATATTAAGTATTACTTTTATTCACCATATATTTATTTTTATCTCATTTTAATTTAATCAGATCCATTATAAAAAAAAATCTAGGAAGTATAATAACAATTGGAAATTAATAATAATAGGAAATTAGTAATAGAAAATTAATAATGGTTAATTAACACTTATTTAATCAGTGATTTGCATTAATAATAATAATCGCACTTTCTATTATTGAAGAGTCAGAGTATAATGTAGGAATTATGCAATTACTCTGTACTTTCCAAAAAAATATTGTTTCTCATTCAGGATCCTGGTTTTTTTTTATGACCAAGAATGACGAGTTGAAAAATATTTTCGGAAAGGCCCCGTGAAAGTATATCTCCGTATAGGATCCTGGTGCAATTAAATGTTACTTGATTTCGAGTTTAAAAATTCCAAAGTACTTAAAAGTCACCAGTCCAGCAAATCGTTGCCATACAAGTTTAATTACCCCATAATTAGCACACTCATCATCATCATTTAAATTTTTCCCCTCTTCATTTTATATTTCTCACCTTTTTATCCATTTTTTAAGCGATTAATTCGATTCGTTTTTTAGAGGACGATAAATTTAATTTAGCACCGTTTTTATTTTTACAAAAATTTTTTTTACAAATTTTTTTACTTTAATATCTAGTTTTTATTGATTTCTACTTTATTCGTGAATCTTTTTGTGAATATTTGATAAATTTTTTCTTTCTCGCATAACAGAATAAACTGCGAGGTATTAAAAAGCTGCAGCTTAAATTTACAACGAAAGAAGATTAAACTAATCCATTTTTTTATTTTTTCGCAAACAAAAAGATGGAAAATATTAATCCAAAAAACTTTTTATTCTTTTTTCGAATTTCGAATTTTTAAAAACTTTATAGTTTACTCTGTATATAAAATCACAGTTATCTAAGGATAGAAAAAGAAAAAAAAAAGTAAAAAAAAATGTCTTATTTAAATAATTATTTAACTAGACCAGTATTGCAATCAATTAGCACTATTAGTATTAAATTATTCAAGCATTGGGTACTAAATTTGCATTTACGTCAATTTTAGTCAATTTACGTAAAGTGCAATGAATCATAAAAAAAACAATAGAAAAGTAAATGTCTGCTAATTGAATTAAAGTATATACTTGAAGAAATAACACCTTCAACTTTTTCCTCGAATTTAACGAATTGAATTTCTAATCTCATCCTCAAAAGAATTACATAAAAAAAAGTTAGTTTTAAAATAATGTAATAAATTGCCGACAGCCTTGCTCAACGAATTCCATTATCGAGTAGTCTTACTTGCACACGAACCTGTTGCAATATTTTTCTCACTTATACCCGAGTAGATGTATGTAAAGAATTATATAGCGCAGAGCAGTTTTTCCTATGCAAAAATAATTCCCGCAAAACGTAAATGTAACATAGTAGAGATGCAGTGAATGCGTCCAGAGAATACAGAGAGATTGAGAATATTATGAATAGCCGAGTCATGAAATATTTACCCACGTAACATATAGTTTTGTTTAATTTAACTATATAGCATAACTAGGTGTTGTAATATATATACATATGATATATACAACAAAACTTAAATTATAGGAGAAAAAAATAAATAAATTATTTTAACCTAACTGTGCGAATTTCAAATGTATTTTATCAACTATACAGGCAGTGGAGTATTTATGTTATACGGTTATGTAAAGCACTGTTAAAGTAATTATGACAAAATGTGTGTACTCTAGGAATTTAATTATTTTATCAGTTAAAGTGGATTAATTTCGAGATTTAGTTTTCTAACTTCACAATTTTAAATATTTAAGTTCATTTATTCGTTCAGTTTTTCTAAAACCTCTCCAATTGCTATTATACTTCCTATTTTTTATTTTCTGAATCTGATAAAATTAAGATGAGACAAAAATAAATATATGTCTAATAAGTAATACTAAATATTATACTATTTATTTTTATATTAATACTCATTGCATTCAGGTAATCTGTTCGCAGTATAAAGTTAGTTGCTGTTTGTTTTTTTCTTTACAAACTTTTTAAATAATTTTCCTTTTTAAATGTTTTCAATTCTAAAATTAATATTCTAAAAATCATTGAATTCTAGCAAAGTATTAATCAAAAAATTGGAAAATAATTGAATTCCTTTAAAGAATTTTATTATTTACAAAAATAATTGAATTCTTTTGAGAAAATATAATTAAAATTGTATTGAAAATAATTTAATTCTTGGCAAGATATTTATTAAAATTCTTTAAAATAATTGAATTGTTTTGAAGAATTTATTTCAATTCTCTTGGAAATAAAAAAGGTTTTTTAAAATAATTTTTACTGAAAATTTTGAAAGGAATTGAATTTTATGAAGAATTAAATTATTTCCTGTAATTGTAATAAAATTCTTTAGTCAATTTATAAATAATAAAAATCTTCTTAAAAAATTAAATTATTTTTATATAAATAATAAAATTCTTATGAGGATTTCACTTATTTTCAATACAATTTTAATTAATTTCTTCGAAAATTTCCATTATTTTTTAAAATCTTGTAAAAATTCTCCAAGAAAATTCAATTATTTTTAAAAATTATTGAATTTTTCATAGAAGTTCAATTATTTAAAAAACTTTTAATAAAATCGAATTCAATTATTTTTAAAAATAATGAAATTTTCGCTGGAATTCAATTATTTTAAAAAACTTTAATAAAAATCTTGCTAAGAATTAAATTATTTACTTACAATTAAAATTGTACTGAAAATAATTTAATTCTTAACAAGATTTTTATTAAAATTCTTTAAAATAATTGAATTTGTAGAAAATTAAATTCCTTTAAACAATTCTATTAGAGTTTTTGTAAATAATTACATTTTGTTTGAAGAATTTCATTAAATTTCGTAAAAACAATGTAATTTTTTTAAAGTAATTTTAATTGAAAATTTTGAAAATAATTGAAATTTACATAAAATTTTATTAAAAACTCTTGAGAACAATTGTATTGTTTAGAAAAATTTTATTACAATTTTTAAAAATAATTGAGTCTGTTAGAGAAATTTTATTGAAATTATATTCAAATATAATTGAATTTTTTCCTAGAAATTTTATTAAAATTGTATTGAAAATAATTGAATTTCTCAGAAGAATTTTATTATTTACAAAAATAATTGAATTCTTGGCAAGAATTTTACAAAATTCATAAAAATAATTGAATTGTTCAAAAAAATTTTATCAGAATTATTGAAAATAATTGAATTTAAATAATATTTTTAAAAATAATTGTATTCTTTCGAGAAATTTAATTAAAATTATATTGAAAATAATCAAATTCCTCCGAATTATTTTTTTATTTATGAAAATAATTTAATTATTGCTGAGAATTTTACAATTCATAAAAATAATTAAATTGAAAATAATAATTTTTTTTAAAAAAAATTTTATAAAAAAATTGTCGAAAATAATTGAATTTATATTAAAATTCTTTAAAAAGTAATCGAATTTAATTAATGTTTTTAAAAATAATTGTATTCTTTCGAGAAATTTTATTAAAATTGTTTATGAAAATAATTGAATTTTTCAGAAGAATTTTATTATTCACAAAAATAATTGAATTCTTGCTAAGAATTTTACAATTTATAAAAAGAATTGAATTGTTTTGAAGAATTTTTGATCAAAATCGGAATTTTATTAAATATTTTGAAAAAAATTATTTTTTTTTAAATAGAATCTCATCAATATAATTGAATTTGTATTAAAATTCTTTAAAAAGTAATCGAATTTAATTTTAATTTTATTAAAATTGTAGAGAAAATACATAATTGACTTGCTCTAAAAATTATTATTATTTATGAGAATAATGAAATTCTTGCGACTAGTTTTATTAAAATTGTTGAATAATAATAAACAGGAATATTTAATATTATGTAGTTAATTAGTGAATTCTTTAAATAAATAAAAATAGTTTGTTAAATTTTGAAATAAAATTTCTTTCCATATAGTAAATATATTATTCTAATTATTTTATTATTATCATTAGTATTATTAATACCAGAGCGTAATGAAAATGCAACTGTATCTGAGAATGTTTCTATACTGCGCAAAGTCAAACAATTAATTATTATTAATTGTTAATTAAAATAGCATTCTCTATGAAATAAAGGAAATTTATTTAACATAAAGATTAGTATCCAGTGAAACGCTAACGACCAAAAAGAAGCATAAACGCGGTATTTAAGCCAAAAGGGGAATAAATTTAATTTAATTACGATTAATTAAGTTATATAACGAACGAATGACTAATTGAATTTAATTTTCCAGTACATACAATACAAAATTGATTTTCCATCGATGAAGGAGTTTACCCTGTGCATGTGGACGAAATTCAAGAATCACACAAACGAACATCCACTTTTCTCCTATGCAGGTATTTAATAACTTTATAAAATAGGAAAATAAAATAATCTAAATCACTAATTGCGTTCTTAAGTAACAATTTATTGTTTCAAATGGAAAGTACAACTCGAGTATAATAATTAAATAATTAAAGTCAATAAAGTCAAGGTCCTGTTTTTCAACGAAAAAAAAATCTTATTTCAAATTCTAGAGACTATTCCATTTTTTTTTTATTGCAATTGAACGAGAATAGGCATTAGTAGGAACGTGATTTGGAATTAGCATGGAATTTAAAATTTACATACTTGTTTTTCGCGATTCCAGTGGGTATTCAACCTCGGGGTATATTATCCTGGGTAGCCAACACTGCTAGGAGTTCGTATTACATGCTCAACATAGATGGGCATAACCTTTATAGATTAAATTATCCTTTAAGATTGAATAAATGGTACCACTCCTGTCAGAGTTGGAACGGACATACGGGAGAATGGCAGATCTGGGTCAACGACGAGCGTGTAGGTCGCGGGTTCAATAACAGGGTAAGTTTTTAAAGTCTTCGTTTCAATCTAATAACTCCCGCAATTTTGTAATACAATAACGAGACTAGGCGCACTCTCCTGTGTGTACCCAAGTCATTTATTGTCGGTTTAGTTGTTGTTTTAATCCGACACTTAAATCAGCTTTGCCACATTTTTCTCCCACGAGTTTTATAATATACACTCTTCACGTTCGAACACAAAGTAAAGGGAGAGAAAAAAAATTCTATTTCAAAAAATAATTGTCCTGCACGTTCAACTGAAGGAAATAATAAAATTCTAATCATAGTTTTCTCAAAACTGAATCAAATTGACAACAAAAATTTACATCATTTTGTAATTTTTGGTTTACTTAAAACTCTAATTTACTTACTCTCTAAATTCGAATTAGTAAAAATATTTACTAATTTGAATTAGTGACTGACTTTTTGCTTTTAAAATTTAAATTTAGTAAATTTTACTAATAAATTAGTAAAAACTGCTATTAATTAGTAAAATTTACTAATTCAAAAGCAAAAAGTCTGTTACTAATTCTAATTAGTAAATATTTTTACTAATTCAAATTTAGAGAGTATAAATTAAATTTTTAATTATTATAAAACATGAAGAAATGGATAACTCCGAGTCTTCAACTCGAAGTCATCAATTTCTTCATGTTTTATAATAATTAAAGATGGCCTGGTGATAAAATCATTTATTGAAAATGCATTGAAAATAATTGAATTTGTAGCGAAAAGTTGTAATGAAATTTTTAAAAGTAATTAAATTCACTGCGAAAAATTTTTCAAAAATAATGGAGTTTCTTTAATAATTTTAATTGGAAATTTTCAAACTATGTACTTGAATTTTATGAAGAATTTCTTTCGAGTTTTTAAAATAATCGTATTTTTTAATAATTTAAATTAAACATTTAATTATTGAATTTTATTAAAATTTTTATGAAATAATTAAATTCTTTCAAAGAATAGATACTATTAAAGATTTTTATTAGAGCTTTTATAAATAATGTAGTTTTTGAATAATTTCAATTGAAAATTTTGAAAATAATTGAATTGAACAAAGAATTTTTTCAGCATTTTAAAATAATTTTTGCAATGAATTTACTTTGAAAGGATTTCTTGACAAGAATTTATTTCAAATTTATGAAAAAAAATTGAAATTCTGTGAAGAAATCAATTACTTATGAAAAAAATTGAATTCTTGACAAGAATTTGTTACAAATTTTTGAAAATAATTGAAATTCTCCGAAAGGTTCAATTATTTATGAAAAAATGGAATTCTTGACAAGAATTTGTTTCAAATTTTTAAAAATAATTGAAATTCTCCGAAAAATTCAATTATTCATGAAAAAATGGAATTCTGGGCAAGAATTTGTTTCAAATTTTTAAAAATAATTGAAATCTTCGGAAAAATCCAATCATTTATGAAAAAAATTGAATTTTTAGGAAGAATTTTATTAAAAATTTGAAACATAATTGAATTTTTGCGAAGAATTTTATTACTTTTGAAAATAATTGAATTTCTGCGAAGAATTTGTAACTTCTCCAAAATTCAATTTTTTTTAGTGTTTTTAACTAAAATTCTTATAAATCCATTATTTTTCATAATTTTTGAGAAAGTTCTTTGAGAATTTTCAAAATCATTTATTCAATTTTACAAAATTTCAATTATTCGGAAATTCTTCAATTAAATATATAAATATATAAATATTAAAAATAAAAACTTTAAATAATATAAAAAAGTCCGTAATTAAACTTTCTAAAAAAAAATTTATTCCACAGAATTGTTAGTTGAGAATTTGGAAAATTCAAATTTTCAAAGATTTGAATTTAAAACCTTTTCAAAATTCAATTTATTTCTAAAATTTTTACTGAAATTCATTTTTGAATCAATTTTTATTAGAAAATTATACTGGAATTTAATTATTTGAATACGAAATTAAATAATTGAATGTTTCTCAATTTCCATAAAGAATTTTATCAATAAATTTTTAAATAATTAAATTCTTTCGACGAATTTTAATAAAATTGCATTGAAAATAATTGAACTTCTCCTATAAATTTTATTATATTTCTGAAAATAATTGAATTCCTAAAAAATATCTTATTATTTACGAAAGTAATTGAATCTCTGTAAAATTTTTATTATTTTTGAAAATAATTGAATGATTGCGAAGAAATTTATAAAAAAAACTTATAAATAATTGAATTCCTGTGGAATTTTTATTATTTTATGAAAATAATTAAAGGTTTGCCTATAATTTTATTAAATTCTTTTTGAAATAATTCAATTCTTTTGGAACATTTTATTAAAACATTAGATATTAAAAATAATTGAATTGAGGGTAATTTTTGAAAATAATTGAAATTTTGCCAAGAATTTTTTTGAATTTTTTGAAAATAATTGAATTGAGAAGAAGAATTTAATTATTTCTAAAGATAATTGAAATTTTTACTAGAATTTATTAAAATTTTTGAAAATAATTGAATTTTGGAGAAGAATTGAATTTTTGCAAAGAATTTTATTACTTTTGAAAATAATTGAATTTCTGCAATCATTTGTAATTCCTCTAAAATTCTCCAAATTATATCGTACAATTTACCAACTTTTCGTCATTTCTTAATCAAATTACGTCTTTTACGGACCTTTTTGAAAAATACAGACTTTTACGGACACAAAAAATAACTTTTACTTAACATTTTTAAAACAGTCTCTCTAGTCAATTACAAATCTCTTGTTACGATTGTCAGCCCTTCTAATGTTCTGCTAAAATACACAATTTCAATACAACTTTTGATACACAATAAAGAAAAAGAAAAACTAAAGCAACCGATTAAATTACAGTGAGGAAATTTCTTTCGACCGCACAAATGAGCTAGCAAACTCTGAATAATAAAAGTAATTATGCAGCGCATTACCATTATTACTGCCATGTCTTTAGTACAAAAAAGCATAATTACAATATTTAATATCACAACTATTATTTAGAATAATATAATAATTACAACAATTATTACAATAATATTATAATAATTACAACAATTATTACAAAATATTATAATAATTATAACATTTATTACAAAATATTATACGTAATATTATTTACGATCACGATAGTGACAGTGATTCGAACAACTAACGCTAATTAAAACAGAAATTGTGTATTCCACTGAACTCCTGACACGAAAATCAAGAACCCCAAGCAAAAAAACAAACCGGTCTCAACTAGACGAAGAAATTGATCGACATTAAATTATTCACTTAATTTGCCAAAAACTGAAATACGTTATTTACACAAAATACCCATAGAAGTTAATTAATATTCCGTAACTGGTTCGAGGGTCACCGGAGGTCACGGAATTCTGGAAAGTCCAGGGAGTTTAAAGCAAAAAAAAAAACGGTCAGGGAAAGTTAGGAATTGTCCTGAAAACACACGAAGGAGAGAATCAGTTCGCAGTTTAAAGATCCGCAGAAACAGAAATTATTGTAACAGTATTACGTGTTCAAGTCAGCGTAAAACTTTTCTTTTCATACAATATTTTTTTTTGTCCAAATTATGCTATACACAGATTTTAATCTATTTTTGATGAAATAATTTCTTTTTTTTGTCTCTAAAAATAAAAAAAAAGTCCGTTGACATTTCATATACTTTGAATTATTTAGAGCGTGCTTCAACTAAATTGATGTCAATTAATCTTTTTTTCGAGCATCTAGCGTGTGACCAGACGAGTCGCGGAGTTTTATTCATGAACTTTATGAATTTATGACTTTGAAACAGAAAAAAAGATAAAAAAAAGTCGACCGCATCTGAATTTTTCATCGAACAATTGAAATGAAACTCTAATTATGAAAATAATTAATAGATATCTTGTAGCTCTGATTATATAAACACTCGCGCGGGGAGATTTAAAAATTCATTAATATCCTCTAATTATAGCTGGGAAAATAGACACCTCACAGTCTGTAATTAGTGAGATTAGTTCGGGATAAAACTTTTTCATTAATTTTCACATTTTTCGTTATCAAATCTTGTACGACTAATTTTTTTCTCTCTTTCCTTTTCAATGTTTTTATGGAGAAAAAAAACGAAGACAGATATTTTATTTTTAACCGAGAAAAGAAAATATTTATAAATGTTTATAAAAGGAAAATTAGATTCTGCTCGTGAGAGGTAAGGATAAATGTATCTTTAACAGCTAATAAGACGAAAATAACTTTTTAACGGCTCGCAAGAAGAAAATTATATTTCCTCCAATATTAAAAGTTAAAGTTAACTTTTTTTTTATTTTAAATCGTTAAAAGTATTTTTTTTCTTCTCTTTCTTTAATTTTAACGAGCCAAAAAAGTCGCTTTAGTCGATTAAAAATAGAAAAAAAGTCGAAAAAATGATTTATTTAATTCAGTATTGTCACAAAAAATTTTATCTTCAATTTCCCTGATTCTTCACTGATTCAAATCAAATTAATTCAAATTCAATTATGCAAAACTCGAAAAAATTCTGAGAATTAGTTTTTTCAAAAAATATTTTAATATTATTTTTACAACCTAAAAAAATGTAGTATTTTGTTGCAAAAATGGGAAGAACCCATTTTTTAAAATTAATTCCTTCTTGTATTTATTTTCAAAAAGATTATTATTTTTGCTACCGTTAATTTTTAGTTGAAAATTTATTTTTATTTACTATCAAACACTTATTTACTTGAGACAAATTTGATCTTGTTACAAATACTGGAAAAAAATGTTGCAAATTGTTCTTAAAAAAAATACCCCTTGTTATTATGTCCAAATGGTCCAAATGAATCGTTATTTACATTTTTCTTACACTTTACGAACAATTTTAATGTCTTATAATAAACTTTCTTGTTCGAAAAACATTATAGAAAACTTGTAAATGGGGAAAATATCTTTCTTGTTCCTAAAGGATATTTATTAACATTCTTTCCTTAAATTGTAAAAATTATCAATAAAGAATTTACATTTCCGTCAATAATCATTTTTTTCTCAATTTCTTTTGCAAAACAAATAGTTTTTTAATTAAAATTATTCAAAATTCAATTTTTCTGAAATTTTACTTTAAAACCTTTCGAAATTCAATTATTTATAAAAAAAAAATTGAGAACGCAAATCTTCTAATATTCAATTATTTTTGTAATTTTTAAGAAAAATTATTTAAAGTCCAAATTTTCTAAAATCTTAATTTGAAACTCTTTGCAATTCAATTATTTATAAAAATTGAAAACGTAAATATTTCTAAAATTCAATTATGCTCTAATTTTTAAGAAAAATTATTTAAAATACGAATTTTCTGAAATTTTACTTTAAAACCTTTTTAAATTCAATTATTCATCAAAATTACAAACGGAAATGTTTCTAAAATTCAATTATTTTTGTAATTTTAAAGTAAAATTATATTTGAAATACTTTCCAAAAATTTCAATTTGAATCCTTTTGAAATCAAATTATTTTTGTCGTGATTTAGTTATTTAATTATTTATTTATTTAAAATCCGAATTTTCTAAAATTTCAATTTGAAACCTTTTGAAATTTAATTATTCATCAAAATTATAATAACAAATATTTCTGAAATTCAATTATTTCAGTCATTTTTAGGTAAAATTATATTTGAAATACAAATTTTCAAAAATTTTTATTAGAAACCATTTGAAGTTTAATTATTTTTGAAATTTTTAAGAAAAATTATTTAAAATACGATTTTCCTGAAATTTTACTCTAAAACCTTTTGAGATTCAATTATTTATAAAAATTGCAAACGAAAATATTTCTAAAATTCAATTATTTTTGTCATTTTTAAGAAAAATTAATTAAAATCAGAATTTTCAAAAATTTTAATTTGAAGCCTTTTGAAATTCAATTATTTAAAAATTGCGAACGCAAATATTTCTAAAATTCAATTATTTTTGTAATTTTCAAGTAAAATTATATTTGAAATTCAAATTTTCAAAAATTTCAATTTGAAATCTTTTAAAATTAAATTACTTTGCCATTTTTAAGAAAAATTATTTAAAATCCGAATTTTCTAAAATTTTAATTTGAAACCTTTTAAAATTTAATTATTTATAAAAATTGAAAACGCAAATATTTCTAAAATTTAATTATTTTTGTCATTTTTAAGTAAAATTATTTAAAATTCGAATTTTCTAAAATTTTAATTTGAAGCTTTTAGAAATTCAATTATTTATAAAAATTGAAAAACCAAATAATTCTAAAAGTAAATTATCTTTGTCATTTTTGAGTAAAATTATTTAAAATCCGAATTTTCCAAAATTTTAATTTGAAATCTTTTGAAATTCATTTAATTATTCACAAAAATTGCAAACGAAAATATTTCTAAAATTCAATTATTATTTTTGTAATTTTTAAGTAAAATTTTATTTGAAGTAAAAAATGTCAAAAATTTCAATTTGTAACCTTTTGAAATTTAATTATTTTTGAAATTTGTTAAGACCAAATAGGGATTTTTATCCTCCCACACATAAGAAAGAAAAGGAAAATTATAATAAGGTTAGAACAAGATATTCTTGATTCGTATCACGAGAGCTAAACTTTCCTGTTGGCAAACGTGAAAAATAGACTTTCGTATCATTTGTAATATGAAAAATGGCATTTTTCACTTGTGCTCATACACATTGAATGTCATGAATAAATCTATTTTGATTTCCCCTCGCCCATATAAGAAATTGATCGTTCTGATTTCCGTCTTAGATAAAACTCGACACTTCCAATTTTCTCGGACTCAATCCTGGCTCATGTCCAGACTTACACCATAACAAATAGGCGTTTTACTCGCGTGTGATTACAGGTCGTCAATATATATATATTTCAAGTACACGCGCGCATTATTTTGTATAAACATTTTTTTTTTTTTTTTTTTTTTTTTTTCTTGCACGTTCTCGAAAGTTAGCGCGGCGTAACCGGCGAAAGTATTTGCAACGATGCTAAAGCAGCAGTTATTTCGGTTAGTCACGGTAGTCAAGTGGTCTATGGCATTGTTTACACGTACGACTCATATAAGATCTTTTCATTTCTATTGTCTTAATGTAATCTCTCACTAAACGCGCAAAGAATTATTTCGCTGAGTACGCTTCCGGCACTTTCCGATCACACGTTTTATCCGCACTATTGTATACGCACCGCACCATCAGCATCATCATCAACATCATCATCATTTACATGTATATATACACAGATTTGCCGCGGCCGTCAAACTCAGCGAACCGTAAAAGTGATATGATCACTAACCAGTTAGAAAGTCATTTTTTTCAAATCGCAACTGATGCGGAAACCTTTTATAATATATGTAATTATCAGAAATTATATGGCTAAACGCATCCATTTTTAGTAAACTGTAAACCTTGAAAACTTTTTAAAGTTTCAAATTTATATTTTTAAACTTGACGATAAAAGGAGAATTTTTTCATAATTTAAATTGCGATATTACGTGGACAAATAAGGTTACTGAAAAGTATTATTTTTATCGAGCGTTACGGTAATTAAGTGTTCATTGATCCTCTCAAAGAAAAAAAAACTTCAAAGTTCATTAACTTTTTTCCAATTCCGGTTTCTGCGTTACAATTATAATCAAATATAGTCTCTACTACTCCTTTTCATCAATTTGTAAAATTCCAAAGATTTTAATTCGTATTTGCAATAATCACTCACTGAAATGCATTTTACAGTTGGTTGGACACGTGATAAAAGGAGGGGGAGTCGCGATTTCCGGACAAGAGCAGAGACAACTCGGAGGCGGATTCCTCGAAGGAGAAGGAGCACCTCCTGGTAATTATTCGATTGTTAATTCAAATTTGCCACGCAATGATTGGATTTTACATTTCCCTGACTATTCCTGACTAATTTTTCGCAAATCTTCTGAATATTCAATTATTTTTTTTTAATTTTCAGGAAAAATTATTTAAAATACGAGCATTTTCTCTAAATTATAAACTTTTTTTTTATAAACTTCTTTTTCGTTGAAAAATTCTGGGAAAATTCAAAAATATAAACAAATATTTTATTTCACTCTAAAAATAATTGTGTACAATAAAAAATAACTATTGATGTTTTCGAATCATTTTACAATTAAAGATATTCGAAAATTATTCAAAAACATCAATATTTTTTTTTAATCGAACTTCTCTAAAATTATTTTTAATATTTCAATTCTCCTCTAGAATTTTTAAGTAAAATTCATCAATTATTTTTAATCATTTTTAAAAAAGTTCCTTGTGAATTCAATTATATATTCAATGAAAAAGAAAGTTCGCCTTAATTATTTCTGAAATTCATTTAATTTGCAATTCAATTTCATGAAATTTCAACAAATTGAATTTTTTTTAATTAAATATATAATATTCAAAACTTTAAATAATTTCAAAAAGAACTATTAAATTAAATTTTTTAAAAAATAACTTCTTTAGAATTTTTAATTAAAATTATTAAAAATTAAAATTTACCGAAATTTTAATTTAAAACCTTTTGAGATTCAATTATTTATGAAAATTGTAAACGCAAATCTTTTAAATCAATTATTTTTGTAACTTTTAAGAAAAATTATTTAAAATACGAATTTTCTAAAATTTTAATTTGAAACCTTTTGAAATTCAATTATTTATGAAAATTACAAAAGCAAATATTTCTAAAATTCAATTATTCTTGTAAATTTTAAGAAAAATTGTTTAAAATACGAATTTTCTGAAATTTCACTTTAAAACCTTTTAAAATTCCATTATTTATAAAAATTTCAAACATAAATATTTCTAAAATTCAATTATTCTTGTCAATTTAAAGAAAAATTATTTAAAAAACGAATTTTCTAAAATTTTAATTTGAAACCTATGGAAATTAAATTCTTCATCCAAATTGTAAATGAAAATATTTCTAACATTCAATTATTTTTGTAATTTTTAAGAAAAATTATATTTGAAATATAAATTTTACAAAAATTGCTGAAAATAATTGAAAATTCCTCTGAAAAATTTTATTATTCATGAAAATAATTGAATTCCTGTAAAGAATTTTATTGTTTATAAAAATAATTGAATTTTTGCGAACAATTTACTAAAATTTTTGAAAATAATCGAATTCTTAAAAAAATTGTTAACAATAGTTGAAAATTCCTCTTTAGAATTTTATTATTGAAAATAATTGAATTCCTTTGGAGAATTTTATTGTTTATGAAAATAATTTAATTTTTTCGAACAATTTATTAAAGTTTTTGAAAATAATATTGAATTTTTAGAAAAATTCTTAACAGTAGTTGAAAATTCCTTTTTAGAATTTTATTATTGAAAGTAATTGAATTCCTGTGGAGAATTTTATTGTTTGTGAAAATAATTGAATTTTTGCGAACAATTTATTAAAATTTTTGAGAATAATTGAATTTAAAAAAAAAAAATTGTTAACAATATTTGAAAATTTCTCTGCAGAATTTTATTATTTATGGAAATAATTGAATTTCTGTGAAGAATTTTATTATTTATGAAAATAATTCAAATCCTGTGAAGAATTTTATTATTTATGAAAATAATTGAATTTTTACTAACAATTTATTAAAATTTTTGAAAATAATTGAATTCTTTCGAGAAATTTTATTATATTCGAGTTATAATTGAATTCCTGCAAAAACTTTTATTATTTATGAAATTAATTGATTTGTTACAAACGTTTTTGACAAATTTAATTAAAATTCTAATGAAACTAATTCAATTTTTATGTTGAATTTTATTAAAATTTGCTAAAAATAATTTAGTTGCTCCGTGAAATTGTCAAGAAAGTTGAGAAATTTCTTATGAATTCTAAAAGTTTAATATTTTTCCAGTACTTTTTTTTATAAAATTCCCTGACTTTTCCCTCATTTTCTTGATCAATTTTATTTAATCTAAATTTCCTAACCTGTGGTAACTCTTTGAATTAAAAGTGAAATTAAATTTAGTTAAATTAAAATTAAAAGTTCTAAAAACAGTTAAATAAGAATTAATTTAAGTTCAATTAATTTATTTGAATCAAATAAATTCTTTTTTCAGTATAATTACTTAAATTAAAATGAAAAGTTTTAAAAACAGTTGAGTAAGAATTAATTCCAGTTCAATTAATTAAGTTCAATTAGTCGACGAAATACTCTGAATTTTTCACTTCCAATTGTACATATAATGAATAATTTAAAAGCAACGATGTAAATTGCAGGCTCTGGTGGAATGCTTGGCGAGATAACCATGGTACAATTGTACGGTGTAGCTTTAACGGCAGGGAAAGCTCATCGAGATCATAAGCATCATCATGTTCATCATTATGAACACGATACGAGCAATAACGTCCCTCCTTCAACAACTCAAGCACCTGTAACTGGTCCTCCTTTACCAATGAATCCTTACCTAACCGGAGGACAAATAAATCATCAGGTAAGATCAAAACAAAAAAAAACAAACAAAATCACCTTCTATATCTATAATTACTTTGGAAAGTAGCAATCGAGTAAATACTCAGTCCGACTCTTAAACATCAAGAGATGAAAGATGAGATTTTCGACTAGCAAAGAAAAAAAAGGGCAAATCGTTTTCGATTTACTGTCACTTGCAGCAAAACGATCGAGAGCTGCTGAATAATCATGGAGTTAATTTACATATAACAAGCTTGAAAGGGATCACTTATGAATAAAAAAACGACCTTTGAGTTCCATGATATTAATTGGCTTCGGGAATTGTTGAAAATCATTTCTTTTTTCCTCCTATTACGAAAGTTCAATTCAACTCTTTTAATAGCAGAGCACATTAATTCCAATCAAGAATTGCTCTCACTATTTTTTAATCCATTTTTTGTCATCTTTTTTGCCAAGTTTCTAGAATTCTTGTTTGTCCTTGTTTTTTTTTCTTTCTTCAACAAAGTTTTCTAAACGTAAATATCAAAACGATTTTCATCACTGAAAATCGTTTACATTTTTTTTTGTTTCTTCGTTTAGAAAACTTCGCTGAAGAAAGAAAAAATCGAGATTTGCCAAATGTTAATGAAAAAAGAGAAGAAGAGTAGAAAACAGGAAAAATTTCCAAAAACCAAATTGTCGATGAAAGTTGAATAAATTTTTGTTTGCAGGTGAAAATTAATCCCGGTTCGCACCTTCAAATTGTGAAGAACGGTGTTACTCTACGTCATCCGACAATTCCAGTACCACAGGTGCCAGCTCAACAACCATTCCCTCCATCGAATCCTATTCCAATGCCGACTGTTTCTCCATCGCAGAATTTAATACCCGGATTCCTGCCTGTTCTCAATTCATACAAACCACAGCAACCGCAATTCTTTAGCAATAAAATTCCCCAAATTCCAAGTTTGACATCGTCAATAGCGAATCCCGTTAATGGATTTAATTTCATTGACAGAAGATATCGACACGTTGTCAGGCATCCTAAAAGTCTGTCAAAACGCGACAATCCTGACGAAAGAGCGGAAGGGAAAAATTCATCCACTGAAGATGACGACAAAGTACGTAATCAAATCAATATCAACTTTTTATTTGTCATTCATTTTATTTTATTCAACTTCATCATTTCATTTTATCGAATTTCATCATTTTATTTCTATTCGTTTCATTTTATTTTATCCAAATTTTATTTGTCAGAATTTCCTTCTCATTGATTTCATTGTTTCAAAAATTCGTTCCATTTTCATTTCTGTTTTTCAAAAAAAGTTTTGTCGATTTGAATTTAAATTAACTAGATTTTTTACTAACAGAATTCTTTTGTATTCGAATTTTTAAAGTAGAAAATGTTCCATTAGGAAAATTTCTATTTAATTCACTTTCTTTCAAATAATAACATTTATGTAAATGAATTTTTATTTAAATATAAATATTATTTTTAAAAAATGAATTAAATAGAAATTCTCTTAATTGAAAGTTTTCTACTTTTTATTTTTTTCAAATTACTTTTTTCTTTATTTAATCCATTTTTTTAAAAAATAGGTAATATTTATGTAAATGAATTTTTATTTATAGAAAAACTTAGAATTGAAAAGAATTAAACTTTCTCTGCAAACTTGAATTGATAAAAAAGTTTACTTTTTTGAATTGTAGTGACTGACTTTTTGATTTTTAATTAGTACATTTTATTAATAAATAGACACTTACAATAATTTATTGGGAAAACTTATTACTTCAAAAAGCAAAAATTAGAAAATATTACAAATAAAATAGTCATTTCTATTAATTTATTAGGAAGTTTCACTAATTCAAAGGCAAAAATAGAATTAGTAAATTTTACAAATAAATAGTAATTTTTACTAATTTATTAGGAAAATTAGTAGAAATTTCTATTTATTAGTAAAATAATTATTTCTATTAATTTATTAGAAAATTTTTTAGTAAATTTATTTAATTTAATTTAGTAAAAATTATTATTTTTTAGGAAAATTTACTAATTCAAAAGCAAAAATTATTGAAATAGTAAATTTTACTAATTTATTAAAAAAATTAGTACAAATAACTATTTACTAGTAAACTTTATTAATAAAATAGTTAGTTCTATTAATTTATCAGCAATTTTTTAGAATTTTTCAAGTTAAAAATTTTTTAAAAATATATTTAATTTAATTTAGTAGAAATTATTATTTATTAGGAAAATTTACTATTTTAAAAGCAAAAAGTATTGAATTAGTAAATTTTACTAATTTATTTACAAAAATTACACTAATTGAATTAGTTACCATAAATTTTCTAAATTAAAATTTCGATTGCACAGAAATTCTGTTAAATAATAAATCTGGTTAATTTAAATTCGAAGCAATGAAAATCGATGAAAATAAAATTCTACCAAACGAAAATCTAAACTTTCTAATAAATAAAATTCATTAAAAAAATTCATAAAAATTAAAAATTCAATTTTTTCCCCCAGGTTGCCTTCATGACAGAGAACATTTTCGGAAAGAAGAACGTGACAAAGCGAGAGAGCGAAATAAAGAGGAAACGAGCCCTGGTTCACTTATCGGACGGCTCAATCGTGGACGATGCACTACTACTGCAACAAAATTTGGGCGACGATTATTTTTCGGGTCTCGCCAATTTCGGGGCAGCACTCAAGACTCCCGAATCGAAGGAGGAGGAACGAGAACCAGCCGAGGGCGAAGTCAGACAAGTTATGGATATTTGCGACGGTTGTGCCGGTGAGCCCTTCGAGCGGGCGCTCATTTTCGGCTGGAGAAGTGTTTCCAAAAAATTATACTCAGGTGCTATGCATATTCCAACAGTGCCAGTTTGCAAAAGTTTCTAAACTCAATTCAATTTTAGTTTAAAAAAAACAAATTAAATCAGTATTGATTTTTTCTTAAACATGCAAAAGAAAATCATTATCGCGATTATTTTTTCGTGCTCGAAAACTACCTCTTGAATTAATAACGCGACTTGAAAATCCTCTGATTATAGCGCATAAGAATTTAATTTTTTTTATCAAATTTGAGATTTTATTTTATTTTATTTATTTTTTACGTCCTTTTTATACGAGCCCCATTAAATTATTCTTTATTTTTATATTTTTCCTTACAAAAGATAAATTGCGCGATTTATTGAAATTGTTTGGCGGAATTATTTGTAAAAGGAAAATAAATTGCGTGATTAGATTAGTTGTTTTTTTATGATATGAAAAATGATAATTGAGAGTGTGACAAATTATGTAACGTTTTTTTTTTAGTTTTAAGGCACAAGTTATGTCAAAACTTAGTCTGTTTTCTACGTGCTAGTTGTCTAAGACAAGTTTGCTCACCGATGTGTAAAATTAGTTTTCTCAATAGACAGATAATAGGGACAATATGGCAAAATAATGACATCGATTTTAAGAATTGCCATAAGTATTGTAGTGTAAGCTTTCTTATAGATTTGTATAGAGAAAGTATATATTGTGATGATGAAAAAATGTTTATAATAATATATACAAATCCAGGCATTTTAGTATAATTTCATGAATTTTGTTTGAAAATTAATTTCAATATTTTACGATTATTTTAATTTTCAATTCAATATTGATATTTTAATTTCAATTGAATTCAATTCAATTTCAATATTTTATTTTAATAACACAATTTTTCTAATGATTTCAAATAGAGTAAAAAAATGAATCAAAATGTTGCTTTGCAACACTTTTGATTCGTTTCTTTTACTCAATTTGAAATCCCTAGAAAATACTGTGAATTCGATTATTTTATAGTATGAAATAATGGTAAAATTAAGTGTTAATTTTGTACGAAAATAAATGCAGTCGAATTTGGATAAAATTGTTTTTTCTGGAAAGAAGTTTTTTCAAGCCACAATTTTGTAACCAAAAACATTTTATAAAAAAGTTTTTTAAAGAATAGTCTCTAAAGGTATCCGACTTTGATTGCATTTTTTCCAATTTGAAGACAATTTTCCGGCTTAATTTATTTTTTTCAAAAAAATATCAGATATTTAAATATGTTTAACTCATGTATCATGATCATTAGACTTATGTTATTTATTAAACATTAAAAATATACGATTTTCTCTTTCTTAATTCTCTTTGAATAATTAAAACCATTAAAGAAAATAAACGTTTACGTCGATGAAATTCAGTAAAAAAATTTTAACAGAGTTGCCACAAAAATAACTTCTTCAGAATTTTTAATTAAAATTTATTAAATTTCAAATAATCTAAAACTTTAATATTAAACCTTTTAATTTTGAATTTTTTATAGGTACTAATTTCTGTAATTTTTGTAACTTCTTTATAATCTTAAATTTGAATTAAAATTAAAAAAAATTGAATTATTTGAAGAATTACATGTAAATTTTCATAAATAATTAAATACTTTCAAGGAATTCAATTAAAATAGTATTGACAATAATTTGAATTCTTATAAAATTTTTTTAAAAAGAATTAAAAATTCCTCTGAAAAATTTTATTAATTATAAAAATAATAAAATTCCTACGAAGAATTTAATTAAAATTACATTCAAAATAATTTAATAAAATTCTTTTTATAAATAATAAGTATAAAACTCTTTAGATGAATTTTATTATTAATGAAAATATTTGAATTTTTACGAAGAATTTATTAAAATTAAAAAAATTAAATTCTTTCAAGATATTTTATTAAAATTAAATTTCTATAAAGACTTATTATTTTTAAAAATAATTGACTACTTGTCAATTTTTTTGTCGGATTTAATCAAAATTGTATTGAAAATAATTCAATTCTACTTTAGGATTTTGTAAAAATTTAAAAAAAAAATTTATTATTTATTATTTATTTTTTTTTTATTTATTTTATTTTTTTATTTATTTTTATTTAAAAATTTTATTAAAATTGCATTTATTATCTATTATTGATTTTCTTATGAATTGTAAAAATTTAAATTTGTATTCAATACTTTTGATAAAATTCTCTAACTTTTTCCTGATTTCCCTGACCAATTTTAATTTCCCTGACTTTTTCCTCAATTTCCTAATTTTTTTCATGAATTTCATTAATTGTGGCAACCCTGTTAAATTTTCCAACCCCAGGATTAAAAATTTGTTTCGGGAGCAATTATTAAGTTCCTTTTATCGAAAATGATTTGCTTTAATTAATTAGTTAAAATATCTTTAATTTTTTGCTTCTTGGTGTTAAAAAATCCCTTTTTGCGACGACAAAAATGTCGATGACTTCAGTTTCATTAAAAAGAAATTTAAAAAAAAATAAACGAACCGTATTTTTCCGAATGAGAAATTCTTCGAGTGTCGAGGAGAATTCGGAAATCGCGGTCACTAAGGCGAACGAGTGGAAAATTTGAGGCACTTACCTTTGATTTGTGAATGTGCTGATGTTGAAATTCGCTGTCAAATTCTGGTTCGCTGAAGTAACTTTGATCTTCCCAATGAGGCGGAAGACCAGCACCACCCGCAGGACCAAGAGGGCCTGGCATTCCATCTGAACTTTCAAATAATCGTAGCACACTTCGATCTCTGATGTCTCTCAAGTGAGATCTGGAAATTTATTTAATGTCAGATTATACAGATCTCGCCCAATTAACCAATTAAAAATTAATTAATTTATTCTCAATAATTAATTTTATTACTTGTCATTAATATTAATTTTATTAATTGTTATTAATAATTTTAAAAATATTTTTGTAATTACAGTAGAACCTCGGTTATCCGAGCCTCGATTATCCGAGATTCCGGATTATCCGAGGCACTAAACATGCTCGGATAATGCGGAATAACTCGGATAAAACGGATCGAGCGACTAAATTTGGAAAATAAATTTTACAAAACCACTATTTGTGATCATTGCATTTAAAATTTCGTCCATTTTTGTCATTTAATATTATTCTAACACTTTAAACACATGAAAAATAATTTAAAATTTTGAAATTTTCATTGGTTCCGTGTTATCCGAGTTTTCGATTATCCGAGGTACCTCTTCCCCACATTACCTCGGATAATCGAGGTTCTACTGTATTTTGTATTCTTATTTAATATTTTGCAATTATAAACAAGCGATTCGATTCCAGGAGTCAGTGGCCGAAAGAAAAATTTGTCTTTACCTTAAATCTTCAAGTTCGTAAAACATGTCCTTGCTGCTGTCGTGAATATAAACTTTAACGTGAGGACTATCTAAATATTCCATGGTGAGTTGTTTTGGGAAACTCCTGACAAATAGAGCTTTCACCGTATCTATGCTTGTAATCTCGTTGGGAAGTAAAGCTCGTTTTGTTTCGCTTCTGTATTGTAGGAACACCAGTCCTGAAAATGGAGAATTAATAAAAATTAATTATTTCGTCACTTCTTAGTAATTAATAGTGGAAAAAGGCAGTTGCAGTGAGACAAAACTTTTTAAATTAGAGTGCTCGATGTCAGTAGTAAAGAGTAGATTTAGGCAGACAGAGCAGTACTACGACAGAGTTATTATAAATATTCTGTTATTGCAGTGTCAGTAGTAACAGAAATGTTCACTCAGACAAAACTTGATAACTTCTGGTTCTTTATAAAGAAAAATTTTAAAAAACAAATTTTTAATGCTGATGCAGTTAAAATGTAATAATTCAAGGTACTATGTCTGACTATAAAATACTCTTACTACTGGTACTACGATTATACAAATTTACGACACTTAGTGAGTATTTTTTTTTCTTTAAATTTCATCAGAGTATCTATTTTTAAGAAGAGTGAAGTCAAAAAATTAGGTAAATTGTTTTTAAACAACCCAAAAATATTAAAACTAAATGACATAAAGCAGAAGAGAAAATGTTAAATTTTAGAAAATTCGTTCTTTACAAATTTTGATAATTTTCGATAATTTTTAATTTTTTACCAAAGGGTGGAGACTAATAAATAAGTAAAGTGTTTTTAAAGAGCCCAAAAATAATAAAGCTAAATGCCATAAAAGAGGAGAGAAAATGTTGAATTTTAAGAAATTCGGATTTTTGAGTTTTTGAAAATTTTCGATAATTTTAGATTTTTTACTAAAGAGTCGAGACTATTAAATAAGCAAAGTATTTTCCAAAAGCACAAAAATAATGAAGCAAAATGCCATAAAAAAGATGAAAAAATGTTGAATTTTAAGAAATTCGGATTTTTGAATTTTTGATAAATTTCGATAATTTTTTATTTTTAACCAAAGAGTCCAGCCAGTTAAATAAATAAAGTATTTTCCAAGAGCACAAAAATAATGAAGCTAAATCCTATAAAAGAGAGGAAAAAATGTTGAATTTTAAGAAATTCGGATTTTTGAATTTTGGATTATTTGGGATAATTTTGGATTTTTTACCAAAGAGTAGAGATTATTAAATAAGTAAAGTATTTTCCAAAAGCACAAAAATAATGAAGCAAAATGTCATAAAACAATAGAAAAAATGTTGAATTTTAAGAAGTTCGGATTTTTGAATTTTTGATAAATTTCGATAATTTTTTATTTTTAACCAAAGATTCCAGCCAGTTAAATAAATAAAGTATTTTCCAAGAGCACAAAAATAATAAAGCTAAATCCTATAAAAGAGAGGAACAAATGTTGAATTTTAAGAAATTCGGATTTTTGAATTTTTGAAAATTTTCGATAATTTTAGATTTTTTACCAAAGACTCGAGACTATTAAATAAGTAAAATATTTTCTAAAAGCACAAAAATAATGAAGCAAAATGCCATAAAAAAGAAGAAAAAATGTTGAATTTTAAGAAATTCGGATTTTTGAATTTTTGATTATTTTCGATAATTTTAGATTTTTTACCAAAGATTCGAGACTATTAAATAAGCAAAGTATTTTCCAAAAGCACAAAAATAATGAAGCTTAATCCTATAAAAGAGAGGAAAAAATGTTGAATTTTAAGAAATTCGGATTTTTGAATTTTTGATTATTTTCGATAATTTTAGATTTTTTACCAAAACCTCGAGACTATTAAATAAGTAAAGTGTTTTCCAAGAGCACAAAAATAATGAAGCAAAATGTCATAAAAGAATGGAAAAAATGTTGAATTTTAAGAAATTCGGATTTTTGAATTTTGGATTATTTTCAATAATTTTGGATTTTTTACCAAAGACTCGAGACTATTAAATAAGTAAAGTATTTTCTAAAAGCACAAAAATAATGAAGCAAAATGTCATAAAAGAATGGAAAAAATGTTGAATTTTAAGAAGTTCGGATTTTTGAATTTTTGAAAATTTTAGATTTTTTACTAAAGAGTCGAGACTATTAAATAAGCAAAGTATTTTCCAAAAGCACAAAAATAATGAAGCAAAATGCCATAAAAAAGATGAAAAAATGTTGAATTTTAAGAAATTCGGATTTTTGAATTTTTGATAAATTTCGATAATTTTTTATTTTTAACCAAAGAGTCCAGCCAGTTAAATAAATAAAGTATTTTCCAAGAGCACAAAAATAATGAAGCTAAATCCTATAAAAGAGAGGAAAAAATGTTGAATTTTAAGAAATTCGGATTTTTGAATTTTTGAAAATTTTCGATAATTTTAGATTTTTTACCAAAGAGTCGAGACTATTAAATAAGCAAAGTATTTTCCAAAAGCACAAAAATAATGAAGCAAAATGCCATAAAAAAGATGAAAAAATGTTGAATTTTAAGAAATTCGGATTTTTGAATTTTTGAAAATTTTCAATAATTTTAGATTTTCTACCAAAGAGTCGAGACTTTTAAATAAGCAAAGTATTTTCCAAAACCACAAAAATAATGAAGCAAAAGGCCATAAAAAAGAAGAAAAAATGTTGAATTTTTAGAAATTCGGATTTTTGAATTTCTGATTATTTTCGATAATTTTAGATTTTTTACCAAAGAGTCAAGACTATTAAATAAGCAATGTATTTTCCAAAAGCACAAAAATAATGAAGCAAAATGTCATAAAAGAATGGAAAAAATGTTGAATTTTAAGAAGTTCGGATTTTTGAATTTTTGATAAATTTCGATAATTTTTTATTTTCAACCAAAGAGTCCAGCCAGTTAAATAAATAAAGTATTTTCCAAGAGCACAAAAATAATGAAGCTAAATCCTATAAAAGAGAGGAAAAAATGTTGAATTTTAAGAAATTTGGATTTTTGAATTTTTGATAATTTTCAATAATTTTAGATTTTTTACCAAAGAGTCGAGACTATTAAATAAGCAAAGTATTTTCCAAAAGCGCAAAAATAATGAAGCTAAATCCTATAAAAGAGAGGAAAAAATGTTGAATTTTAAGAAATTCGGATTTTTGAATTTTTGATTATTTTCGATAATTTTAGATTTTTTACCAAAACCTCGAGACTATTAAATAAGTAAAGTGTTTTCCAAGAGCACAAAAATAATGAAGCAAAATGTCATAAAAGAATGGAAAAAATGTTGAATTTTAAGAAATTCGGATTTTTGAATTTTGGATTATTTTCAATAATTTTGGATTTTTTACCAAAGAGTGGAGACTATTAAATAAGTAAAGTATTTTCCAAGAGCACAAAAATAATGAAGCTAAATCCTATAAAAGAGAGGAAAAAATGTTGAATTTTAAGAAATTCGGATTTTTGAATTTTTGATAATTTTCAATAATTTTAGATTTTTTACCAAAGAGTAGAGACTAATAAATAAGTAAAGTTTTTTCCAAAAGCACAAAAATAATGAAGCAAAATGCCATAAAAAAGATGAAAAAATGTTGAATTTTAAGAAATTCGGATTTTTGAATTTTTGGTAATTTTCAATAATTTTAGATTTTTTACCAAAGGGCTGATATAAAAAATTGGGTAAAGTATTTTTGAAGAGCCCAAAAATAATGAAGCTAAATGCCATAAAGAAGAAAAAAAAATGTTGAATTTTAAAAATTTAGAATTTTCGAAAATTTTGTAATTTTTTTTATAGCAAAAGTCTGTTTAAAATTGATTTTTCTACTGATATAAAAATACGAAGGATAAAGTAAAAGTTACTGTGACTGACTTGTAATACTCATAGCAAATTAACAGTCTGACTAAACTATAGTCTTACTACTGCGATGATTAAATTTTAAAGATCTGTCAAAGTCGATATGTGTTTTGCAGCACAGAGCTCAATATATATAATATTAAAATTTGAAAAGTTTTATCTGATAAAAATAGGTTTTTTACTTCTGACATAAATTGTAAACACTTTGACTGACTAAAACTGTCTTAGACTACTGATAAACTTTTATTAAAATCGACTGTCATAGTGAATAGTAGAAAAAGAAATAGAAAAAAACTGCAGTAGTATTTACCTAGTGGTCGTTCCAAAGTTTTACTCGGAGTTCGCACAACCGGCAAGCTGCTTCGTTGTTTTCCACCCCTTCGGAAACCGGTACTGGATGTCTCCACCTCGGACATGATACCTGGATCATCATCAAACAACATCGCCGTCGATGGTGGCGGATAACCTCGCGGCAAGGGTGCCTGCAAATTAAATACTTCGTTATAATCTTTTAAAATACGTACTTTAGTCAAGCCAAAAAAAAAAAAATAATAAAATAATTAATTTTACAAATAAAGCCCAAAATTTAAAAAATTAACTTTTCAATTGAAATTAATAATTTAGTTTATAGTTTGATTAGTTTCAATTTAAATTAGTTTAAACTAAAAATCTAAACTGTACACAATTTATAAATGACGCTTAGTTCGTATTGTAAATATTACTAAGTACATTTTGCTAAATAAATTATACTATTTACAATAAATAAATATAAATCTAATTACTTTTCTCTGTGTGGCTAAATATTTTGCCCCTCACACAGACTGCGGATAATTAAATCCTAGTAGATTTTATTTACAGATTTTACTATACATAATACTATTTTAACGCTACTTATTTGACATTTTAGTCATCAAAAATTACAGTTTACATAAAAATCAAATTCTCGGCAAATATGTAAATGATTACAGTAAGTGAATGATTTGCATGCTATCAACAATTTTTAGTCTTAAAACAGTAAACTAAAAAATACTGAAAGAAAAAATTACCTTTCTCTGTCGAGATTTGGTCCCCATCTGTTAGCGAGTCACACAAAAAAGTACACATAAATAACAAGGTTAAAATTGAAGGTAAAAATAGTAAACATATAGTAAATTATAAATATATCAATTCAAATTCATTCTCAAACTTTGAGAACCAAAAATATGTACATTTTTTACAAAAAAAATGTGCCTGAGAAGCAAAAAATTGTAGGTTATGTTTGTAATCCTATCAATTAAAATACACAAAATGGGATCAACTTTCAATCAATATAAACCACTGTAGAATTGCATCTAAAATAATTAACAAATATTGATTTTTGTTTCAAATTTTAAACATGGGAACTTTTAATTAAGGGAAAAATAACACAAACATAACTATAAAATTATTTGCTTCTTAGGAACGGATGGTAAATTTCTACATATAACCCAACTGGTTAATAAAGTAGCCATTATTGCCCTAGGGTAATAATTAGTAGTTTATTGACCTGTAAGCAGCGGTAAAGTACACTTTATTGCCCTAGGGTAATAATGGCTACTTTACCGACCAGCAGGTGGTCAATAAAGTACACTTTATGGTCCTAGGGCAATAATGGACACATTATTGACCGCTGGGTTATACAGGGGAACTTTATAATAATAAATAATAAATTGACCAAAATTGACACGAATTATAGATACAAAGGGTATAAGTTCATGCGAAATGAAAAAATGTAAACTTTGAATAAATATTAATAGGGCAGTAAATGAAATATAAAATGGGGATATTGATTTTGAGCTTGCACAGTAGTGTTATTTCTGGCTGCAGGATGAAAAGAAATAAAGAAGAAATAAAGAAATGGAATTGAGATATATACCTCAAGATCCATTGTGTGTCGACCAGTTAGCGTTCCGTATTGGTTATGAGCCGTTGGTAGATGGTGCGGATGGAGTGGATGAATTTGTTGAGAAGTGTTGAACTGGTGATGTAAGGATGGTTGATGATCGCCGCTGAGGGTATGCCTTCGAGGCTCGTCCCTCGAACGACCCCCACCGCCACTTCCGGAAATACTGGAGCCCCTGGTCCCACCCCCAAAACCTCCGCCACCTCCACATCTACCGAGGTCGTTCGCACCTTCACCCTCCGTTCTTCCGGTTCCGCCTGAAATCAGTTTTCAACCATTAAAATCAATTACACAAGATTGCACGATTGCTTCTTTTCTTTATTTTCAATCTCTCTTTTTTTTATATTCAATATTTTTTCTAGTTTTTCTCCTGACAAAACTTTCTTTTCTGTCAAAATTTTATTTTCTGTAAAAAAGGTTTATTTTTTTTTGTCATAACGAAACTAAATTCTCGAAAAGTACTTCCAGATGAAGTTTAATTACTCTTTGCAGACAAAAGAATAAAAATATCTACTTTCATTCATTTTTTCGAATTCAAGTTTAATTAAACTTTCAGCATGAAAGAAATTCTTCGGCGAATCAAAATGGAAACAATATTTGAGTATAATCTGCGAACGATTCAAACTTTTCGAGAAAGTCTTTAAGATTCTTTAATTTATTTATTCGGCAGTGAAATCTATTGAGGGTCGATTCTTCTCTTAATTAATTTACGTCGATTATAAATTCATTTCTGTACGAAACAACTTCTTTCTCTCGCAGAACTGAATTTCGCACATTGTCCAACATTACTCATTTTTTCAAGGACTTGAATTTAAATTTACTACACAAATTTTTTTAAAACTTTTTACAGAGTTACTAAATTTTTTACAGAGTGACAATGATTATAATGTGTAAACATTATAATAGTTGTCACTCTGTAAAAAATTTCCAAATTGTTATAAAAAAACAAATAAAAAATAGAAAACAAGTAAAAAATAACTCAAACGACGCCATGACTCGAATGATATTTAAACTGTCATTATAAAACGTGTCTGAGACTCCGTTTTGTAATGCGACTATCAAATCGTCAACAATGATGCCACAATAGAAAGTGGTAAAGAATTCCCCCTTCCTTGAGTTGAACCCTTTCGACCCTGCCGTAATAGTGATCCTTTCTTCAGAGACCATTTACTTCCCCTTGCACTGCCGAGTGCGTATCCAATTAATAATAAGTCTGTCTGATGTTTCAAGCTTCTTTCCAAAGGGGGGATGTACAAATTAATTATGAATTTTTTTTTCAATTGTCAAACCAAGTCTTCTCCGCAAGAGATAAAAGTCGATATTTCAATCCATTTTTTTTACACAACAAAACGCGAGACGAAAAACACAATTTTACATTACGCAAAATTTTCAACTCTCTCAAATATGGAAATAAAATAAAAAAATGGAAAATAAATTCAAGCCTATATCAAAATCTAGCGAAATGGACTTTCATGGTAATTAGCAACTCGACGCGCTCGTTCGCATATAAGAAAAGCATTGCGGTGTACTTTATGGGCTGCATACAATTATGCAAACTCACACAGGTACCTTGTTCAAGTCGATATTTGCTTTTTTTTAAAGGGAGAGAGAAATATACTATCCTTAAAAATTGTATACATAATGAAAGTTGCTTGTGTTGAATTTATAATTTCAAAAAAATCATCTCGATTTGAATTTGCGCGAAAAAGAATTTAATGAATTTCAAACATACAATAACAAATTTGAAAAATTCTTAAGAAAAATAATACTTTTCGATTCAAGGAGAGTTATTCAAAATTTTAATAAAATTCTTCATAACAATTCAATTATTTTTTCAAATAATAACAATTTTTTACAAGAATTCAATTATTTAAAAAGAATTAAATAAAATTCTTCGCAAGAATTCAATTATTTTCATATTAAAAAAATTCTTCTCAGAAATTCAATTATTTTTTTTTTTTTAATTGATAAATTCTTTACAAGAATTAAATTTTGAAAAACATTAAATTATTCAATACATTATTTATTTTTGTATAAAATTAAAAAATATAAGTTTTTTTTTATTAAATTTAGAATTTACTTATTATTTCTTAGGTGAACCACGAGGATTTTTTCCTAATTTACAATTTGCCCCAAAACAAAAGTATAAATTTCAGAAAATTACAAAAACAATTCTTTTCGGAAAGAAAAATACTATTAATTAATTAAGTAAACCGCTGGTGTAAAATTATCTCGTACACATGTAATGAGCTTCCACAATATATCATCAAGGTGAGTTCATTTAAATACAGCTTAATTTGTCTGAATGTAAAATGCAGAAAATAGGATTCATGTGAATTTAAAACGCTAAGTCCTCTCTCATTTTTCTCTCCATATACTACAGAGTACATTTGTGTTTGTGAATTTTGAAAGTATTTAATTTTATGAACAATTTTTTTCAAGTTTTTAAAATAATCGTGTTTCTTAATAACTCAAATTAAACATTCGTTTATTGAATTTTATTAAAATGTTTACGAAATAATTAAATTCTTCTCAGAATTTTATTACAATTTTTTAAAATAATTTAATTGATTTAAGGGATTTTATTAAAATATAGAAAATAATTAAATTCTTTTAAAGAATAAATACTATTAAAAGTTTTTATTAGATTTCTTGTAAATAATTAAATTCTTTTGAAGAATTTCTTTGTTTTTTTTAAATAATGTCGTTTTTTGAATAATTTCAATTGAAAATTTTGAAAATAATTGAATTAAACAAAGAATTTTTTCAACTTTTTAAAATAATTTTCAAAATAATTTTTGCGATGAATTTTACTTAGAAAAGATTTCTTGACAAGAATTTTATTTCAAATTTTTTAAAATAATTGAAATTCTGTAAAGAAATCAATTACTTATGAAAAAAATAAATTATTGACAAGAATTTGTTACAAATTTTTGAAAATAATTGAAATTCTGTAAAGAAATCAATTACTTATGAAAAAAATAAATTCTTGACAAGAATTTGTTACAAATTTTTGAAAATAATTGAAATCCTCCAAAAAGTTCAATTATTTATGAAAAAAATAGAATTCTTGACAACTTGTTTCAAATTTTCAAAAATAATTGAAATCCTCCGAAGAAGGATTTATTTAAGAAAATAATTGAATTTTTCAAAAGAATTTTACTTTTTATGAAGATAATTGAATGTTTAGGAAGAATTTTATCAAAAATTTGAAACATAATTGAAATTCGTTGAAAAAATTGATTATTTCTGAAAATAATTGAATTCATTCTAATTTTTGCCGTTCTAAACAATAATAATGATAAGTGAATTTATTTTTTAAAATTTTGATTACGAAATTATTCAAAAATTTATAATTGAAAATAAAAAACCTTTTTAATGCATAAATCTCGAAAAGACAATTTGTAAAAGTAGATGAATGAGTCTATGAAACTGAAAATGATTCTGCCTACGGATTTAATTCACACATTGAATAAACGTATTCAATAAGTATTCAATATTGCTGTCACATATGGAATATATATGAAACGTATATTGTACAAAGTTTATCGTGTTCGAAATATATATATATGTATTTTCACTAAAAGCTGCTGCACTTGTTTCTATATGAGCGAAGGTATTTTTTTTCTTCTTTTTTATTTGGTTTTTTTTTTTTTTTTTTTTTTGAAAAAATATTGAAGAAGCCGTGCAGAAAAATAAAAGCCGAGAAAACAACGTCTTTACTATTTTATTATACCTTCCCCTCTAAGCTGCACAGTGCATAAAAACTAAATTACTCAACATGTATATATATACATGTACTTCCGAGGGTAATTGAATTTGATTTCAGTCATTTAAATAAAAGCAAAAACATCAAGAGTCGCTTTCTTGAAAGCAAAGAAAAAAAGAAAAATACACTTTACATTAGAAAATAGAATTTTTGCATTCAAAAGTGGCTTTCAAATTCTCTTTTAAAAAATCGTATTTTTCATTCTCAAGTGACGTTTTTATTTGGAAAATAGTATTTTACACCCTAAAAGTACGACATGTTTTATTATACAAAATATTGTTTTTATAGACTGTTTTTCATTCTGAAAATGGCATTTCGTTTCAAAATAATAGTTTTCAGTAAAAGAAAAAAAAGACTACTATAAATAATATTTTCGTCGTATGAAAAACTGGAAAATAGTATTTAGAACTTTTAAATTTGCATCAAAATTACAACTTTGTTTTTCGTATAAAAAATAAATATTTCAAAGTCCAAAATAATGTTTTCTAATCGAAAGTGCTCTTCAATATTTATTCAAGTATGCATTATATTAAAAAGTAGCTTTTTTTTATTAGAAAATAGTGCTTTATGTTCGAAAATATTATTTTATATCCGAAAGTGCCGTTTTATGTTTCAAAGTAACCTTTTACAACCTAAAACACCGTTTTATATTCTAAAATAATAGTTTGCAGTTAAAAATGGTGTTTATAAAAAAAGTTGCACTTCGCCATGGTAATAATTTTTTACGTTTATGAATTAAAGTACCACAGTTTGTATATACTATAAATAAATTGCTATCAAAAATTACCTTTCAATCGCTTTTTTTTTTTAATTTTTCCATCCAATAAAAAATTTATCTATCTAAATTGCAAATCATTAAAAATACACCTACAGAAAAAGATATATATTTTATTCAGCAGCTACTAAATTATTTACTTGTTTAAAATAAATTTTACTTGGTTCAAATAAAATTTACTTGTAAATAAATTTTACTTGTTTGTTTATATAAAAGAATTAAGATTTAAAAAATTTTTTAATTTGAACCTTTTTGAAATTCAACAACTTCTAAGAATATTTATTAAAAAACAATGAAGAAATGGATCACTCCGAGTCTTCGACTCGGAGTAATCAATTTCTTCATGTTTTTTATTATAATTAAAGATGATCGAATCATTATTTTATATTATAACAATATTGTCACTGTAACTTCTTCAAAATTATTTTTATCATTTCAATTCAATTATTATTTCTAGAATTTTTAACTAAAATTTTTCTTTAAGTCAATTATTTTTAATAATTTTTGAAAAAGTTCTGAATTTTCAAATCCATTCGTTTACAATTCAATGTTATTGAAATTTTTGAAAATAATTGAATTCTTGTGAAAATGTTATTATTTATCAAAATAATTGAATAATTCTTTTTTTAATCAATTATTTTTAATAGTTTTTTAAAAACTTCTGTGAAAATTTACAAATCTATTTGTTTACAATTGAATTTTATTGAAATTTT